CTCCTACACATGGGGATAAACTACTACTGTAGCCACAGCTGCCCTGGGGCACACTGTCAGAAGCAAGGCAACCAGTTGGTGCCATCTGTCCTTCCGAGACATGAGTAAAAGTTATCTGAAATAACCTCAATGTTTCCAGTACAGTAAGAGCTGACTCCTATGAGGCAGAATTATAACACTGATTTAATTATCAGTGTTATGATTATGGTGATGATGATGATTATTATTATTATCATGATCAAGATGATGATGGTTATTGTTATAATCATTATCATTATTATTACTATTATTATTATTATTATTATTATGTGATTATTATGAGGCCCCCCAGCAGCATTTGTCTCTTGCTCCACACAGAGATGGGAGTGAGTTTGCCAGTACTGGCGGCGCATGCCAGACCTATTGTACACATTTTTAGTGGTAGGGGGAACTGGAGCACCAGTGCATGTACAGTGCTTCCAACAACAAACCTGGATGAGAGGAAACTAAACAAGGGTTAACTTCTTTTCCTCGACACCCAGCAGCAGTGCCGGTCTAATGTTGTTGAAAGCACTGGAGAAGACAAAAAACATGACCCTCACAGCGCTCTCGGCGGGCTCCTGGTGGGAGAGCGTCCCCTGCAGCTCTCCTGGGCCAAGGGGTTCTAGGAGAGCTGGCCCCTTGGTCCAGGATAGTCAAGGGGGCCTACGGGCCAATCGATGATGCCTAGGCCAAGGGGGTCATCGGTGACAGTAGGCGAACTGCAGCGGGGGTCCAGGGATGGACCACAGAGCGGCGATGGGTGAGCCGCTCCATGGTCTTCATCAGATTGGCGGTCAGTAGGGGGCCAGTTCCTTGGCGTGTGCTGTCTTAGGAACCGGGATCACACAGGAGGTCTTCTACAGGACAGGGACCATCTCCAGGCTGAGACTCAGGTTGTGGATGTGGCTGAGGACCTCAGAAAGCTGATCTTTCCTCTGGTTCAGTCGCATCAGCTCTTTTCTCACCTGGTCCTGTGTGATGGAGACGGGGGAGTTGGGGGGTTAGGGTTAGGGTTAGGGGGTAAGCAAAGTTAGAGGTGGGGTAGGTGGTGAGGGGCTGGGGAGTTTAATTTTATTGTCATTTAAAATATAATAATTATTAATACTGATCAATACTGATATTGATCATAATCAAACAGATTATTTGATTGTGTTTGTAATGATTGATACACAATCAAATAACCCGTAATTATTCCTATGCACCAAAAGACACATCACAGATTTTGACTAGTAGGCGGTTTGTATGAATATAAAGCTTCAATTCTCGTACCAGATGGATGGAAAGGTTCAACACTTCATCAATCCATCACTTCAGGCCACACACACTAGCCACTGGTGCCATGGAAATAACAATTGACCAGAGTTTACAGATGGCTAAGCCAGGCTACCTCAGACCCACAGGAGGAAAAGTTTTCACACACATTGTTTCATTAGTTCAAACATTTACAGAAGAATATGGTGTAACATAAGAAATGCAATGATAAAACATGGGGAAGAAAACAATAGACATACCACTTCGTTATAAAAGCTATAATGGGCGTGATAATATTCACCATTAATGAATAACCCTATATTAACACAGTAGTATACATTGTATTTTCATTCATCATATTCAAACAGTTATATTTTTTAATCGGGCGGAACCATTGTCCGGGCGTCTTGTTTCTGCCGGATGACATTTCCACCAAAGTTCGAGCAATGACATAATGGTAAACACAAAAAGGTGAGTGTCTCTGTTATATGTAAATGTCAGATGATTGAGTTCTTCCAGCAGGAGGGACAGCGGGTTGGCTCTGCAGATTACCCGGGTCTGCTTTAACCCCAGTCGGTGGTTGGTTTGTGTTTTTACGGTGACATTGTCCGAGGATCCAAGGATGCTGAAGCTAGCGGCTCCATCCTCAGAGCAGCGGAGGAGAGGCCGCCCTGCCCCGCTGTCATCCTCCTGAACCTGGGATTGAAACATCAGAGGAAGAAGGCTGTATATTGTTGAATGACTTATATTTTCAATTAGAATGGTTCCCCGCCGCCTTTGCAGGTTTATCTACAGGAGGAAATACATGATGTGGATGTGAGGTGTACTGTACCATCACTCAGATTGAGTAAGACTGGATTTTTTAGGAGACTTTGGTGCAATTGTGTTAAAACTGTTCTGCTCTCTCTGGTCTCTCTCTGCTCTCCCTCTCTGGTCTCTCTGTGTCTGGTCTCTATCAGGTCTCTCTCTCTGGTCTCTCTCTCTCTCTCGTGTGTCTCTCTCTCGTCTCTCTCTGGTCTCTCTGTGTCTGGTCTCTCTCTGGTCTTTCTCTCTCTCTCTCGTGTTTCTCTCTGGTCTCTCTGTGTCTGGTCTCTATCTGGTCTCTCTCTCGTCTCTCTCTCTCTCGTGTGTCTCTCTCTCGTCTCTCTCTGGTCTCTCTGTGTCTGGTCCTCTCTCTCTGGTCTCTCTGTGTCTGGTCCTCTCTCTCTGGTCTCTCTCTCTCTCGTGTGTCTCTCTCTCGTCTCTCTCTGGTCTCTCTGTGTCTGGTCCTCTCTCTCTGGTCTCTCTCTGTGTCTGGTCCTCTCTCTCTGGTCTCTCTGTGTCTGGTCCTTGCTCTCTGGTCTCTCTGTGTCTGGTCCTTCTCTCTGGTCTCTCTGTGTCTGGTCCTTGCTCTCTGGTCTCTCTGTGTCTGGTCTCTCTCTCTGGTCTTTCTCTCTCTCTCTCGTGTTTCTCTCTGGTCTCTCCCTGGTCTCTACCTTTATACAGCTGCTACTGAGAGTATTTACCTTATTGTGTTATTTTAGAACTTGAGATAAACGATGGTGGCACGGTGGCTGAGTGGATAGCACTCTCGCCTTTCAGCAAGAAGGTCCTGGGTTCAAATCCCGGTCGGACCAGGGCCTTTCTGAGTGGAGTTTGCATGTTCTCCCCGTGTCTGCGCAGGTTTCCTCCGGGTACTCCGGTTTCCCCTACCACTAAAAATATGTACAATAGGTCTGGCATGCGCCTCCTGTTCAGCGACCCCGCTCCCATCTCTGTGTGGAGTGAGAGGACAAGTGCCCAAAAATAACAATTGTAAAGCGCTTTGTGACTCTGGTCTGTGAAAGGCGGTATATAAATAAAGATTACTTACTCACTTACTATATTTTGGCTCGCTGCTCGTTGCATTGCGTTGCTATAACTTATTCTCCTTTAGTAATCTATCCACTCAGTGATTGTCCCCTTGTAATCCTCCCTGTATTCCTGTGAAGCCCAGTGTTCACGTCCAGGAATGAGACAGCAGTGATGTAATGGCCTTTAAATAATTCATTTGTCAAAGAGTGAGAGCACTGTCGAAAATCAATACTCACAGACAGCCCTGAGCACAATGTATAGAGAGGAGTAGGAGACCGGGAGTCCAGGGCTGAGGCTGGAGAGGATGAGGAGACCCAGGGAGTCCAGGGCTGAGGCTGCAGCAGCTCCATCTGGAAGTCTGCTGTTGTTTCAGAGACATAAGTCGAACACCGAAAAGCCACAAGAAGAAGATTAGAAAATAAACAGAAGTTGAAAGTTAATCACAGGTCTGTGGCTTTTTGAGTTCTATTTGCATGGGCTTTGGTCTTTGTTAGTGTTGAGATCTGGAAGGGTTAAGAAATGTGGTTTGGACCTGGTGTATTGGTTTAAAATTGTGGATGACAATGTTAACATGTATACAGATGGACAATGCTAATATGTATATGGACAATGCTAACATGTATACAGATGCACAATGCTAACATGTATACAGATGGACAATGCTAACATGTATACAGATGGCCAATGCTAACATGTATACAGATGGACATTGCTAACATTTATCAACAATGCTAACCCGCTAGCTCAATGGAGCCCAATAGGGTGGTCCAGTCTGATTCAGTATTCCAGTAGCTGCCAATACAACTATAAATAGAGAGAGACCAGGGAGAGAGACCAGGGAGAGAGACCAGGGAGAGAGACCAGGGAGAGAGACCATAGAGAGACCATAGAGAGACCACAGAGAGACCACAGAGAGACCACGGAGAGACCACGGAGAGACCACGGAGAGACCATAGAGAGACTATAGAGAGACCATAGAGAGACCATAGAGAGACCATAGAGAGACTATAGAGAGACCATAGAGAGACTATAGAGAGACCATAGAGAGACCATAGAGAGACCATAGAGAGACCATAGAGAGACCATAGAGAGACCATAGAGAGACCATAGAGAGACCATAGAGAGACCATACTTGTTATGAGCTGACAAAGAAGACTTTTCTACAGTTTTTAGTGTGGATTGTTATACAGAGGAAATACAGAGACATTAGTTCTAAATTAAGACTCTTGACACTATAGTTCCGCTGCCACAATGTTTTTGACTATTGTGATGTCATATGAACGCCACCTGTGTATGAGGTCATTGCTTATATGTATGGCTAGTTACTTTCACTCCCTCTCCCTCCTAACCACCTCCTCCTAACCTCCTCTTCCTTGTCTCTTTCAGCTCTCCTCTATGAACCACCTCCTCTTGTGAAGAATGGACAGAGGAACACATCACTCCTTTAGGCTCTCTCTTCATGAAGCGATATGCATTTTTTGACAAACCGCAAAACACCTTTTTCTATGCATTTTTTCTTGATTTTTACCAAATCTGGCTTCACAATACGGACTAATTTGTAAATGATTCAAAGTAAATCAGACGCTAGTTCATGGCCAAAGCTATAATAGTTATTTATTATAAAGTCAACGTAAATTGATTGGTTCCAAGTTGCAGGAGAACCATTTTTTGTTACTTCTGCGACTGCGACTTAGTTTAGTCCTGGATCAGACCTGGTTTAGTCCATGCTTGATTCCCAAATGGACAACCCAATAGAATTACACATGTTTGGTTCTATAGTCATTGCTTTGTACTTCTAACTTCCAACTCCCAATCAGTCATGTCGGCTCCACTTCACACGTCACCGTCGTTTTGTGAAGCCATGACTTTGTGAATGCTCAGGAAATCTGCCTGGAATGGAGGGTCTGGAGAAGCTGGACGTGGTGGGGGACATCAGCCCGGCTCTGGAGGCCACTGAAGACTTCATCCACTGCGGGGAAGGGGGTAAAATGAGCCAAGAAGTGAAGCGAACAACATCACGACCGGCAAAGCAACAACAAGAAGTGTCCACCGCAGCCATGGGAAAGCTCCAGGCCAGCGGCGTTTGGGGGATTCTGTCCGGAGAACAGGAGGTGGGGCCTCTGGGACTGGCCTGGGCTGATCACTTTAGTGTTTTGGGATTGGGCGGCATGGGGCTGAGGCATGGGAAAAGAAGCAGGGCTAGATCCACCAACGACTTGGCCAAAGAGTGCGCCAACAACAGCACCAACTCTGCCACCAATTCAGCTTTTAAAAAGGGACACAACCGCTCCAGGTCTGACGTCAACTACAGACCCTCCCTCACGGACAACGGTCTGCCGGCGGTGGACGGGAACACGCTTAAAAATATGATCCTCAACCAGCAACGAGAAGGTAAGAAGACCTTGGCCCTAACCCTGATGCCAAGAGAGAGGCCAAGAGAGAGGCCAAGAGAGAGAGAGGCCAAGAGAGAGAGAGGCCAAGAGAGAGAGGCCAAGAGAGAGAGGCCAAGAGAGAGAGGCCAAGAGAGAGAGAGGCCAAGAGAGAGAGAGGCCAAGAGAGAGAGAGGCCAAGAGAGAGAGAGGTCAAGAGAGAGAGAGGTCAAGAGAGAGAGAGGTCAAGAGAGATAGGTCAAGAGAGAGAGAGGCCAAGAGAGAGAGAGGCCAAGAGAGAGAGAGGCCAAGAGAGAGAGAGGCCAAGAGAGAGAGAGGTCAAGAGAGAGAGAGGTCAAGAGAGAGAGAGGTCAAGAGAGATAGGTCAAGAGAGAGAGAGGTCAAGAGAGAGAGAGGTCAAGAGAGAGATAGGTCAAGAGAGAGAGGTCAAGAGAGAGATAGGTCAAGAGAGAGAGAGAGAGAGGCCAAGAGAGAGAGGCCAAGAGAGAGAGGCCAAGAGAGAGGTCAAGAGAGAGAGAGGTCAAGAGAGAGAGGCCAAGAGAGAGAGGCCAAGAGAGAGAGGCCAAGAGAGAGAGGCCAAGAGAGAGAGGTCAAGAGAGAGAGAGGTCAAGAGAGAGAGAGGTCAAGAGAGAGAGAGGTCAAGAGAGAGAGAGGTCAAGAGAGAGAGAGGTCAAGAGAGAGAGAGGTCAAGAGAGAGAGAGGTCAAGAGAGAGATAGGTCAAGAGAGAGAGAGGTCAAGAGAGAGATAGGTCAAGAGAGAGAGAGGCCAAGAGAGAGAGGCCAAGAGAGAGAGGCCAAGAGAGAGAGGCCAAGAGAGAGGTCAAGAGAGAGAGAGGTCAAGAGAGAGAGGCCAAGAGAGAGAGGCCAAGAGAGAGAGGCCAAGAGAGAGAGACCAAGAGAGAGAGAGGCCAAGAGAGAGAGAGGTCAAGAGAGAGAGAGGTCAAGAGAGAGAGAGGTCAAGAGAGAGAGAGGTCAAGAGAGAGAGAGGTCAAGAGAGAGAGAGGCCAAGAGAGAGAGAGGCCAAGAGAGAGAGAGGCCAAGAGAGAGAGAGGCCAAGAGAGAGAGAGGTCAAGAGAGAGAGAGGTCAAGAGAGAGAGAGGCCAAGAGAGAGGTCAAGAGAGAGAGAGGTCAAGAGAGAGAGGTCAAGAGAGAGAGGCCAAGAGAGAGAGGCCAAGAGAGAGAGGCCAAGAGAGAGAGGCCAAGAGAGAGAGACCAAGAGAGAGAGAGGCCAAGAGAGAGAGAGGTCAAGAGAGAGAGAGGTCAAGAGAGAGAGAGGTCAAGAGAGAGAGAGGCCAAGAGAGAGAGAGGCCAAGAGAGAGAGAGGCCAAGAGAGAGAGAGGTCAAGAGAGAGAGAGGTCAAGAGAGAGAGAGAGAGAGAGGCCAAGAGAGAGAGGCCAAGAGAGAGGTCAAGAGAGAGAGAGGTCAAGAGAGAGAGGCCAAGAGAGAGAGGCCAAGAGAGAGAGGCCAAGAGAGAGAGGCCAAGAGAGAGAGACCAAGAGAGAGAGACCAAGAGAGAGAGAGGCCAAGAGAGAGAGAGGTCAAGAGAGAGAGAGGTCAAGAGAGAGAGAGGTCAAGAGAGAGAGAGGTCAAGAGAGAGAGAGGTCAAGAGAGAGAGAGGCCAAGAGAGAGAGAGGCCAAGAGAGAGAGAGGTCAAGAGAGAGAGAGGTCAAGAGAGAGAGAGAGAGAGAGGCCAAGAGAGAGAGGCCAAGAGAGAGAGGCCAAGAGAGAGGTCAAGAGAGAGAGAGGTCAAGAGAGAGAGGCCAAGAGAGAGAGGCCAAGAGAGAGAGGCCAAGAGAGAGAGGCCAAGAGAGAGAGACCAAGAGAGAGAGAGGCCAAGAGAGAGAGAGGTCAAGAGAGAGAGAGGTCAAGAGAGAGAGAGGTCAAGAGAGAGAGAGGTCAAGAGAGAGAGAGGCCAAGAGAGAGAGAGGCCAAGAGAGAGAGAGGCCAAGAGAGAGAGAGGCCAAGAGAGAGAGAGGCCAAGAGAGAGAGAGGTCAAGAGAGAGAGAGGTCAAGAGAGAGAGAGGTCAAGAGAGAGAGAGGTCAAGAGAGAGAGAGGCCAAGAGAGAGAGAGGCCAAGAGAGAGAGAGGCCAAGAGAGAGGCTGTAGACCCAGGAATGAGGCTGTAGACCCTGGATTTGATGACACAGTCCCTCTCTGCGCTTTAGACCCTTGTTTGTTCGTCTGTTTTTGTCTGTGTTTCGCTCCACTTAAAGCAGCGTTGGAAGAACCTCCGCAGATAATGGCCTGTAATCCTGTGAGCAAATGGACTTAAATGAGGCGAGAGAAGAGGAGACTCAATTACCTCAGCCCGAGCCCGGACAGGGAGGTTAGCCTTAGCATTAGCATATGTGAGGAAAGCCATCCGCCATTTAGTCTGAGAGGCGAAACGGAGGAAGTGTAATGAGAGGTGATTGAGATCTTTATGGACAGAAAAATAGACTTTTCATCAGTAGCAGCTGTGAGTGGAGAGAGATAATGATTACATGAATACATGTTAATGATCCAGTCATTAATGGATTAGAAAGGTGTAGTGTGTGTTATTCTTGGCACAATAACATTAACACTGTATTAACACTAACTTGAATTTCTCCTATGGGGATCAATAAAGTTTCTATCTATCACTGTATTAGCACTGGAACTCCCAGAGCAGTCACTTTGACAGCTCTTTGTAATTGAGCGGCAAAGAGCTGTCAAAGTGACTGCTCGGGGAGTTCTAGTGTTAATACAGTGATAGATAGATAGATCGTCTCATTATTGTTATTACTTTTCACACTTCCACCTTTTGCACTTTTTCAATTATTTACAAAAGTACAAGCACTTTTTCCCATTGACATACATTGGACCAGTACAACAGATTGCTCCCCATACAACACATTACCACACTAACAATTCATTACCACAGATACAATACATTACAACATCTTACAACACTTACAGCACCTTACAACACTTACAGCACTTTACAACACTTACAGCACTTTACAACACTTACAGAACTTTACAACACTTACAGCACCTTACAGCACTTTACAAGCTTACAGCACTTTACAACACTTACAGCACTTTACAACACTTACAGCACCTTACAACACTTACAGCACCTTACAACACTTACAGCACCTTACAACACTTACAGCACTTTACAACACTTACATAACTTTACAACACTTACAGCACTTTACAAGCTTACAGCACTTTACAACACTTACAGCACTTTACAAGCTTACATCACTTTACAAGCCTACAGCACTTTACAACACTTACAGCACTTTACAAGCTTACAGCACTTTACAACACTTACAGCACTTTACAAGCTTACAGCACTTTACAACACTTACAGCACTTTACAAGACTTACAGCACTTTACAACACTTACAGCACTTTACAACACTTACAGAACTTTACAACACTTACAGAACTTTACAACACTTACAGCACCTTACAACACTTACAGCACCTTACAACACTTACAGCACCTTACAACACTTACAGCACTTTACAACACTTACAGCACTTTACAACACTTACAGCACTTTACAACACTTACAGAACTTTACAACACTTACATCACCTTACAACACTTACAGCACCTTACAACACTTACAGCACTTTACAACACTTACAGCACCTTACAACACTTACAGCACTTTACAACACTTACAGCACTTTACAAGCTTACAACACTTACAGCACTTTACAAGCTTACATCACTTTACAAGCCTACAGCACTTTACAACACTTACAGCACTTTACAACACTTACAGCACTTTACAACACTTACAGCACTTTACAACACTTACAGCACTTTACAAGCTTACAGCACTTTACAACACTTACAGCACTTTACAACACTTACAGCACCTCACAAGCTTACAGCACTTTACAACACTTACAGCACTTTACAACACTTACAGCACCTTACAACACTTACAGCACCTTACGACACTTACAGCACTTTACAAGCTTATAGCACTTTACAACACATTCAGCACCTTTCAACACATTTCTTCTTCTTCCTCTTTGTCTTCCTCTTCCTTTGACATCTATGCAGCCACTCACAATGGTTTCAGCCATTGTACCATTTCTAGTAGTGAAATTACTACTTATGTTTGGTCTTCATAACATTGAGAATTTTACTGTTTCTATTTGTAGTTTATTTCTAGTTCTAGATAGATAGATAGTAGGGGTGTCACGATTCTCCAAATTCTCGATCCGATTTGATTTTATTTTAGGGTCACAATTTGATTTTCGATTTATTTTCTTTTTCTAACAGCTGCTTAAAAATACATAAATAACCCTAGTCAGTTAGAGCTAGTGATGGGCAGGTGACAATGCTAACCTGTTATCTCCATGAAGCCCAATAGGAAAGTGCTTCTTTCTCTGGCTGAATCTCCTCTCTCTTGCTCATATTGACGTTCATGTAAAAGTAAACCCCTCTAGCTCAGTCACATTTGTGTCACAGTCCCCTTTTTTGCCTTAAATCTGTGGTTTAGTGCTTTCTGTGATCCTACTGTTTATATTGTGATGTTGTCTTTGTAATCAGAGGCCTTCATTCAGGGGTAAACTGAATTGACGTTGTCCGAACATTTGCCCATCTACAGTTGAGTAATTAGCTCCAGCTAGCTTATAATTAATGCTGGCAGGAGCTAATCATCAATGTTCTGAGTTCATGCTAACATCATGGAGACCACAGCACTCTGTCCACTCTATTATCTGCTCTATGCTTTATCTTGAAAGATTTCACATTCACCACAGTTCTAGTGCAAACGCAGACACGTACAATGGTCATCGTTCTAAAGTGCTCACCCTGCACCTTCTTATCACTTAAAAAACTTTTTCAGACTGAGGGACTGCAGCTACAACAACAACCCTCTCTGCTTTTCAGGAAACTCCAATGTTTACTCTCTGACGTTAGAGCGAGTGGTCTGAGTGTGATATCACCACACTGTTGGCCTTAAAGGGCCCATATTACGCTTTTTGACTTTTTTTCTGGTTTAAACATGATTCCAGTGTTATTTGGCCTCATACATATGCTCAGAGTAGTTTGTTCATTGATTCCGTCAAGCTTTAGTTAGAGAGAAATCTTTCTCTTTCATTCTCGGGAGGCGCAGAAACGAGCTGATTCAAATTGTGACGTGGCACAATCAGTGACGTCAAAAACGTCACTGATTGACAGCGGGGAGACACTGAACCAGCAAATCAGCGTCGTCTATGATCAGCTGCAGCCTGTCTACAAGTCCAGCGTGTGTGGTCCATAGACAGTGAATAAGCGTCTGTGCTTTTCTGTGTTAGCTTCATGTCAACTTGGTGAAAATGTGTTGTTGGTGTGAATATGTGAAGACAGTATTTGGCCGAAGACGGAGAATGGGGATGAACTTTGTCCACGGGGATCTGCCTCGTATCTGCGAGTCTGAAATCTGTGACGTAACTCGCAGATGTTTTTCCTGTTCCAGAACTACAGTTACCTTGAAACGGGACATACTCAAAAGCTGATCTGGAAACATGTGTTATTCCAACATAAAAGAGGCTAACAGGAGCCTCGGCCTGCGAGTACAATGATGCTATCTCGCCGTGTGTCACTGTGAACTAAATAATTTGGTCTGATTCTGGATCAGGGACATAGGGCTCTGTGTGACCGGTTGCCATTGTTGGAAAACGTTTATACTCAGGTGTGAAAGGACTGTAACAGCGAAAGCCGTACAGTTAGCTCTTGTTTACCTCAGAACTTTCTCTGAACTTAGCGAGATGCTACGTCAGGGCGGGGGGAGGTGGGCTCACAGACAGAGGAGCACTGATCAGCTCGTTTCACATAAGGTGACATCTACTCTTTATACAAAATGGCAATAATTTGCATTGCATTGCATTAGCATTGGCCTTTGGGCCTGAAGGTCGTGGGTTCAAGCCCACCATAAGACCTACTTCACGACTCCCACTGATGACTGCTGTCGTTGTGTCCTTGGGCAAGACACTTAACCCCACTTTGCCTGAAGCTCCCACTGAAAGATCTCAGCTCCTGTGGACTCACCACATGCAGGAGGATACAATACAATACAATACAATACAATTTATTCTTGTATAGCCCTAGGTCACAACAGAAGTCATCTCAGAGGACTTAACAAAACCATTGAAATCACCAACACAGGTCAGAGAATCAACAGTTAAAACACATGAAGAATATAAAGCACACACAGAAGAAAATGTCCATACATGTTGTAGAATGCTAAAGTGTCCTGATCATCACCAGTCCTTTCTGTTGGACACTAACTGTCCAACAAGACCCTCCTGCATCGACAAGGAAAAACTCTTAAAAAACCCAGTGGGAAAAAGTGAGAAACCTTGGGGAGCACTAGGGAAACCCACAGGGAGGGAGACCCATATGAGAAAGGGATCCGCTCCTCCGGACGGACAGGCTAATGATCTAGGACCTAAGCTAGCTACAGAACGTGGACCAGTGGCCGCTGAACGTGGACAGGTCCGGTGCAGGACTGAAGCACTCCCAGGCGGGTCGGGCGGGGCAGTCCGCAGGTGTAGATGGAAGAGGCCAGGCTCAGAGGTCCCGTCATCGTACCATGAAACAGACAATGGGACAACGGGTGAATAGCAAGGATCAGTGAGGGGCTGGTGCTAAGTGTACTGGGTGCAGCTCTGACTGCCACCCCCCCGACCCAGAAATGGATTAAGGGGAAGAAAATGGATGGATGGCAATAATTTGACGTGTTGTATGGTGTATCACCCAAATTATTATCACACATGTGCATTGCTGTAGATCCAGGTGTGAGGCTGTAGATCCAGGACTGAGGCTGTAGATCCAGGACTGAGGCTGTAGATCCAGGACTGAGGCTGTAGATCCAGGACTGAGGCTGTAGATCCAGGACTGAGACTGTAGATCCAGGACTGAGGCTCTAGATACATGATCACAGGGAGTACTAAACCACAGATTTAAGCCCAAAATGAGTGTGACATTACAGAGTTACTGAGCTAGAGTTTACTTTTACATGGAAGTCAATGGAGCGAGTTGGAGCAAAACTTCATCCATGAGCTCTTCCCTATTGGGCTTCATTGAGCTAGCGGGTTAGCATTATCCATCTTATACAGTCTATGGTTATGAGCCACTTTCAAATCTCCTTGTGCCACTTTGCTTATATTATATTAAAGCGACCAGTCGTTTCTGTGCCGCTAATGGAAGCTCTCCCACGCGTGACGCTAACTCCACGAGTGGTTTGAACTCGTTAGCATCTTCAGTCGGAGGTTTGTTAGCATGCACAGTGGTATGTGTGCGCTGACACTCCTGTTTGAGTAAGATGGATGAGGCACGCTGCTATAGGCCTGATGGAATAAGCTGTAAATGTGCTTTTCCATAATTTACCCGTGTTTTTGAATGGTTTCCAATTAGATCAATTTGCTAAAAGCAGCAACGGTTGGATGCTGTGTGTAATTGCAGGTTTTGCAGTGACAGGAGTGACAAAATAAACCAGTGTTAAAGATAAGCATGCTATAGGAGTCTCACGCTGAACAAAACACACTCATTTAGATACAGACTGTTTAATCAAGAGGCATATATACTGTTGTGTGTGAATATCAATATTCACTGATTAAAAACAGCCTTTGACTCCTCCTCCTTAACATGTAAGGAGGAGGAGTTAAAAATTGCATTTCTACAATTTTTAAATAAATTCAATTCATTTTAATTCATCTTTGTATCGCCCTAAATCAGAACAGCAGTTATCTTTACCAAGCTGTCGATTAACCAACACAGATCAGGGAATCAAACAGTTCAAACATTTGTGCAATGCCATGTTGGCAAACCCATAGAGCAATTGACCCATTAGGGGTAGATGACCAATGTCCATAAATGAGTGTCTGGATCCTCTCCGTCCTTAGACCCTCCTGCATCAGAGAGGAACAACTCTAAAAACACACAGAGAGAGAAAATTAAGAAAGACTGAGGCTGTAGATCCAGGACTGAGGCTGTAGATCAGTCCAGTCCACCGGTGCAGATGGAGGAGGCCAGGTTCAGGAGTCCTATCCTCACGTCGTGAAAAAGACAGTGGGTGATTAGCAATGAACAGACCACAGCAGATAAAGTAGAATAGGATGGTGCTGTTACCATACCTCTCCAGCAGGGGCACCATATGCAGCGTCACTGATAGTATTTATACGTTTTCTCTGAGTCTTAGGCTACGGTCACATGCACAACCTAAAGCCTGGTCAAAGTGGGGCGAGGCCCAGATGTGACCGTGGCACACCACTTTTGGGCGAGCACGGTTGAAAAAATAATAAACCCTTGTGACCGCGGGCCGTCTTCACACCCCTGTAGCAACGATCCGGGCCACTTGGCCTAGTTTGTTTGTGATCCAAAACCCATGTGACCGTGCCCTAACCAAATGCTGAAGTAAAGAGGACTGTGTTGTAAGTCTGACCTTGAATGTAGAGACTGTGTCTGCTTCCTTAACGTGGATGAGCTGATTCTACAGGGACGGAGCTGGGAGCGAAAGGCTCTACCGCAGGCTTTACCACAGGAAACCAGTGGAGGGTTTTATAGGAGGTTTTGGGCAAGCTGCCAGCAGGGAGCAGGGAGAGACCATAAAGAGAGAGACCGGAGAGAGACAACCTGACTGTGGAGATAAGGCTAGCACCATTAGTAACCTCTTTTAAAGAGCGACTGAACACCAAATCAACTTTTTTAAACTCATAAACTGCATAAGTATGTTTATTGTAGTGCTGTCTACATATCCTGGTCATTTTTTTGACATTTTAGTTCAAATTAGATAAAATATCACTTTTGAGCCAAAAAACGCTGTGTGGCGCCCTCTCAACCTTTTTGGTGGTACTACATTTGAATTTGGTCCTGGCCTCTCTATTGACTCTGAAGTTCTCTATGACATCAGTTGTTTTGTGTGACGTCAGTCTGTCAGAGCCAGTGATATAAACCCATCCAACTCTCACACACGCCCCAGCTGCAGTTTGGAGTATTCTGGCGCCATCTAGTGGATCAAAATTAAATTACATGAGTCATTCTGAGATTATTGAGTGTGATTAGGTTCAGGTGTGTAGCTTTACAATTATCTTAGTGTGTAAACAAGGGTGGAATGAGACTTTCTGGTCTGTAAACTATTGCTTTAAGCAGCAATGACAACTGTCTGTTTTTTTTTTTTGTGTGACAAGTGAGCTGTCAATCACAGCCCAGACCACGCCCAACTCTAAGCCCCCCTTCTTGTCCCTTAGTCCTCCAGGCAACGCCCTTTTTAGAGAAAATTTTCAAATCTTCATGTGGGCGGAGTAAGGCTGGGCACAGGTGTTTAGTCGCTCTTTAAATCACTTAAAACCCACTGTTGTCACATGTGGTTTACTGTTCTATATTGTTTTTCTTGTTGTGTTATTCTGTCTGCTTTTTTTTGTGTGTGTGTGGGTGTGGGTGCACATGCACATATGGTCTCATATGTGCATGTGCGTGCGTTAACGCTCTCGCTCTTTGTGTGTGTGTGTTTGTTTTAAAGCTCCCCTTGTGTGTGTGTTTGTGTTTACACTCGGCGTGTGTATGTTTATCCTGCAGCAGCAGAGAAGAGTGCGAGCAGCAGCAGTGTGGTGAAGCAGGGCCTGCTGGAGCACAGAGAGGGCAGTAGGGGGCGCTGGAGCGTCTGTCACATGGAGCTGACGCCCTGTGAGCTGCGCCTCTACACTCTGGACTCCAGTGCTAATCGGCAGTTGGGCACCGCCTTTTCTCTGTCCCACTGCCAGAGCTGCACCACACCTGCCCTGGGGCAGCCTGCTGACCCACGCACACTTCAGGCGCTCTTTTTCAACAGCACCCTCCTGCACCTGCGCGCCACCTGCCAGTGGGAGGCACTAGAGTGGAGAAGAGCCATATGGGAGACGGTGAGAGGAAGTGACTGTAATAATAATAATGAATCTGTTTAAATACAGCGCTTCACATTCATTACATACACAGCCTGACAAACTACTACTGTAGCCACAGCTGCCTTGGGGCACACTGACTTAGGCCCCGTTTGGATGGAGGTGCTGCCCAGACGTTGCAAAGCAATTAACAGAAACGACCGGGCTCTCGTCCAGCGTTTAGATGAGACGTGAAAATGATGTAGTTATAGCGCCCGGCCAGAAGTGGGCAGAGGAACTTCACAACACGACACACGTGACCCCCAGACCCCCCAGTAGTATATTCACTTTCTCAACATCCTCTTCAGACGCCGTTAAGACGTGATCAGTAACAATAACGATTCGGCAAAAACGCTGAACCGTCACCGTCGAACCGTTGTACATGTTTGGGACGCCCAATGAGCACTGGCCATTGATTTGTCTGGGCACATAAGTTGGAGAGACCAGGGGCAGACATGTTGGAGAGACCAGGGGCAGACATGTTGGAGAGACCAGGGGCAGACATGTTGGAGAGACCAGGGGCAGACATGTTGGAGAGACCAGGGGCAGACATCTTGGAATAACCAGGGGCAGACATCTTGGAGAGACCAGGGGCTTGGCACTGAGCTGAGCGTATAAGGGATTACTTACTTGTGAAATTCTAAACGCTTATGGTTACATTCCAATAATTATTTAACACAAAACAAGATTATCTCTCTCATAGCTGAGGTATAACTACAATTACAGGCATCTGTGATCGTTGTAAGTGGGAGGACTTGTGACTTACTAAATGTTTGCTCCACTGTGTGACATGTTTTTATATACAGTTTGCTGTTTCTGTTGCGGCCGCAGGTGCAAGCCGCACGCCCACGGCCACAGACTGTCTCTCCTGTGTCTCCGTGTGGCCTGGACACACGGCCAGACAGAGACTCGCCCTCCACAGACGCATCCCTGTCCTCGCAGTCGTCCACAGTAACGCCGCAGCGGCCGACCACGCTGCCCCTGCTCCCGCTGGTACCTCAGAGGGGTGAGGAGGTGCTACTCCCACTGGTCCCTCAGAAGGGTGAGGAGGTGCTGGTCCCTCAGAGGAGTGAGGAGGTGCTGAAGGCTGGGCTCCTGCACCAGCTGTTGGAGCTGAGCCGCTGGAGGGTCTACACCTTTGTGCTGACGCGCTCCTCGCTGCAGGCGTTTCCCACTGAGGGCAGAGGGGCGGGGTCCACACCTCTCCGGCAGTACGCACTGGCGGCTTGTGCCTCTGTTCAACACGGTACAACTGTATCATGCAAACATCGCATTTCATGTTTTAGGATGTGAATGATTTTATTCAGTTGAAAATGTTTCCTACAGAGAGGTTCTGAGCTCTCTGGTCTCTTTCTTGTCTCTCTTTTGTCTCTCTCTTGTCTCTCTTTTGTCTCTCTCTTGTCTCTCTCTTGTCTCTCTCTTGTCTCTCTCTTGTCTCTCCCTGGTCTCTCCCTGGTCTCTCCCTGGTCTCTCCCTGGTCTCTCTCTGGTCTCTCCCTGGTCTCTCCCTGGTCTCTCCCTGGTCTCTCCCTGGTCTCTCCCTGGTCTCTCTCTGGTCTCTCTCTGGTCTCTCTCTGGTCTCTCTCTGGTCTCTCTCTGGTCTCTCTCTGGTCTCTCTCTGGTCTCATATGTGAAATGTGTTCCCAGGTCCAGGCCTGTGGACACAGCGCTCTGACTGCTTCCAGGTGGTGTTCTCCTCAGAGGTGGTGCGTCTGAGAGCAGATGGTCAGGTTCGGGCGCAGGAGTGGGTCTCCACCCTGAAGGGGGCGCTACAGCAGCTGCGTCAGGCCACAGGAGCTGAGGAGCAGGTGGAGGTCCTGCAGGGGGCGGTGCTGAGGCCCAGAGACAGAAAGCACAGAGAGACACAGCGAGCCAAGAGACAGTCTGTCACCACCAGCTTTTTAAGTCTCATCAGCTGTCTCAGCGTGGAGAAAGGACTGACAGCACAGGGCTTCAAGTGTGCAGGTACCACAGAGACACACAGGTACAACACAGAGACACACAGGTACAACAGAGACACAGAGGTACAACACAGAGACACAGAGGTACAACACAGAGACACAGAGGTACAACACAGAGACACAGAGGTACAACACAGAGACACAGAGGTACAACACAGACACAGAGACACAGAGGTACAACAGAGACACAGAGGTACAACAGAGACACAGAGGTACAACACAGAGACACAGAGGTACAACACAGACACAGAGACACAGAGGTACAACAGAGACACAGAGGTACAACAGAGACACAGAGGTACAACAGAGACACACAGGTACAACAGAGACACAGAGGTACAACACAGAGACACAGAGGTACAACACAGAGACACAGAGGTACAACACAGAGACACAGAGGTACAACACAGACACAGAGACACAGAGGTACAACACAGACACAGAGACACAGAGACACAGAGGTACAACAGAGACACACAGGTACAACAGAGACACAGAGGTACAACACAGAGACACAGAGGTACAACACAGACACAGAGGTACAACAGAGACACAGAGGTACAACAGAGACACAGAGGTACAACAGAGAGACACAGAGGTACAACACAGAGACACAGAGGTACAACACAGAGACACAGAGGTACAACACAGAGACACAGAGGTACAACACAGAGACACTGAGGTACAACACAGACAATGGACAATGCTAGCACAGACTGTATACCAGGGGGGTCCAAACCTTTTAGTAAGAGGGGCACTTTAGTTAACCAGACTAGTCCAGGGGCCGACATCACGGACTGAAAAAACTGTCTTGATTGGCATTGGGCTGTTCTGAGATTTATGATTATATGTAACAGAGCTGAAGTTGGCTGAATGACAAATGTTAACCATCTCAACAGCTACATTAGTACCATTAAGATAAGTGACACAATCAAAAACCGTACAGTATGTGCAAATAAAGTCAACAACGTACTGGGCTTTAGAACAAGGTCTATATTGGCTGAGCTGAAGTTGGATGAATGACAAAGTGAACTTGTGTTTCTGATCCGAAAGACTATTTTGGGTTAGCGTTGCAGAGATCAGATTCAGATTCATTTATTTGCCATTTGCAGTAAAACCACATTGGAAAACTGTGCAAGACTACCCCGGTGTGCACCAGACAGAGAAGACGACACACACCAGAGCTCTTGCCACGGCGCCATCTTTACGGCGCCATGCGACAAACAGTAGAATAAACAGCAGAGAGCAATAACATACAGTTTCACAGACAGTTGGATAGACACATTTGTGCTTTGTATAAAGCACGGATTTTTTCTCGGGATGAAGCACCTCCTACAGCCGGCCCAATGTGGCTGTCAGAGGGGGGCGGGGTCAGGGAGGGGGTGAGTCGGAAACACAGTGAGGAGTAGAGGGGAGGGAGGGAGCAAGATGGATAGGTAGAGGGAGGCGGGGGAACGGGATCCAAGCTGGAGACTGAAATAGTGTGAGTTGTTGTAGATGGGACCTTTGTTATTATGGCCTTGGCCCGAGGAATGTGAGATAAGAGTGGAGAGAAGGCACAGGAGGAGAAAAACACATCGCCTCAGGGGGACAATATAAAATGTAATGTCAGGCAGATATTCTATTAAGTCCAATTAAACCGAATTGCGGCGCCCTCAGACCCCGTACACAGGGGCAAATCCAAGCCGGGTCAGAGAGTTCAAGCCTGACACACAATGTCATTCAATCTCAACTCCAGAGTTTTATGTCCATCGAGTGAACGAGCTGCGAGATCTTTTATCAACTGTTCCACCAAAACCACTCTCCTTTGTCCAGACACAGCACTCTCAACCACGACGCGGCTAAGCTCCTTGTACATCCCATCAATTTTGTCGGCCAGCAGGTCGTGAATCTTGCGAACTGCCATGCCTCCGAATTTGTGGTAGAACAGGATCGCTCCAAACCCAAACAGGAGGATTCCCACCACCAAAATGCCAAAGATATATACGTCTTCCGAATCTTCAATGGACAGGGTCGACAGACAGAGGGGCTGAAACTTGTTCCAGCTGTCAAGAGTATACCCCGCAGGTGAAGTCCCGTCCGGGCACACGGGCTCTCCAGACCCACGCTTACGTGTTGAAAAGATAGAATCAATTGCGTTGAGGGACCAGTTAATCATTTCCATTCTTGTTAAAGTTGTCTGTGGCAAAACTCCAGGAAAAAGACAAAAACAGGAGATAGCAAGCAGTCAGAAGCAGGAGCGTCTGAGACACGTCTTTGCTCGACGGAGGCGGAAGTAGTAGAGGGTCACATAAAATGACACTGAGGGCCGCCTTTGGCCCCCGGGCCTGAGTTTGGACATGCCTAATGTATATGGACAATGCCAACATGGACTGTATACAGATGTTGTCTTTGTAAATCCAGATATGAGCCATATAAGGACAATTACAGGCCTTCATTCAGGGGAAACTCCAGCTTGCCTTAGCAACCATCTTAGCAACCGTCATAGCACTTGTATATAAGGAAACTTGCTCCAACTTATGTTTAAGAGAGTCTGTTACGCTGCTCAGTGGGAGGCTGTTTCACAGCTGTGTGAAGAAAAACGTGTGAATTCTCTGCTACTATGACCTCACCACTTTCCTGCACGGACATTTGGACATGCACAATAGCCGATAACAAACGTAAACAACAATGGTGCCTGGTCATCTATGCTACGTGTGTTTGAGCGCTACACAGAGAAGAATTCTACGAAACTACAAACTTCAGTTTCCACTGTCGCTGCTGTTAAATGCAGAATGATGTTAGTGCATTCTGTCCCATCTTTGCAGTGACCTGAGGAGGATATTGTTAAGGAAGTGGTTATACTGGTGGGGGACGCATGTATCCTTGTAAAGTTCCACTGCCCCCTACTGGCTGGGCGCTAGAACAACATTTTTTTCTGTCTTTGTGTAGATGCTTAGCACTTCAAATACGAAGCTGGGTTGTTTTTGCAAAATGCGCTTACAGCGTCTCTGTCGCGTCTTCGTCTAAACGGGGCCAAAGTCCGGGAACCCTTTGCTTTACTGTCATGCTCTCACTATAGTGTTCAGGGTCAGGGTCAGAGTCGGCATGAGAGAGAAGCATAAATGAAGATATTTCAGACGTTATCGTTGGGAGTCAGTGACTGTGAGTGCTTTCAAACCACTTCTTTCATAAACACAGCTGCTCATCTCTGTGTCCTTTATGTTTTAACTTAAAGCTCTGAGAGCTACGTCTGGAATCGTGTAGTTTTTATCTTAATCCGAGCACATTATGACTGTCTTAAAACAAGATTTGCCAATGGGACAAAGCCATTTAGTCTTTATTCAAGAACTGCTGCTTTGTTTTCTTATTCCAGGGAGACATTTCTTGTATCTTTTTAAAACAAGATCATGGCTTTGTTCTATTGACACATCTTGTTTTAAGTCAGAATGTGCTCAAATTGAAATACATCTAGCCAAATTTTAGACATTTTTTACTTTTTTCTCAATCACATTTTGCAGTGTAGTCTCTGTGGCCCCCCTGTGGCCAGACTGGCCCCCTGCTGTTGCCCAGAGTCAGGACTAAACATGAGGAAGCAGCGTTTCAGATTTATGCATCAAATATCTGGAACAGTTTTCCTGAAAATGGGGGGACAGGCTTCTTCTCTGACAATGTTTAAAGGTCCTATATTTCACTTTTGTTTCATTTCTCACAGTCCATCCTAAACACATGATAATAATTTGGGTGATACCCCACGCAATACTCTTAGATCTGTGCTCCTTCCACTGTGAGACCGCCTCCCCCCACCCGCACCGTGACATAGTCTCACGCTGACTTTGTAAACACAGAACTGTTTACTATTGCTTTCACTGGTACAAAATCATTTCAGACCTGAGAATAAACTTTGTTAAACAATGGCAATCCGTCTCATTGTGTCCAGAGCTCCTCCAGAATATTACCTTAAATATTAAGTTCACAGAAGTATACGGCAAGTTAGTTGCTTTGTACTTCCAGATCGGAGCTCTTTGTTAATGTAGTTTATCATCAGAATAGCAGAGGTTTCCAGATCAGCTTTTGAGTGAGTCCAGTTTCATGGTAAACGAGCAGTATTTGGAGAGGTGTATTTGTGGAGTGTTGTAATGGCAGATCCCCTTGAATAGAAAGTCCAGCTATACTCGTGTATTCTTTGTCTTCAGGTCAAAGTCACAAAGTTACACCCAAAAACCCATTTCTCCAAGTTGAGAGCGCTATTGCACTAGCATGAAAACAGACAGCCTAGAAGCGAACACAGACTGTGGTAGGGTCCATTCGCTGAGACAGGCTGCGCGCTGATTCGCTTTTGGTTTCTCTCCTACTGTCAATCACCTCCCGTAGGCGGGGCTTCTGAAGCTCGACCAACGTGTGAAAGTGTGCTACGTAACAAAGTGAATCGGGTTGTTTCTGTGCCTCTTGAGTATGAAAGAGAAAGATTGCTCTCTGCCTAAAGCTTGAGGGAATCAATCAAAAAATCAATCAATCAATCAAAGTTTATTTGTAGAGCGCCTTTCATACACATGGCAACACAAAGCGCTTCACAGTCCACATCACAAATCATCACATAAAACAAACACCAGAATCACAATTAAAACATTAAAATCACACAAAAGATTAAAACACAATTAAAACATTAAAATCACACAAAAGAATAAAACCATTAAAACTTTCAAAATTACACAAGAAATTTAAATAAATAAATAAATGACAGCAGTGCATTAAAAATGGAGATAAAATCCTTCAGTTGTATGCACAGGCAAACAGAACAGTCTTTAACCTGGATTTGAACATTGACAGAGTAGACGCCTCCCTCACATTTTCAGGGAGATTGTTCCAGATCTTAGCTGCATGGATCTGAAACGCAGCCTCCCCATGTTTGGTTCTCACTCTGGGCACCAGCAGGAGGCCAGTCCCTGTGCTCCTCAGAGTCCGGGCTGGTTCATATGACACCAACATGTCACTAATGTATTCTGGTGCAAGGCCATGGAGAGACTTGTACACAAGCAGAGCCGTTTTAAAATCTATTCTTTGAGCCACAGGAAGCCAGTGCAGAGAAAAAATACTCTAGGCATGTGTATGAAGGCCAAATAGCACAATAATGATGTTTAAACCAGAGAAAAGTCAAAAAGCGTAGTATGGGACCTTTAAATCCAGGTTAAAAACAGATCTTTTTGGCTGCAACAACAGAGGGATTGAACTTTTTTATAATGTACTGTGATTATTTATGATATAAGGCCTTGTGTGCTGTACAAATAAAATTGCCTAGAGTAGGGCTGGTGCGAAAGGGTTCTGTGTGTTAGCATGTAGTTAGAGCTGCTGCTCCCTTCTCTGAGGTCCTCCTCCAGAGCACTTCCCTCTTGTAACATAAAACAGAAGTGATGTTCTTTGATATTCTATAGTCTCTTTCAGAGCAGCGTGGCCTTACAGCCTCATACATCTGTCTGTGTGTTTGGCTCCGCCCCTTCCCTTTGCAGACCATTCTACTGCTCTTTACCTGAACCTGATGAAACGCTTCTCTATTACTTTCAAACATCTCTTTGATCTGCTTTTAAGGCAGCCCTTCATTTGCATGTCGCCATCTTGAAACTGGTCATTAAACAAGGGCGATGGGGGGGACACCAGGGCTCTGGTTCAGAGGTGACCCCGCTAGAGAGGAGAGAGAGGGGGAAGGGGAGAGAGAGAGGGGGTCAGTCAATTTGATTAAATTCAGTTTATTCTTGTAAAGCCCTAAATCACAACAGTAGTTATCTCAGAGGACTTCACAAAACTGGTGAGAATTAAACAGTTAAAACACAAAAAATATAGAACTCAAAGGTATTGGTGCATAGGGAGATGACCAATTCTCACAAGTCTTGATAAATGTCCATAAATGTTGGAGAGTGTTGAGTGTCCTGGATTATCACCACAGTCCTCTTTGTTAGACACTAACCGACCCTCCTGCATCGGCAAGGAAAAACTCTTAAACCCAGTGGGATAAAAGTGAGAAACCTCGAGGAGGTCCACGTCCAAAGCCCTAACCTTGACCCTAAGCCAATAGAAAATCATTGAGTTAAACCTGTAGTTTTCCTACAGCAGGAGGCATTACTGTGTGGAACCTCCTTTACAGTGCCTTGCGAAAGTATTCAGCCCCCTTGAACCTTTCAACATTTCGCCACATTTCAGGCTTCAAACATAAAGATATAACATTTTAATTTTTTGTCATGAATCAACAACAAGTGGGACACAATCGTGAAGTGGAACGAAATTTATTGCATAATTTAAACTTTTTTAACAAATAAAAAACTGAAAAGTGGGGCGTGCAATATTATTCAGCCCCTTTACTTTCAGTGCAGCAAACTCACTCCAAATGTTCAGTGAGGATCTTTGAATGATCCAATGTTGTCCTAAATGACTGATGATGATAAATAGAATGCACCTGTGTGTAATCAAGTCTCCGTATAAATGCACCTGCTCTTTGATAGTCTCAGGGTTCTGTTTAAAGCGCAGAGAGAACCATGAAGACAAAGGAACACACCAGGCAGGTCCGAGATACTGTTGTGGAGAAGTTTAAAGCCGGATCTAGATACAAAAAGATTTCCCAAGCTTTAAACATCTCAAGGAGCACTGTGCAAGCAATTATATTGAAATGGAAGGAGTATCAGACCACTGCAAATCTACCAAGACCCGGCCGTCCCTCCAAACTTTCATCTCAAACAAGAAGACTGATCAGAGATGCAGCCAAGAGGCCCATGATCACTCTAGATGAACTGCAGATAACTACAGCTGAGGTGGGAAAGTCTGTCCATAGGACAACAATCAGTCGTGCACTGCACAAATCTGGCCTTTATGGAAGAGTGGCAAGAAGAAAGCCATTTCTCAAAGATAGCCATAAAAAGTCTTGTTTAAAGTTTGCCACAAGCCACCTGGGAGACACACCAAACATGTGGAAGAAGGTGCTCTGTTCAGATGAAACCAAAATCGAACTTTTTGGCCACAATGCAAAACGATATGTTTGGCGTAAAAGCAACACAGCTCATCACCCTGAACACACCATCCCCACTGTCAAACATGGTGGTGGCAGCATCATGGTTTGGGCCTGCTTTTCTTCAGCAGGGACAGGGAAGATGGCTAAAATTGATGGGAAGATGGATGGAGCCAAATACAGGACCATTCTGGAAGAAAACCTGTTGGAGTCTGCAAAAGACCTGAGACTGGGACGGAGATTTATCTTCCAACAGGACAATGATCCAAAACATAAAGCCAAATCTACAATGGAATGGTTCACAAATAGACGTATCCAGGTGTTAGAATGGCCAAGTCAAAGTCCAGACCTGAATCCAATCGAGAATCTGTGGAAAGAGCTGAAGACTGCTGTTCACAAACGCTCTCCATCCAACCTCACTGAGCTCGAGCTGTTTTGCAAGGAAGAATGGGCAAGAATTCCAGTCTCTCAATGTGCAAAACTGATAGAGACATACCCCAAGCAACTTGCAGCAGTAATTGCAGCAAAAGGTGGCGCTACAAAGTATTAGCGCGAGGGGGTCGAATAATATTGCACGCCCCACTTTTCAGTTTTTTATTTGTAAAAAAAGTTTAAATTATCCAATAAATTTCGTTACACTTCACGATTGTGTCCCACTTGTTGTTGATTCATGACAAAAAATGTAAGTTTTATATCTTTATGTTTGAAGCCTGAAATGTGGCGAAATGTTGAAAGGTTCAAGGGGGCCAAATACTTTCGCAAGACACTGTACCCGTTTCTACAGAAGATAATATTTCTCATTCTCAAACATGAAACTCCAAATGGCCGTCTACACAGCTGTAGAGTAGAGTCAGACTGTAGGGTAGTGTAGAGTTATATATTTTATAGTGTTAATATTTCTTATGGTGCTTTCAGACCGGCAACGCTGAAACGCACATTCTCTAGTTTTCAGACGCAGGGGTCTTCAGACCAGAGGTTCTGGCGCACGCCGGAAGTGGCGGAAGTAGCCGGCGGGCTATGATGCTAACAGAGTTTAGCTAGCGGCTTCTTGTGTACAGATCTTCTCCAATAATGCAGCTTGGCAGCCTGTCTGTGTTCAGAGACCTTCCACAGACTTTATTTAACAGTAGTATGTGTTCACAGAGGTGCGCAATTAGTTTATTTTATTATTAACGGTACTTCCGCATCGGCGAACACACTCGAAGCAGTTACATAAAGTCACGGGAGCATGAAAACTGTTAACAAGCACTATGTCCCCCATTGTATTATGTCCCCCATTGTAAACCCTGGTTTAGTCCTGGTTTAGTCCTGGTGTAGCTCCTCTTTTGGCTGTTTACAGTATGTTCAGTCTGCTCGCTCAGTCCGTTAATGTCCCCATGACCACTTTGCGGCTCTCTGATTGGTTCCTGCACGAACGTCCCAAGAAAAGGTTGAGCAACATTCATCTCCTGCGTTCCTCCCCTTCGACTTCCCAGCGCGGTCTGTGCGTGCATTCCGAGACGTTTGTGCGTTTTGAACGCGCGTCACCATTGACTTTGCATTGAAAGCCAACGCAACGCATGATCCGGTCTGAACGCGGCATTAGTCCTGGATCTACAGCCGCAGTCCTTGATCTAGACTCAAATGTTGAGTGTGACACGGTTACTTTTACATGTAAGTCAATAGAAGCCACAGAGAGTTTGAACAGAACTTGGTGCATGAGCACTTCCCTATTGGGCTTCTTTGAGATCACCTTCATGTAGTAAAGGTTTATGGCGTTATTGGGCTGAAAGTTCAGTTATTGCTGTGAGTCTGAGGTATTTAGTGAGGGTTGTAAACTGTTATCTCCACGTGCTGTTGAGCAACACACTGATCCCCACAGAGAAAGGACTGTTAGGGGTTGTGGGCTTTAAAGCTGGGGTCCGTAACTTTCAACGCACATGCAATGAAGCATGTAATCAAACCATGTCACTAGTTTCTGGCTCTAAACACTTTGGTTCTGTCACTGGTTTTCTTATGCCTAGAGTTGAAGAGAGAAGACCAGGCTCTCGCAAATATTACAAAAAAAAAAATATTTTAAAATGATTAGATCTGTTCGTGTTTATCATGTTCTCATTTATGTTTATGGAAGAAGGAACAGAGAGAACACACTGGATACATGGGATTTTAAAGTTGGGTACCCCAGCTTTAGGTTCAATAATTCTCCATGGTGGAGAACCATGTGTGTGTTGCAGGTGTTGAGGACCATGTGTGAGAACCATGTGTGTGTTGCAGGGTGCCAGCGGCCTGTGGGTCTGTCCCGGGGAAAAGCCAAAGTGTGTGTGTACAGCGGCTGGTACTACTGTACCATGTGTCACCAGGACCAGACATTCCTCATCCCCGCCAGACTGCTGCACAACTGGGACACCAGCAGACACCAGGTGGGTCTGAGACAACAGCAGACACCAGGTGGTACCAGTGAGAACCCCATCCCTGACCCAGTTGTGTTCATAAAAAATGTTTTTTTAAAAATCGGTTGGGCTTAGAAGACAAAACATGTAAAGAAGCTAGTTCATCTTAATTACCCGACATGTTTGGACGGTAGACTTTTGCCTTTGTCAGAGGTGACTCGTGATGGTGTGACGCGTCTCTGATCAGTTGCTAATGGCCAACTCACATAATGGACTGGGACGAGGAAAATATAGTAGGAACGGAAGAAGATAAATACAAAACATGGATACGAGAAGCGATTGAAATCAGGAAGTGGGACACGGACCATCATCAGAGACAAGGGGGCATTCACCTTGGCTCACACTTGGGATTCACTTCTCCAGAGACCACAGCACGGCGGGGGCGCGGTCAGTCTGACAGATCTGTGTAATCTATCAGACTGACCCCATCCAGAAACAGCAGCTGAATAGAGACGCGTCACACCATCACGTGTCCCCTCTGACAAATGCGGAGGTCCACCGCCGAAACATTTCAGGTAATTAAGAAGTACTTGCTTCTGTATATTTTTGTCCTTCCAAGCCAGTTGTGTTCATGTTTCAGTATTTTAGCAGGTTCCTACACAGCTCTGTGGGAAAGACGTTTTTATTGTGTATCACCACTTCTAGCTGAGTTTATTTGTATAGCACGGTTCATCCGCAAGATATTGACACTGAAGTTCTAGTTCCAGAAGGCTGTAGACCCAGGACTGAGTCTGTGTGTGTGTGTGTGTGTGTGTGTGTGTGTGCGTGTGGGCGCAGGTTTCCCAACAGGCTAAAGAGTTCCTGGAGTTTGTGTATGAGGAGCCTCTGTTGGACGTGCAGCAGTTGAACCCGTGTCTGTACGACCACAGTGACGACCTCAGCACTGTGCTGAGGCTGCGGCAGCAGCTACAGTCTCTGAGAGCATATCTGTTCACATGCAGGGCAGCTGTGGCTGAGGACCTGAGGAGGAGGTGAGACATATATACATGCACGCACACACACACTGTTTTTGTGACATGGCCTGCCTTATGGGACCCTACAGTGTCACAAAACACACTTTTACCTGGGGTTGGACCCCAGAGTATTTTACTCTATCTCGTATTAACACTTGTTTGTCCAACAGAAAGAGACTTAAAAGTAAAATGTTGTGAAGTAATCAGCCCACAACAAGCTGTGTTTAACGTATAACACGTCATCTTTTGCATGCTAGTTTTAAAGAGCCATGTTTGGGCTGAGAACCATGTTCTTCTCTTTTCTGACTGCTCTGTCTGAAAGGGCTGATGTTAAGATGTGACAGAGGCTGAAATACATGCACTTGGAAACTAGTGGTAGAACGGATTTGAGGCTTTGGTTCAAATGTCAGCTACCCCAGCTTTAATAGCTTTCCTTTAGTCCTTGGAGTGAATGTGTACAACTGTTTTGTTCTTCTGCTGAGTAAAACTGTTCTGCGGGCGTCCATGAATGCTTTTGGCCATTTCCTGTCATTCCAAAGCCTCTTCAGACCATGAAGATCTAAACCTTCTGACATAGAGTTATGGTCTGTTCTTCTGTTTACACCTGAGCTCATAGTTCTGATCCCTCACCCTCCTCTGTTTACATCCGCCTGCTTTGAAAGAACCACAGCTGATGGATCCGGGGCCAGGTCAGAGGTCACACACTCAGAACCACAAGTGCAGGAAGACTCTTCAAAGAGATAACGGTTTCAAACCTCAACTTCAGACTAAAGTACAAAGAGCTGGTTCTGCTTCATCACCCCATGTGCAACAGTGGAACAATGCAACAATAGCAGGAACAGAAGAGCATAACGACAAAAGATGGAGACGAGAGGAGAAGGAAATCAGGAAGCAGGAGCAGGGACCATCAACAGAGACGAGGGGCCTTCACCTTGGCTCATACCTGGGATTCACTTTTCCAGAGCCTGCGTGGGCAGTCTTGGGGGGCGTGGCCAGTCTAAGGGGGCGGAGGGGGCTCGATCTGTCCGTCTGTACCAGTATCGTATATATAACCCTCTCTCTGCCTCAGTCACGGCACACACCTCAGCTGCTTTATTCTCATGGTCCAACAAAAGAATCAGAATCAGAATCAGAATCATTTTTATTGCCAACGTAAGTAACGGGAGGTCACAGACTTGGAAATTGCTTTGGCTCAGTGCAACAGTCAAAAAGAGATAATAAAAATAAGAATAAAAAACACTTCTAAAGAATAAATTTAAATTTAAAATAGAGTTACAGTTACTATTTACAATATACAAGTGCACATGGTGCACACAATGTAAGGTGACAGCAGTACAGTGAAGTAAAGTGACGTATGATGGGCAGTAAAGTGACTTTATAAAGGGCGGGGGGACAGGTTAAGAAGTGTTCAAGAGTCCAACAGCAGAGGGGAAGAAACTGTTCTTGTGGCGGGAGGTTCTAGTCCTGGTGGACCGCAGCCTCCTGCCTGAGGGGAGTGGTTGGAATAGTCCATGTGCAGGGTGAGAGGGGTCGGCTGTGATACGACCAGCCCGGCCTCGAGCTCGGGCGACGTACAGGTCCTGCAGCGATGGAAGGCTGCGGCCGATCACTTCCTCTGCAGAGCGCACAATGCGCTGTAGTCTCTGTTTGTCCCTGACTGTGGCTCCAGCGAACCACACGGTGATGGAGGAGGTGAGGATGGACTCGATGATGGCCGTGTAGAACTGCACCAACATCTGTGCAGGCAGCTTGGCTTTCCTGAGCTGCCGCAGGAAGTACATCCTCTGCTGGGCCTTCTTGATGAGGGAGCTGATGGTCGGCTCCCACTTGAGGTCCTGGGTGATGGTGGTGCCCAGGAAACGGAAGGACTCCACAGAGGTGATGGGGGAGTCCATCACGGAGGGTGGGGGCGGGGGGACAGTGCTCTTCCTGAAGTCCACAATCATCTCCACTGTCTTCTGGGCGTTCAGCTCCAGGTTGTTACCACTGCACCAGGACACCAGCCGGTCCACCTCCCTCCTGTAGGCGGACTCATCGTTGTTGGAGATGAGTCCAATGAGGGTGGTGTCGTCCGCGAACTTGATCAGCTTCACGGAGTCGTGGCTGGAGGTGCAGTGGTTGGTGTACAGGGAGAAGAGCAGGGGAGAAAGAACACAGCCCTGTGGGGCTCCTGTATTTATAATCCGAGAGTCCGAGACATTCTTCCCCAGACGCACTCGCTGCTTCCTGTCCGTCAGGACAGGAACTAGTTCATGTGGACAGAGAGTGAGATGTACCAAGAGGTTGTGACTCTGGTCTGTGAAAGGTGGTATATAAATAAATATGACTTACTTTTGCTCATAATCACACACTGTATACAGAGGGACAATGCTAACATAGACTGTATGCAGATGACAATGCCAACCCACTAGCTCAATGAAGCCTAAGAGGGAAGTGCTCTGGGTGAAGTTTGGCTCCTCTCTCTGGCTCCTATTGACTTCTACAGTATGTAACTTCAAGCTCAGTAAGATTTGTGTCACGCTCATCTTTTTTGGCTTAAATCTGTGGTTTATATTGTGATGTTGTCTTTGTAAATCCAGATATGAGCCTAACCAATCAGATTAATTCTCGATAACTTCAGAATGCCTTAGCAACTGTCTTAGCAACACGTCTGCCCTTGTTACGGTGCAAAGCTAACGCCGTAGAAGAAATGCCCATATAAGGAAACTGGCTCCAGCTTATGTTCAAATGGGCTTCTTCTCAGTCATGGACAGTGATGGTCTGAGGACAGTAGTCATCTGCCCCTTATGGACCTAAGGAATCCCTGTACGACTGAGGGCTTACACAAACTATGGCTCTATGTGTTTGTCATCTCTACATTACCTGTGTTTGAACTGTGAAGTCCAGGGTCAGGGGTCAGGGCTGGGGCTGATGTTTCCCAGGGCACTTGTGTGTGTGGTGAGTGTCTCTGAGCGCCTCCTGGTACGTTGCCAGGTTCTGTAGTGTTTTATCAGCTTGTCCTCTCACTCTGAGGCGTCTCCAACAGGAGCAGCACTCACCACTGAAACACTGACTTTCACTCTTGAAAACACATTCTAACAAGTCTCTGAAGCAGGTCTAAAGCAGGTCTAAAGCAGGTCTAAAGCAGGACTAAAGCAGGACTAAAGCAGGACTAAAGCAGGACTAAAGCAGGTGTAAAGCAGGTCTAAAGCAGGTCTAAAGCAGGACTAAAGCAGGTGTAAAGCAGGTGTAAAGCAGGTCTAAAGCAGGTCTAAAGCAGGTGTAAAGCAGGTCTAGGGCAGGTCTAGGGCAGGTCTAGGGCAGGTCTAAAGCAGGACTAAAGTAGGTCTAAAGTAGGTCTAAAGCAGGTCTAAAGCAGGACTAAAGCAGGACTAAAGCAGGTGTAAAGCAGGTCTAGGGCAGGTCTAAAGCAGGTCTAAAGCAGGTCTAAAGCAGGACTAAAGCTGGACTAAAGCTGGACTAAAGCTGGACTAAAGCAGGTCTAAAGCAGGACTAAAGCAGGTCTAAAGCAGGTCTAAAACATACTCAGACATACTTAGACATAACTGTGATAGAGATAGACTAAGCTCTAACATTTGTATCTCTGCAGAATCTCTCCTCGTGACCATCTGCTGCAGCACATACACCTGTACTCTCTGGCCGACCTGCAACAGGTAACACAACACCACACAACACTCTTTCTGGTCACTCAGGTCTCTCTCTCTGGTCTCTCTCCCTAGTCTGTCTCTGGTCTCTCTCTTTGGTCTCTCTCCCTAGTCTGTCTCTGGTCTCTCTCTTTGGTCTCTCTCCCTGGTCTGTCTCTGGTCTCTCTCCCTGGTCTGTCTCTGGTCTCTCTCTCTGGTCTCTCTCCCTAGTCTGTCTCTGGTCTCTCTCTTTGGTCTCTCTCCCTGGTCTGTCTCTGGTCTCTCTCCCTGGTCTGTCTCTGGTCTCTCTCTCTGGTCTGTCTCTGGTCTCTCTCCCTGGTCTGTCTCTGGTCTCTCTCTCTGGTCTCTCTCCCTGGTCTGTCTCTGGTCACACTCTGTTCTACGACACAACACTCTTTCTGGTCACTCAGGTCTCTCTCTGGTCTCTCCCCCTGGTCTGTCTCTGGTCTCTCTCCCTGGTCTGTCTCTGGTCTCTCCCTGGTCTCTCCCTGGTCTGTCTCTGGTCTCTCTCTGGTCTCTCTCCCTGGTCTGTCTCTGGTCTCGCTCTTTGATCTCTCTCTGGTCACACTCTGTTCTACAACACAACACCACCACACAAACATGGATCTGAAACACCTCCAGAACAGATGCTCGAACATCACACAAACACAACACTAGAATCTGATGAAGAAGTCACATTAGAGAGTAATGTGCATCACGTTGTAATTGTCTCCATTGTGAGATCAATAAAGTTAATCTTATCTATGACATCACCCACATACATTAGTGAAATTTTGGGTAAAACAGGTGTGGCACAGAGGGAGCTCATGGTCCATGTTCACCTGTGTTTAAGATATTACTAAAACACTGACACAGTTAATATTCTCATTATCCTTTCTCATCGTCAACAATATTATGTAATGTAAAATGTTAGAGATTGTGGTAAACGATCCTTGGAAGACTCAAATTTTAGATGTTTAATATGGAATCTGTAAAAGACTGAATCGTGGTCTTGTCTCCTGCAGGTGATTGATGGGAAGCTCGCTCCATTTTTGTCCAAAATCATCAAATTCGCCAGTTCTCACGTCTTCAGCTGCAGTTTGTGTCGAGAGAAAGGATTCATCTGTGAACTGTGCCAGAGCGGCCAAATGCTCTACCCTTTCCAGGAGAGCGCCACCAAGAGGTGACACACTGCTACTACAACTAGGGCTGCACAATATTGGAAATTAGAGCTCAATTCGATATGAGTGTTTAGTTTTGCGATAACGATATTATAGCGATATTATTGTATTTCACCTAAAAAAGCACAACATTAATGTCCTTCAAATACATATATATATATACTTTTTTGTTTGTTTGTTTGTTGCGGTGTCTGTCTGTTTTGTTGTCTTTAGTAAAGGAAAAAAGATGTTTAAATGATTTGTTATTTTTTTATTGCGCATCTTTTTGATATGGATATTGCACGCACCAATATCGCGATAACGATATTTTTCCGATATATCATGCAGCCCTAGCTACAACTCACCCCATTGTCTGCTCCATACATCTCTCTCTGGTCTCTCTCTCTCTGGTCTCTCACTGGTCTCTCTCTCTCTCTCGGCTCTCCAGGGGCCTCCTGTCCCTCACCTCCTCCAGAGACCAGGGGGCAGCCCAGAGCGCAGCTGGCCCTCCTGACCAGCTTGTCGACTCCTGTCCCGCTCTGTGTTGCCCGGGGCCCAGCACACGGCAGCGTAGTAAATGGCAGAAGCTACCACAGAGTCATAAAAAGTCCTGAGCAGAGGCCTGCTCACTCCGAAGGACCTCAGCCTCCTCAGAAGGAAGAGGCGACTTTGGCCCTTCTTGTGCAGAGCGTTGGTGGTATGGGACCAGTCCAGTTTATTGTTAATGTGAACACCCAGGTACTTGAAGCTGTCCACCAGCTCAATGTCCTCCCCCTGGATGTTCAGCAGCGTGTGGGAAAGTGGTTTTCTCCTGAAGTCGATGATCATCTCCTTGGTCTTACTGGTGTTCAAGCACAAGTGATTGCGCTCGCACCAGTCGACAAAGTCCTTGATAACCGACCGATATTCCAGTTCGTTCCCCTCAGACACACAGCCCACGATGGCGGCGTCGTCGGAGAACTTCTGCAGGTGACAGCTGTGTGTGTCGTGTGTGAAGTCTGAGGTGTAGATGGTGAAGAGAAACGGTGAGAGGACAGTGCCCTGAGGGACCCCAGTGCTGCAGACTACCACCTCAGACTCACAGCTGCGCAGCCGCACGTACTGTGGTCGAGTCCATGCAGTGAGGTTACTGTCCACTCCCGTGTCCTCCATCTTCCCCCGCAGCAGTGCCGGTCTGATGGTGTTAAAAGCACTGGAGAAGTATAAAAACATGACCCTCACAGTGCTCCCGGCGGGCTCCAGTTGGGAGAGCATCCACTGCAGGAAGTACAGTATGGTGCGCTCTCTCTCTGGTGCTGACAGCCTATCGCTGGTGTCTGGGTCCTGGTCCGGACTCTTGACACAGTCCAGACCCAGCGGAGACAGACGCTAAAGTGTCAGACTGTAGAACGACACAGAGGCGTCCGTCTGTGACCAGAGACTTCTGTGGAACAGAGTTTAAAGATTAGAACCATCTTTAAACTCTTTAGAGAGTTGAATTTGTTTAGAGGGTGTGGAAACAGGAGCACCTCTGACCCTGTGCTCTTCTCTGTGCAGGTGTTCGGTGTGTGGGGCAGTGTTCCACACTGAGTGTCGTGTGAAGGCTCAGCCCTGTCCTCGCTGCGTGCGGCGAGAGCTGCACAAACGACCATCAACCATCAGCCCTGAGGACCATCTGCCATACGTGGATACGTGACCATGGACACACAACCATGGACACATGAACATGGACACACAACCAGGACACACAACCATGGACATGTGACCATGGAACACAACCATCTTCCCTACCAGGACATGCAACCATGGACACACAACCAGGACACATTATCATGTACACACAACCAGGACACATTATCATGGACACACAACCAGGACACATTATCATGGACACACAACCAGGACACATTATCATGGACACACAACCAGGACACATTATCATGGACACACAACCAGGGCACATTATCATGGACACACAACCGGGACACACAACCAGGACACGTAACCAGGGCCACACATGTAGGACACGTTATCATGGACACACAACCAGGACATATGATCATGGACAAGCCACAGCGTCCTGGGACACAGTGGGGTGCCATGTTGGGATTCTGTGTTGCCAGGTTGGACGTCTGGTTGGGAAAAAAGCCACATGGCTGCAGGGACAACTGAACCACTCAAGTATTTGTACTAAAACAAGTCCAGGATATTGTAATGGCATCTAACGTGTGCGTGTGCGTGCGTGTGTGTCCACATGTTTAGATATTTTGTTTCTAAATCTCTTTGTCACTAAAGCAGCTGATATGAAGCTTTGTTTGTGTTCATATAGTCAAACAAAAACTTGTATTTCAATTACAAGAATTTTACAAGAAGAGAAAGCGAGAAGAGACTACAGAACTGTCTGGACCATGGAGCACCTGTGTGTGACATCTGTGACACATTAGCACAGACATTAGCAATAGCGTAGACATTAGCATTAGCACAGACATTAGCATTAGCCCTTTACAATAGCGAGACATACGTTTTAGGACCGATGTTAGCGCAGACATTAGCACAGACATTAGCTTTAGCGCAGACTTTAGCATTACCACAGACAGTACAGGTCCACACACAGACTGCAGCTGTGTATAAACTGCAGGTTTTCATGTTTAATGTAACACTGAAGACACTTTCTCTCAATCAGACTAAAACCAAAAACTCCATCATCGACTCGGACCTAAACTTTAATGGAAAGGGAAAAGTGAAATAAATATATAGTCTATATAAAATATTTGTTTATCTGAGTAAAGCTGGTCGCATCTGTGTGAGTTCTTCTTCTATGATTAAACACAAAGTCACTTTTGTCGTTTATTTTCTAAATGTTGTGTTCTCCTTCTGAGCCCCAGCTTTAGCCTCTATGCAAACGGCTCTGACTTATAACTATTTCTTTGTTGCTTTTGTAGCAGTTTTGTTTGCAAAATATAACAAAAGTAGTATATTTCTTTGGTCTTAAAGCTGGGGTACCTATTTTCTGTTTCATAAATGTGTCCCAAGAGAAAGAGTCTTGTAAAATGTAAATGTTATGAACAAACTGTGGGAAGCGAGGCCCCTCCCACCACCAACCACACACCAGACTCATTCTAATGTGGGGGAAGTGTCTTGCTTAAGGACACAACCACAGTCGGCCACTTTACAGCCGCAGGTCTCCCATCACAGTACTGACCATGGCCCCGCCCTGCTTAGCTTCAGAGGTCTCAGTTCTGACCAGACCAGGTGCGGTTCATAAACTGGTCCTATACTCGCTTGATGGTCCAGAAAGTTCTGTAATCTGCATCAGGATCAAGTGTTTTTGAAGTTATTGTTTACAGAATACTGCGATTGTTTTTCTATTTCTATGTTTCTGCCTGAGTCTTGAACAAATCCTCTCTGTTCCGAGTCAGGGTCAGGGTTTCTGTTTTTTGAAGAAATGTTTGATGTAAATTTTGCACTTTTTGCTTTAAGTTATTTCTGTTTTTATGTTTCAGCCAAATCCCAAAATCCAAAGTGTTTGGAATGTGCTCTCTTCACAGCTGACTGATGCCAATAAAGACCTCTGATCAAACACAATCTATGTTTCTGTGGATGGTTTGAGAGTCACTATCTGCCTCGTTGGGCTGAGAGCTGATTGGCTGAGTGAGGGTGGTCCTGTCTTTGATCTAAAGATGCGACATCACTAATACATGATGTGAAACTAGATAGATTCACAGATAGATACTTTAATGATCCCCGTAGGAGAACTTCAGGTGTCCAGTAGCAGCAAAAATTCAATTGGTCATTCTGAAAAGCTAATAATAGTATTAATCAGCCACAGCCTTTCAGGTCACAGCAGCAGAGGTGGAGTAGCCTCTGGGTGGAGCAGGACGGGTCACAGCAGCAGAGGTGGAGTAGCCTCTGGGTGGAGCAGGACGGGTCGCAGCAGCAGAGGTGGAGTAGCCTCTGGGTGGAGCAGGATGGATCACAGCAGCAGAGGTGGAGTAGCCTCTGGGTGGAGCAGGACGGGTCGCAGCAGCAGAGGTGGAGTAGCCTCTGGGTGGAGCAGGATGGATCACAGCAGCAGAGGTGGAGTAGCCTCTGGGTGGAGCAGGATGGATCACAGCAGCAGAGGTGGAGTAGCCTCTGGGTGGAGCAGGATGGATCACAGCAGCAGAGGTGGAGTAGCCTCTGGGTGGAGCAGGATGGATCACAGCAGCAGAGGTGGAGTAGCCGATTGGTTTGGACCCTTTTCTCTGCTCTTGTCCAAAGTAAAATGCTAAATGCTTCATTAGCATTATCCAAAAAGTTAGCATTCCTCCAGTGGATTTTCAACTGATCCGCTTAGTTCGGACGGACCATGAATCCTCTCCGCTCTGGTCTGGACCAGTGTAAAACCATGAACACTGTACTGCAGCAGCATCTCAGGTAGAAAAAAAGCAAGAAAAATAAAAAACTAGCGACTTTTGAATGCGCGTTGTTTTAGTAAACTAGTGACAGAAGCAGCTGTTTCTGGTCTGAATCGACTGTAGGTCCTGGGTTCGATTCCACCTCCAGGCCTTTTTGTGTGGAGTTTGCATGTTCTACTTGTGACTGTGTAGGTTTCCTTCAGGTGCTCCGGTTTCTCCAACCACTGAAAACACAGACAGTAGGCGAGTGTAGGCGACCTGCTCCATATCTGTGTGGAGTGAGAGACAAATGCTCTCTGTGACTGGTCTGTGAGAGGTGCCATAGACATAAACATTACAGACTTGGTATTTGTTAAAGCTGGGGGACCTAACTTTGAGTGTATGAATGGATACTTTCTGTTCTCATCTCCTGCTTCCTGTTGTCCTTTGTTATGAAACTATTGCGTTCTTGAAGAAGATGAAAATGTTCAACAAATGTTAGTTTTATATTTGAGACGCAGCGGCTCTCTACAGCCTGTCTTCATGTATGTAAGTATGTAAGTAATGTTTATTTATATAGCCCATTTTACAGACCAAGGTCCCCCAAAGCACTTTACAATGTTCAGAGTCAGATATTGTTCCAATCATTCCACACACGGTGATGACAGAAGCGAGTCCAGAACACACTGGACCATCAGCTCCAATCAACACCATCCATTCACTCTCATTCACATTCATACCTATTGTGCATGTTTTTAGTGGTAGGGGAAACCGGAGCACCCGGAGGAAACCTACGCAGACACGGAGAGACCATGCAAACTCCACTCAGAAAGGCCCTGTGTCCGTGTCTGTCCTCATGTCTGTCCTCATGTCTGTCCTCATGTCTGTCCTCCTGTCTGTCCTCCTGTCTGTCCTCCTGTCTGTCCTCCTGTCTGTCCTCCTGTCTGTCCTCCTGTCTGTCCTCGTGTCTGTCCTCATGTCTGTCCTCGTGTCTGTCCTCATGTCTGTCCTCATGTCTGTCCTCCTGTCTGTCCTCCTGTCTGTCCTCCTGTCTGTCCTCGTGTCTGTCCTCGTGTCTGTCCTCATGTCTGTCCTCGTGTCTGTCCTCCTGTCTGTCCTCCTGTCTGTCCTCGTGTCTGTCCTCCTGTCTGTCCTCGTGTCTGTCCTCCTGTCTGTCCTCATGTCTGTCCTCGTGTCTTTCCTCCTGTCTGTCCTCGTGTCTGTCCTCCTGTCTGTCCTCCTGTCTGTCCTCATGTCTGTCCTCGTGTCTTTCCTCCTGTCTGTCCTCGTGTCTGTCCTCCTGTCTGTCCTCATGTCTGTCCTCGTGTCTGTCCTCGTGTCTGTCCTCGTGTCTGTCCTCGTGTCTGTCCTCATGTCTGTCCTCATGTCTGTCCTCGTGTCTGTCCTCGTGTCTGTCCTCATGTCTGTCCTCATGTCTGTCCTCGTGTCTGTCCTCATGTCTGTCCTCGTGTCTGTCCTCCTGTCTGTCCTCCTGTCTGTCCTCCTGTCTGTCCTCGTGTCTGTCCTCGTGTCTGTCCTCGTGTCTGTCCTCGTGTCTGTCCTCGTGTCTGTCCTCCTATCTGTCCTCGTGTCTGTCCTCGTGTCTGTCCTTCGTGTCTGTCCTCCTGTCTGTCCTCATGTCTGTCCTCGTGTCTTTCCTCCTGTCTGTCCTCGTGTCTGTCCTCCTGTCTGTCCTCCTGTCTGTCCTCATGTCTGTCCTCGTGTCTTTCCTCCTGTCTGTCCTCGTGTCTGTCCTCCTGTCTGTCCTCATGTCTGTCCTCGTGTCTGTCCTCATGTCTGTCCTCGTGTCTGTCCTCGTGTCTGTCCTCCTGTCTGTCCTCGTGTCTGTCCTCGTGTCTGTCCTCATGTCTGTCCTCGTGTCTGTCCTCGTGTCTGTCCTCATGTCTGTCCTCATGTCTGTCCTCGTGTCTGTCCTCATGTCTGTCCTCGTGTCTGTCCTCATGTCTGTCCTCCTGTCTGTCCTCGTGTCTGTCCTCGTGTCTGTCCTCATGTCTGTCCTCATGTCTGTCGTCATGTCTGTCCTCCTGTCTGTCCTCATGTCTGTCCTCCTGTCTGTCCTCCTGTCTGTCCTCGTGTCTGTCCTCATGTCTGTCCTCGTGTCTGTCCTCGTGTCTGTCCTCGTGTCTGTCCTCATGTCTGTCCTCATGTCTGTTCTCGTGTCTGTGGGGACAGTTGTAACGAGGCACGGTTCACTGGACGCTCTCAAAGCCACAGTCGTCCTTTGTCCTTCGCTCTGATTCTCTCGGACAATGAGGAGAGATGAGGAGGGGGCCCCTAATGGGACAGAGGAGGGGGCCCCTAATGAGCACAGCAAGTGTCACAGTGCTATCACAACGCTAACTTTAACGCAAAAGGGAAGTGCTCATGGATGAAGTTTTGCTCCAATTCCTGTTCACTTAAAAAGTAAAGGCTCCTTTCTGAGTCAGAGGCCCCTCCCCTTCACTACACTGCTCCAGGGGCCACAGCGCTGGTCCAGGACAGTGATGGTTACACACGTCACACAAACATCATAAGCATAAGGGGGTGCAGCTGGATGACACTGTGAAAGTGGCCAGAGAAAGACCAGAGAAAGACCATTAAGAGACCAGTGAGAGACCAGAGAAAGACCAGAGAAAGACCATTAAGAGACCAGTGAGAGACCAGGGAAAGACCATTAAGAGACCAGTGAGAGACCAGTGAGAGACCAGAGAAAGCAGAGGAGAGACCGGGGAAAGACCAGAGAAGAGATCAGAGAGAGACTGGAGAAAGACCAGTAAGAGACCAGTGAGAGACCAAATAGAGATACCAGTCAGAGACCAGAAAGAGACCAGAGAGAAAGACCAGAGAGAGATTCCAGAGAGGGACCAGTGAGAGACCAGAAAGAGAGACGAGAGGAAGACCTGTGAGAGACCAGAGAGAGAGAGACCACAGAGAGATCACAGATGGACCAGAGAGAGACCACAGAGAGAGACCAGTGAGATACTAGTGAGAGACCCCTGAAAGACCAGAGAGAGCCCACAGAGAGACCAGTGAGAGACCAGTGAGAGAGACCAGAAAGGGACCAGTGAAAGACCAGAGAGAGACCAAAGAGAGACCGGAGAGAGTGCTGGAGCTGGACCGGAGCTGTCCTGTGTCTCTGTGCTGTTTAAACCTCTGGTGTTAAAGTTAAACCTCTTCAGACTCAGAACCACCACACCCCGAACTCTGGACCCTGCCCTGTGTTCAGCCATCACCATGGAAACCAGTGTCAATGAGTAATATGTCTTTGTTTACAATCTCTGAGCAGAGTCAGAGTGTTTTCAACAGGATTAAAGCAGAGGCTGGAACCATCTATGACCTGGACACAAGCAGAGGCTGGAACCATCTATTCTCATTCTCTGCAGCAGTTTAGTGGGTAACGTGTGAGCGTACGGGCGCACAGCGGGCACAGGAGCCTTGGAGAAAATGGTGTGGACGCTTAGAGCGTGTATGAAAAGTGTGGGTTATGAGGCGACCGAAGCCAGGCAGGATACAAGTGTGTATTTGTGTGTTTTGGTGACAAAATAAAGTCTTAACTCTTGGGCGTCCCAAGTGTTACTGGGATAGCACCACACTGTGACAGCAAGAGTCAAAACTTAAGGGAGTTCTCTCTTTGAGGAAACGCATCCCTTCGGCCCTAGCCCTCTTCCCTGTGCACCTTTATCACAGTCCGGGGGCTCACATGAAAGGTGTAACACAAGCAAGGCAGAGTAGAATGCGAAAGTTTGCGACTCTAGGTACAGCAGGGAGACATAATGTGAAGCGAACCATTACATCCCCAGCCCTCTCCATCACATCGCCCCCCTGGGCTTTTACAAACGGGAAGCCTACCTCTTTCAACCCGGATTTTCAACAACCGGGCAAGCCCAGAAGCCGCGGTCACACGACATATAAAGCCCAGATCGAATCTCTTTTTGGGCCAAGGCAAACTTTAACAGAGCTTTAGATCAGCAGATCAGCTGGAGTCATCTTTATTTATGTATCTACCACCTTTCACAGACCACAGTCACAATTGTGGGCATTTGTCCTCTCACTCCACACAGAGATGGGAGCGGGGTCACCAGTACAGGAGAGGCATGCCAGACCTATTGTACATGTTTTTAGTGGTAGGGGAAATCAACGCAGACACGGGGAGAACATGCAAACTCCACTCAGAAAGGCCCTGTTCCGACCGGGATTCGAACCCAGGACCTTCTTGCTGAGAAGCGAGAGGGCTATCCACTCAGTCACCGTGCCGCCCAACACCGTCCAATTGGAGAACACCTCTGCCCCAATAGTATTTTCCTAGAAGTGTTCCTTTCTGGTAGAAGATGGCTGAAGCTGAAGCTGAAGCAGACACTACTTGGACAATAGTACATTTTAGATGGACAGACTCCCATTATTTAGAGTTTGTTGGAACATAACAGTTAAGTGCACTTTATGCTCAAACTCACGCAATAGCTTCATAGTGTGAGTTTACGTTCCCCAGATACTAAAGCTACATTTAGTATGTATATATCTGGGGAAGGTAACTTAAAAGTGCAGTAGCTCAGTTGGTAGAGCACTGGTCTTTAAACCCAATGGTCGTGGGTTCAAGCCCATCACAACCCATGCCACCTGTTCCCACTGATGTCTGCTGTTGTTGTGTGCCTTGGCAAGACACTTAACCCACATTGCCTGGAGCCCCCGCTTAAGGTCCAAGGCCATCTCGCTGATGTCAGGGAAGCCATCTTCCCGCGGACCCACGACCCAGAAATGGATTAAAGGGGTTGAAAATGACATGACAACTTCAAAGTAATGCAGTAGTCTTTACAATTCAGAGACAGTAATATTGTAGGAACACATTACTTTGAAAGTAAGAATTCCTCATACATTACGTGTTTCAAGCATAAACACTGCTGACCTCTTGATGGTGAATCCTCTGCAAATTCCACTGTTTGTGGCTGTACACAAATACTAATGTGATTATTATTATTATTATTATTGTCATTATTATTATCATTAAAGGTGTGACACGTGACTGTGTGACAGGTGCGGGCCTCACAGCACCGGGTCAGTGTGTGACTGATTATTATTACAATAGATCCATCCATCTCTGTGAACCACGTCGTATCATAGCTCCTCCCCCTCTATGCTCGGACCGACCCGCCCCTGAAGGCTCCGCTGTCCGCTGGTCCCTCTGCGTCAGTCTGCGCCTGGAGCTGTGCGCACCTGGATCCACGCTCAGTCCAACACCAGGAAAGTCTTTGGAACTCAGTTTCTCATTCGTCCAACAGCGTCTCTGCTACTGTCATATATATGCACGTACATATATATATATATGTATATGTATATATCTGTATATGATATATCTACTGCAGGAATCTTGGATCTGAAACTCCGCGGAACAGTCAGTTTTGTGACTCTTCTTTGGATTTACTTTTACGCGCGTGGACGTTACGCACGGGTGGATTGGTCACGTGTTCAGTTCGTGTTGATGGAAAGTGAAAAGCCACAGACCGATCTTACCACGATGGTTTCCACGGACACAGTGAATGATTGACAGCTGCAGCAGACGCTGGAGTGAAGGGATTCTGCGCGTGTCACGTGAGTTTGGATTAAATATTGATTCTAACGTCTTCAGGTTCGTTCTCACGTGTTCGATTGTTGGGGGAAATTTGCAAAAGCGTTGATTTTGATCCCGTCCTGGGTCTTCTACAGAATCCTGGGTCTACAGCCTCGGTCCTATGAGGTGTTTGTATGGTAGGATGTGTTTCTGCTGCCGGATACCTGCCTTTCACCTACGGGGGATCAATAAAGTATCCATCTATCTATCTATCAAACAAAACTAATACATAGATAATTAGAAAAATAGCTAACAATAGTTTTAAAATGCAACTGCATTTTAGGTCACAGCAGCACAGCCTCAGTCCTGGGTCTACAGCCTCAGTCCTGGATCAGAACTATCTACAGATACAGCTGGTATAAGTGCATATGATGTTGTTTTGAAGTCCTTAAAGTCTGATATTTCAAATATTACTGACTGAACTTTTTTAAACATATTGTCTTTCCATCTCCTTTATGAGATAACTTTCACAGTAAGTTATATTATCTGCTATTCCATTCCATTTTGTATCGCCCTAAATCACAACAGTAGTTATCTTGGAAGACTTAACAAACTTGATTCACCAACACAGATCAGAGAATCAAACTGTTCAAACACAGGAAATTCTGTGATAAAAAAAACATGTAGAGCCACTATCACAGACCAATGTCCATAAATGTGGATAAATACGGAGTGTCCTGGAACATCTCCATCCTTAGACCCTCCTGCATCAGGGAGGAACAACTGTAAAAACAGAGAGATAAATGAGAAACCTCAGGGAGAGCCACATTGATGGGAGGGATCCACTCCCACAGATGGACGGGCTTTAGATCCAGGACTGAGGCTGTAGATCCAGGACTGAGGCCGTAGATCCAGGACTGAGGCCGTAGATCCAGGACTGAGGCCGTAGATCCAGGACTGAGGCCTTAGGAAAACTGTTATAGATACGTGCACGAGCCCAGCTCTGTTTACAAGTGGACGTCTCTCACACTCACTTTTAATATTTGTACTCAGACAAATTATTGTAGACATAGATAACTTTGTCTAGTGATTAGAAATGGATTTCTCTAAATAGAATGTAAACTCTGAGGAGGCTGAGGAGAACGTCAGATGATGAGATGGGCATGGCAGAGCTGAGGAGGCTCAGAGAGACAGACACTAAAGTCTAGAGCCCATAAACTCTAAGACGAGGTGATTCTTCTACAAGTCGACCACAACAAGCCAAAGCAAAGCAGGAGGTGGAGGCTGATCTGAGCCAAGAGAGAAGAGAATACATCACTGCTCAATGGGCCTCATTCACGAATAACTTCGTAAGAAACTACTCAACTTTCTTCTCAAGTTGTCCTTAAGTAGATTTCTAAGAAGTCCCCAGGTGGGATTCATCAACGTACTCGTAAGCCGCTGAATTGTTCGCAGCTGTTCTCTCAGATTGATGAATCCCATTTCCTCGTAAGTACAGCGCGCGTGCCAGGTGCTTCATTAGCATAGGTACTTAGCATAAGTAACCGCCCACTAATGCCCATATAAGGGGCTGCAGGGCCGTGTGCAGACGGCAGAGGAAACAGCAACAGGCCTAAAGCAACGAGTTACACTTCTTTTACCAGACTGAGAATAAAGTTATAAAATGTTGACTTAAAAGTCAAAATATTATGATGATAAAGTCGAACTAGCAAAATTATGAGATTAATCTAAGAATATGATGAGATTAATCTCAAAATGTTATGAGCTTAATTTAAAAATATATTATGTATTATTTTAAAGATGAATCTCAAAATGTTTTGAGATTAATCTCAAAATATTTTGGACCCTGGGAGGAGATCCAGCGCGGACCAGCGCTGAGACCAATGCAGACCCGAGGAGAGACTGGAGTGACCACAGAAACCAGCGCGGACCTATAGGAGAGACCGCATAGACTGGAGTGACCTGACTGGAGAGACCGGTGCGCAGAGACCAGCGCGGACCGAAGATAGACCGCATAGACCAGACTTGAGAGACCAGCGCGGACCCGTATGGATCCAGGAGCATGCAGCACGGACCCGTATGGAGAGAGACCAGTGCAGACCCGTATATGGGAGAGACCAGTGCAGACCCGTCTAGATCCATGGGGGAGACCAGTGCAGACCCGTATAGATCCATGGGAGAGACCAGTGCAGACCAGTATAGATCCATGGGAGAGACCAGTGCAGACCCGTATATGGGAGAGACCAGTGCAGACCCGTATAGATCCATGGGAGAGACCAGTGCAGACCCGTATAGATCCATAGGAGAGACCAGCGCAGAGACTCAGCGCGGACCCAGTAGCCTCCTGCAGCAGCAGTATATATGCCGTTGTTCTGTGGCCCGTGGATAAAGAAATGCCCCCTATAAATAGGAAGGGTTCACTAATACACGGCAAGATTTCCAAAGTATTTGATAAAGCGTTGGCACATTTCATTTCAAAATGAATTAAAAAGTAGGCCAGATCTGCAGTGAAAAAGGCGGTATATAAATAAAGATTACTAATAAAGATTACTACAAATAAATAAATACATACATCGATATGACGGACATATCACTGGAATGTTGTATTTTTATTCAACTTCACCAAAGAGGACAACCCCGGCGTGTGAACATGTCGGCACTGAATGCGTACGAGTGCTCCTGAGGACTCGTAGGATTTGTACTTGCCCAAGAGAAATTCTGGTTACGAGAAATATTCGTGAATGCCACTTTCTTCGTAAAAACCGCGTAAGTAGGATTTACGTACAAATCTGTTCCTAAGAACCGTTCGTGAATGAGGCCCAATGAGTCTAAGGAACTAAAAGCACAGATTCAGTCAAGGAACTGCAAAATAGTGCGACAAACCAGGTCTCTGAACTCAGACAGGACTGAGAAAAGGAAAGAAAACGCCCTGTAGCAACACCAAGACTAACATTTGGAAAGACAGAGGAAGTTAAAACTGCTAAAGAAAGAGACAGAGAATGCAATGCGGCTTGAACAGAATGTTCATAGGAAAGTTACTTTTGGAAATCTCAAAAGAGAAATGGAGGAACTTTCAAAGAAATGTGGTAAACTGGAGACTGCAAGAAGAGGTTCAATCGAAGATTCTATGCTTCAGGAAATTGAGAATAAAGACCAAGAAATGGACGAGATCAGGCTGCACTGTTACCGGAGGTTCAGGGCAGACTCCAAACAGATTCCAATCAATTCCTGAATAAGTCACTGAACGACACAATGTGTAAAGCTCAAAGAGGGACAGTCGACAGTACAGCAAGAGCACACAGCGTTCTCTGCTGGAGTTCAGTTGGTTGGAACACATCCTGGTTGGCCGTAAAATGTGGAAGGTGGTGCAGAAGAACCTCCTGGGGGAAACTCCGGCTGATGGACAGATTTGTCCAATAAGTACATTAGTACCAGGAGCTGGCGTCTAACCTTCTAAAATGACACACGTCACAGAGGGACAGCGTTACTAGAACAAGAGTGAAGCTCTCTCCATCACAGCTGCAGCAGACAAACAGCAGTGATGCGTTTATGAAGATAAACCTGTATTTGTGTCCCTGTGGGGACATATCATTATACACACACCAGGATCTAACGCAACCACTCACACTTTTTCAGCATGCGAGCTACTTATAAAATTATCAAGTCAAAATGATCTACCTACTACAAAAATGAAAAACATATATTTATTTTTAAACATATTGAGGATTCTTTATATCTACAATGTATGTTTATGTACATGCAAAACCGCATGAGCCAATATAGCACAACACAATTAACTATGTACATTTGTTGTCATTACCCGAGTTTACTCTGATGACTTGCACTGAATTGAATCGGCCAGGGATGCATAGTCCGTAAAATTGGCGGTAACTCGCTGACAAGTTTGTCGTGGTTTAGCTTTCCTGCACTGAGCGCGGTTGTTTGCGCATGTGCAGTCACCTAAGTGTCAGTAAAACATTACTGAGTAAAACACAGATGTCATTTGACTGTGGTGCCATGTCCATGTGCCATGCCTGGATTTTTTAAATCCGAATATTTCCCCTCCTCCGTTTATAAAATAATTTGCATCCACACATAACCACATATCTGCGTTATCAACATGGATCTATAATGGTTCTCAATCACATTTGTAACACTCCAAACGTGCGTCTCTTACGTCCTGTCCTGCGTTGGGGAAAAACACAGAAGTGGGCGGAGCTTTGATGAAGACCCCGGTAACGGCACTTTTACAGTCATAGAAGACACTCAGGGTAAAGACGTATGTTTACAAGCACTGACCCCCGTCCTCAGCCCTGGTTTAGTCCTGGTTTAGTCCTCGTTTAGTCCTGGTTTGGTTGTTTACGAGCGTGAGTCCCCGCGATCACTTTCCTGCTCTCTGATGTGGAGGGTGTTCGCTGCTGCGAGCATCTCAGCAGCGAACAGTTTTTAAGGTAGTATGATCCATGCTTCAGTGATCAGAGGAATTTAGGGGGGTACTGTGGCGTGCGAAAACGCAAAACTCCGGTTATCTCTGTCTACACACAAATGCATTAACGGGAGTTTTCAAAAATCTCCACTTTGCCCGGAGTTTTTTGTATATATTCGTTTATGATGTGTAATTTTTTATTTATTTAATGCGATCTACCAATACTACCTTTGCGATCGACTGGTAGATCGCGATCGACGTATTGAGCACCCCTGATCTAAAGGATCAGGTAGAGCCCCCTCAGGTAGAGCCCCCTCAGGTAGAGCCTCCTCAGGTAGAGCCTCCTCAGGTAGAACCTCCTCAGGTAGAGCCTCCTCAGGTAGAGCCTCCTCAGGTAGAGCCTCCTCAGGTAGAGCCTCCTCAGGTAGAGCCTCCTCAGGTAGAGCCTCCTCAGGCAGAGCCTCCTCAGGTAGAGCCTCCTCAGGTAGAACCTCCTCAGGTAGAGCCTCCTCAGGTAGAGCCTCCTCAGGTAGAGCCTCCTCAGGTAGAGCCTCCTCAGGTAGAGCCCCCTCAGGTAGAGCCCCCTCAGGTAGAGCCTCCTCAGATAGAGCCTCCTCAGGTAGAACCTCCTCAGGTAGAGCCTCCTCAGGTAGAACCTCCTCAGGTAGAGCCTCCTCAGGTAGAGCCTCCTCAGGTAGAACCTCCTCAGGTAGAGCCTCCTCAGGTAGAACCTCCTCAGGTAGAACCTCCTCAGGTAGAGCCTCCTCAGGTAGAGCCTCCTCAGGTAGAGCCTCCTCAGGTAGAGCCCCCTCAGGTAGAGCCCCCTCAGGTAGAGCCCCCTCAGGTAGAGCCTCCTCAGGTAGAGCCTCCTCAGGTAGAACCTCCTCAGGTAGAGCCTCCTCAGGTAGAACCTCCTCAGGTAGAGCCTCCTCAGGTAGAGCCTCCTCAGGTAGAGCCTCCTCAGGCAGAGCCTCCTCAGGTAGAGCCTCCTCAGGTAGAGCCTCCTCAGGTAGAGCCTCCTCAGGTAGAGCCCCCTCAGGTAGAGCCCCCTCAGGTAGAGCCTCCTCAGATAGAGCCTCCTCAGGTAGAACCTCCTCAGGTAGAACCTCCTCAGGTAGAACCTCCTCAGGTAGAGCCTCCTCAGGTAGAGCCTCCTCAGGTAGAACCTCCTCAGGTAGAGCCTCCTCAGGTAGAACCTCCTCAGGTAGAACCTCCTCAAGTAGAGCCTCCTCAGGTAGAGCCTCCTCAGGTAGAGCCTCCTCAGGTAGAGCCGCCTCAGGTAGAGCCCCCTCAGGTAGAGCCCCCTCAGGTAGAGCCTCCTCAGGTAGAGCCTCCTCAGGTAGAACCTCCTCAGGTAGAGCCTCCTCAGGTAGAACCTCCTCAGGTAGAGCCTCCTCAGGTAGAGCCTCCTCAGGTAGAGCCTCCTCAGGCAGAGCCTCCTCAGGTAGAGCCTCCTCAGGTAGAACCTCCTCAGGTAGAGCCTCCTCAGGTAGAACCTCCTCAGGTAGAGCCTCCTCAGGTAGAACCTCCTCAGGTAGAGCCTCCTCAGGTAGAGCCCCCTCAGGTAGAGCCTCCTCAGGCAGAGCCTCCTCAGGTAGTTTGTGGTTCAAATGTTTTGTCTTTACTGCAGAAGTTTGAACAAAATAGCAATAAAATGTGTTGACGTTTCTGGTGTTGCTTTCAGCTGCCGTCTCTATGGCGACCCTGTGGCTCCTCCTCTTCCTCTTCCTGTTGTCTCCAGAGTCAAACACAGCGGCATCAAAAGAGCTGGTGTGCGAACCCATCACGGTCCCTATGTGTCGAGGCATCGTCTACAACCTCACCTACATGCCCAACCAGTTCAACCATGACACTCAGGTACCGGTTCAACCATGACACTCAGGTACCAGTTCAACCATAACACTCAGGTACTGGTGTACCGGTTCAACCATGGCACTCAGGTACCGGTTCAACCATGGCACTCAGGTACCGGTTCAACCATGACACTCAGGTACCGGTTCAACCATGACACTCAGGTACCGGTTCAACCATGACACTCAGGTACCGGTTCAACCATGACACTCAGGTACCAGTTCAACCATGACACTCAGGTACTGGTGTACCGGTTCAACCATGGCACTCAGGTACCGGTTCAACCATGGCACTCAGGTACCGGTTCAACCATGACACTCAGGTACCGGTTCAACCATGACACTCAGGTACCGGTTCAACCATGACACTCAGGTACCGGTTCAACCATGACACTCAGGTACTGGTGTACCGGTTCAACCATGGCACTCAGGTACCGGTTCAACCATGACACTCAGGTACTGGTTCAACCATGACACTCAGGTACTGGTTCAACCATGACACTCAGGTACCACTTCAACCTCACCCACAGGTACTAGTTCATCCTCACACACAGGTACCAGAACAAACACACACACAGGTACCAACAAACACACACACAGGTATCTTTGGGACAAACATACTGCATTATTAGTGCATAAACCTGCACAACTATTGACAATGTTTCTTGATTGCCACTTTTTATTGTGCATAATATATCCTGCATTTAACATGTTTGCACATTTCTTTTGCACAATCTTGAGTGTTTCTATCCATGCCAGATGTGACATGTAAATTGCTCCTGTGTGAGATCAATAAAGTCTATCTTATCTTATTCATGAAACATAAGGTGAGGTACCTGTGCTCTAAGCTACGCTAACCCCTAACTCCTGTCCCTAAGCTAAGCTAACTCCTGTCTCTTCCACAGGAGGAAGTGGGTCTGGAGGTGCACCAGTTCTGGCCTCTGGTGCGGATCCGCTGCTCTCCGGATCTGTTGTTCTTCCTGTGCAGCATGTACACGCCCATCTGTCTTCCGGACTACCGCCGGCCACTGCCGCCGTGCCGCTCGGTGTGTGAGCGAGCTAAGCGCGGCTGCTCGCCGCTCATGAGTCAGTACGGCTTCGAGTGGCCCGAGCGCATGAGCTGCGAGAACCTGCCGGCGCTGGGCGATGAGACGCTGTGTATGGACCAGAACAGCAGCGAGAGCACCACCACCGCCCCCTACGTCCCCAAACCCACCCCCAAACCCCGGCCCCGCCCCCACGCCCCCCCCTTGCTGGGTTGCGAGCGCCAGTGCAGCTGCAGGGAGCCTCTGGTGCCCACAAAGCGCGACTTCTACAGCCGCAGCAGCCGCATCAGCACTGCGCACCTGCCCAACTGCGCCCAGCCTTGTCGTCAGCCGTACTTCTCTGCAGAGGAGCACGCCTTCACCGCCTTCTGGATCGGATTATGGTCCAGCTTATGTTTTGTGTCGACGCTAACCATCGTAGCGACATTCCTTATCGACATGGAGCGCTTCATTTACCCAGAGAGGCCCATCATCTTCCTGGCCACATGTTATCTCTTCGTGTCTTTGGGCTACATCATCAGACTGGTGGCTGGACATGAGCGCGTAGCATGTAGCATTAGCGACCCGCCTCATATTCTGTATGACACAACCGGTCCGGCCCTTTGCACTTTAGTTTTCTTGCTCATCTACTTCTTCGGCATGGCAAGCTCCATCTGGTGGGTCGTGCTGTCCTTCACCTGGTTCCTTGCTGCTGGTTTGAAATGGGGCAGCGAAGCCATTGCCAGCTACTCGCAATATTTTCATTTGGCGGCATGGCTAATCCCTAGCATCAAATCTATTGTCGTGTTAGCACTTAGCTCCGTTGACGGCGATCCTGTTGCTGGAATCTGCTACGTCGGCAATCAAAATATAGAAAATTTGCGTGGTTTTGTGCTAGCTCCTTTAGTAGTCTATCTCTTCACCGGTTCACTGTTTTTGCTAGCCGGATTTGTGTCGCTATTTCGTATACGTAGCATTATAAAGCAAGGAGGGACCAAAACTGATAAGCTAGAAAGGCTAATGATACGAATAGGTGTGTTCACCGTGCTCTACACAGTCCCTGCCACTATCGTTGTGGCGTGTTTAGTTTACGAACAGCATTATCGGCCAGTGTGGGAGCGGGCGCTAGCTTGTTCGTGCTTGACAGATCCGCAGCGCTCCAGTTTAGGGCCAGATTATGCCGTGTTTATGTTGAAATACTTCATGTGTCTCGTGGTGGGCATCACGTCTGGAGTCTGGATCTGGTCCGGGAAGACGCTGGACACCTGGAGGAGGTTTCTATCGCGGATTTGCCCGTGCTGGATGCAGAAGAGTACCGCTCCTCCGTCCATGTACAGTGAAGCTAGCACAGCGCTAACAGGACACACGGGTACAGGACTAGCATCTGGAATGTACCACAAAGCTAACGCATCCCATATTTAAAACACTGGAAGAAAGACTGTTGTAAAAATGGACAAATGTTTGAAAGGACTCAAAGATAATAACAAAATGGAAGACCAACTCCACCGCAATCATTGATACACTAAGAACTTTCCATGTCGGCAAAGACACAAATCAGATTAAAGGGATATAGATATTTTATGAATTTGAGAAAGATGGGCGCTTCTGTGGATGCTCATCAGGATCAGCAGTGAGAAAAGAGTGAATACAAGGCACAGGAAGTACTCTGGACGGTAACAGGAAGTACTCTGGACGGTAATAGGAAGTACTCCGGACGGTAACAGAAGGTAGTGTCACTTGTCACTCCCGTATTCGTCCCGGAAACCGGATTCGTCCGGAAGTTCAGTTTGATCTAATAAGCATACGCAGCAGTAGATTACGTCACGGAATCTGGACGGAAGCGGAAGTAAATAAAACAAACTACCTATTCATGCCTAAACTTAACCAGCCATTCCCATAAAATATCCCCAACCCAGCCTTAACCCTAAACTTAACCATCTTAATCAGACGCCTAAACTTAACCAGTCACCACTAAGGACATATTACACTTTTTGACATGCACAAACTGAACTTCCGGACGAATCCGGTTTCCGGGACGAATATGGGAGTGACAGGTAGTCTGGACAGCACATGAATCCTTTTTTGGAATGAGCTCCGTGTTTGGCCTCGCAGCTCCCTCTTCAGGTCATAACATCACATTCAAGGTTTTCATACTGTACTGTAAGAGTTCCTCAGATTTTCTCTTTTCTCACAATTATTGAAAGTGAAAAGCGGTCAACATAAATGTAATTCATTCAGTAATGTTTCATTTCCACCATCTCTACTCTACTCTACTCATCTCTGCTCTGCTCTACTCTACCTGCCTGTTTGTGTTTCCATTACGCTTTAGTATCTGGTACCGTGTCCTAGCAACCTATCCACAAAATTCCTTGGTAACCATGGCTTCCAGCAGCACTCTGGCCGATCAGTTAGAGCGCTGTAGTGCCACCTTGGCCTGGATAGAACCAGGACCAAGAAGGACTAAAGAAGGAGTAGAGTGGAGGGGAAGGGGATGGGAGAGGAGAAATAGGGCTTTAGTGATGTGTTTGTCACTATTCTGGTAAATTCACTAACTATAAAAACTTCCGGCAGAACATTAAGAATATGAAATACAGTCTTTGTTGTAATGCGTTCTCTCTCACTGGAGACTTTACACAGATCTGACTTGTACTGGACATTCCAATTTTCAGCGCAAGAGTTAAATCCCTACAATGTATTTTATTGTGAGGGAGTGTGACATCACCACAGTGTGACATCACAGTTTTCTTATATGGGCATTTGTTGGATTCACAGACAACATTACAACATAAACAGCAGTATCATAGAGAGTAATAAACATGGCAGTCAATAGGAGCCAAACTTTACCATGAGCACTTCCCTATAGGGCTTCATTGAGCTGGTGGGTTAGCTATGTCGATCTGTATACAGTCTGTGTTGGCGTTGTCCATCTGTATGCAGTCTATGGTTAAACCCGTACGTTCTCATTGGATGATAATGGAAACAATGATTAATGTTTGTGATGATTTTAGAAAGTTCTTCATGAAGCATTGTGTCATGATTAAAACAGTATTTTATCTCAATGCAAAACTCCCATTTCTGTCCTGATTCTCCTTTAGTTCTAGTTCTTGAGCCTCAGTATTGAACCGTGTTAAACTGCTGAACATTCCTCAAACTTTCAAACCAAAATGTGTTTTAACTTTCGCTGAGTCCACTGTTCAGTAGATAAGGCTAAAGAAACATTGTAGTGGTTTAAATCTGACCTTCTGTAAAAGATAACATTCAAGGTTCTGTCAGAAAGAACACAGTTATTATTTTAATATATTTCAGAAACAACACGTGATGCACCTCTTTTCTTTAATTGTTTGACAGAGAGAATAAAGTGTATTTATTCTGTAAATGTTTTGAAAAGAATTTATAAGAGAAACACTTGTGGTAGACGTTTATGAGAGTGAGTTTTGATAATGTTATATTTGGATGTGGTTTTGTTCATATTTCATCGTTTCTGCTGCTGATTCATTATTATTGGTTTGTAGAATGTCACTTTTTCATGGTTTTATTAAATACTATTTTTACAATTCATGTATTTTGCCACAAGCTCTTTCCTAAACTACAGCTGTGCCCACCGTCTGAGCACCATCTGGAGGAACCAATGTGAACACGTGTTTATGTGAAGAGACATGAGGAAGAGCAGGGAATAGTGTTTATGTGATCAGGGCTGGAGTCAGAGCAGAGTTTATGGACTGGCTCCATCTGACTGGGATTCCAGGACCTTCTTCCTGAGAAGCAAGGGTGCTCACCACTGTCTGAAAAAGCAGATCTAAAGATGTGACACAGGGGCGAGCTCGGAGTAGAGCCGCTGCTACACGAAGTGAAACACTGAACAAAGCACAGACCGCAGACGTCTTGTTCATGATTAGTGTTTATTTAAAATAGTCCATCTGCAAATGATTCTGTTCAAAACACCACAGTTCACAGCTAAAGCCTACACAGTAAGCAACAAGGAGCCGCCCCCTGGGTCTGGACCAGGACCAGGACCAGGACCAGGACCAGAACCAGCAGAGGGCAGCACAATACTGTTAATGGACTTTTGAATGGACCACACTTGTAAACTAAAGCCTTGTCACTTTCTTGAGCAACATGGTTCTGTCGATGCAACAAGAGACAAAAGTCTAAAATGGATAAAAAACAGTTCTTTTGGTGTTAGACATGAATGAGTGGATCAGAAACAATTCATTTAATGCGGTTTAGAAACAAATGAAACTCAGAAAAAGATGGTTTTAGAAGCTGAAGGCTTGTATTCACCTCTGTCCTCAGACTGTTTCAAAAAACTAAACCCGACCTCAGAAGTTATCTCAGCTGATTATTAACAGTGGAGTAATGTCACATGAACATGTTTCCACAAACAGAGAGGAAGAGGAGGAGGAAGAGGAGAGTCTGAGTTTAGAAATCCTTGTAATCCTAGAACAGTCCACACAAAGATCTACTTATTCTTCGTCAGCAATCATCAACTATGGTCTCATTATTTTCTCTCCGGTGTCTCAGATATCTCTCTCTGGTCTCCCTCTCATTAGACATAGTTCCATGTATTATCAGAACAGACTAAAAAAGACAAACAAAACCACTCTACTGAAAGAAAAGATACCGTCCAGAATGTTATTTGTCAGAAGAATTCTCTGAGTTTAGTGGTAACGACTGTAGATGCGGCGACAGGAGCTCAATACTGCACTTTGGCTTCTGCACAAAACATTGCATTCAAAACGCCCAGTAAACTATAATTTTATATATATATTTTGAACTTTATGTAAAAAAACAATTCCCACTGAGATTTCAGAATCTCTTTTTCAGGGGTGTCAGAAGCAGAGCACCTGGAGCAAACCTACGCAGACACAAGGAGAACATGCAAACTCCACACAGCGTGGTCTGGAGGTGGAATGGAACCAGGACCTTCTGCTTTATCATTAGTATTATTTGCATTTCTCAAGGTTTGACATGAGAACAGTTTTGGAGACAGGGATGGACTTTGCATTATTAAATATATAAACATGTTTCTCTGATCGTTGCAGCACTAAACAAATGGATCAAACACAAAACATACAAATAATAATAACTTGCTTACATCAAACTCCTTCAAAAATAAACACACATTGGCACAAAATTGTCACGGTTTCAGTTGATGCATCAGTAGAACCCTCAAACTTACACAGAATTATGGTCCTGAACCGAAGCTCTTCTGACTGATGTGTGAGGACCGCGCTGATGTCCATATGTCCTTACATGTGCCCGCATGGGAGCCGCCTCAGTCCTGGGTCTACAGCCTCAGTCCTGGGTCTACAGCCTCAGTCCTGGGTCTACAGCCTCAGTCCTGGGTCTACAGCCTCAGTCCTGGGTCTACAGCCTCAGTCCTGTTCTCTGTGGACCAATGTCTCCATTTCCTGTGTTCGCACTGTTCTCTGATATGTTTCTAAAGTCCTCCGAGTTGAGTGCTGTTGTGATTTAGGGCAATATACGAATTGAATTGAATGACAGGATGGACCTAGGACAGAGGGACAGTCCTAGGACAGGATGGCGTTGGACACAGGAACGGTCCTAGGACAAGATGGCGTTGGAGTGGCGGATGCCGATCAGGTTGTCTGCACTGAGGGAGCGTCTCATGGCAGATCGACTCAGGTCCTTGTATTTGTCCTCACAAAGACGAGAGATGGCCTGGAACACACACAAACACACACATATATATAAGGATCACACACAAACACACATTGCAATCATGTGGTCCAAAAAGGGCGTAGCAGGAGGTCGTAGGACAGGGTCATGCGGAAAACAGACAGAGCTTTTTGTGGCTTGGTATCACTCTTATTTGGTATTTGATTTCAACACAGTGTACGTCGTGTAGAGTTTGAATGAGTTCAATGTTTTCAACAATGAGGAGGATTAAGCGGCTGTTATCGTAGTGACACTGGAGTCATTCTGGGATCAACAGAACCAGGTCCAAGATCACAGTTCTGATTAGGGAGGTTTCCTTCACTATTTTTTGCCTCTGATCCCGATCCAATTGTTAAAATTAAAATCCGATCCGATTTCAAGTCCTGATCCAATGCTTTTCACCATCGGTATTGTAAGTAAACAGTAAACTCAATATTTGGAGTAATTTATAAATGATGCATCAATATTCCAGTTTTGGTGATTTCGGCGACTTTAATGGTATCTGCAAGTGGAAAATGGAGCTCCATGGCTTGTGATTAACGGCTTATTAACCGAGCGCAAGGTCTGTATGGAGAAATATCTGATATCTGATATTTCTCTGTACAGACCGAGCAAGCAAGGTTAATAAATGTTTTATTATATGACTCTCGTCTGTGTCTTTACCAATGCTTTTGAGATATTTGTGAAGTATGCTCATGTCCGACTTGGTTTTGTGTGATACGCGCTGTGGACCAATTGTCATGGTAACGGTCCGAGATGGGAAAATATCAGACCGCAAATCAACCAATCAGAGCGCGCGTAATAAGATAAAAAATACATTTTTTTATCTTATTTCAACAAAACAAGAAATTGTTTAAATTTATATATTATATATATTTATATTATATCTACCATTTATGTTTAATAATGAAATTGTCATTATTTTTAAAAGTGGTCCGGTGTTTGCTGTATTCAGAAGTTGCAATGATTACATTTGTCCACTAGATGTCAGCGTTACAACCTAGTATGAGCTTAGAGGCTCCAACTCATTTGAAACAATCTGACAAAGAAAGCCTTGGTGTGTTACGGGGCTTCATCTGCCTCACAGTCCAGGGTCCTCACAGTCCCGGACCCTGGTCCTCACAGTCCAGGGTCCTCACAGTCCCGGACCCTGGTCCTCACAGTCCCGGACCCTGGTCCTCACAGTCCCGGACCCTGGTCCTCACAGTCCCGGACCCTGGTCCTCACAGTCCCGGACCCTGGTCCTCACAGTCCCGGACCCTGGTCCTCACAGTCCCGGACCCTGGTCCTCACAGTCCCGGACCCTGGTCCTCACAGTCCCAGACCCTGGTCCTCACAGTCCCAGACCCTGGTCCTCACAGTCCCAGACCCTGGTCCTCACAGTCCCAGACCCTGGTCCTCACAGTCCCAGACCCTGGTCCTCACAGTCCCAGACCCTGGTCCTCACAGTCCCAGACCCTGGTCCTCACAGTCCCAGACCCTGGTCCTCACAGTCCCAGACCCTGGTCCTCACAGTTCCAGACCCTGGTCCTCACAGTTCCAGACCCAGGTCCTCACAGTCCCACAACTGTACACGTCACAGATAAGTATAATTTTGACTCCGGAATCAGTGAAGATTTACATGGTTCCTAAAGAAGAGATTTACTTCCCGTCTCTTTGAGGACATTCAGCCACTGGTGACGTCAGCTGCTAACCAGCAATATAAGGACCATACACATACATATAAGGACCACACACACACACAAACACGCATATGAGCACCACACACACACAAAAATACAAGGACCACACACATACAGTATAAGGAACAGACACAGATATAATGCCCACAATTGTAAAGCGCTTTGTGACTCTACTCTGTGAAAGGCGCTATATAAATAACAACATACTTATATAAACCACAGACACATATCTTCTCTATGTAATGTAGTGTGACCGTTTATGTGTGATTGTTTCTGGTTTTGTGGAGCACTTTGATATGCCTTGTTTATGAACTGTGCTTTACAAAAAAACTTGCCTTGCCTAGTTGTATAACCTCCTGTGAGCAACCCAGATCTAAAGTGTGTTTTGGAGACAGTGTGAAGGCATCACCTCCAGCTTCTGTGCTCTCTGGTTGCTGAGTGCCTCAAGGGGGAAGCTCAGGTTGTTGTCGTCGGCCAGTTGCCTCAGGTCAAAGTAATACTTGGCGTAAACACTCGCTGGGACGTTTATGTTGAACTGCAGCAGCTCCAGGAAGTGACGCTCCATCTCGTTCCTGCGCAAACACATCAGTCTGTCAGAACCTCACTTATGGAACAGAAAGAGTCTTGTGATTTCATTAGTTCAGTACATTTGACTTTTACCACATGCTGATTTTTATTTGAACAATTATCTGTTGCATGCTGTCCCCATGAGTGAGTATTTGGGCCGAGATCTTGAAAGTTAGGTACCCCAGCTTAAACAAGTGGAAATAGCAAAAAGCAGATCATTTGGGGTGAGGAGCCTCTTCAGTTCTGCACTAAACAGCCTCTACAGTCCTGGATCAGTCCTGGATCCACAGCCCTCAGTCCTGGATCCACAGCCTCAGTCGTCCCGCTCCCTGTGGACCAATGGCTCTATTTGGGCAGCACGGTGGCTGAGTGGATAGCACTATCACTTCTCAGCAAGAAGGTCCATGTTCTCCCCGTGTCTGCGTAGGTTTCCTCCAGGTACTCCGGTTTCCCCTACCACTAAAACAATGTACAATAGGTCTGGCATGCGCCTCCTGTACTGGCGACCTCGCTCTCTGTGTGGAGTGAGAGAACAAATGCCCAAAAATAATAACAATTGTAAACCGCTTTGTGACTCTGGTCTGTGAAAGGCGGTATATAAATAAAGATTACTTGCATACTTTCTATGTGTTTGAACACAGGAAATGCAAATATTGACCCCGTGCATGTGACGTCCCGGCCACGCCCACTCTCCATGACAGACGGCAGAAGTCTAACTGCGAGCCTACGGACACCTGACCAAAACAACCTGTTTCAGCGCATTATAGCCAAAACTGTGACATTTTGCAGTGAGGTTGATTATCCTAACAGGCAAGGACATAAGCTTTTTTATCTGATACCTGCTCGTCATGAAGACAGAAGACGACGATGGCCAGCGGCAATCAACCAAAAGGACTGGGACCCATCCAAGTACTCCCTAACATGCAGTGAACACTTTTTACGAGATAAAGCAATCACAAGTTTGTATTTATTTTATTTCCATTAATTTGTAGGACAATGACACAAGTCAAACGTGTCTCTGTCCTGTATGTGCGCTGTAACATTGACATTTTTATCATATTCAAGTCAATTGCGTGTTTCACTATTTTCCTCTCGTCAGTCATCATGTTTGGCTGTAGACAGAAAAGCCACAGAAAAGTGGACTATTGCTAATGCTACCAGCAAAATGTACATATAAATCTGCTCCAGTGTAAGGGGATGCATTGTTAACAATTATGATAAAGATCATGTAGGGTAAATTTGGGCAAAAATAGACATTTTATTTAATCGATAAAATTGACTGGGGGGAGAAGGTACGGGTCAACATCCAGTTAGGCGATCCTTAACTTCTCCAAATACCACTCTTTGTAAGCAGCCACTTCTCGATTTAAGAGAGGAAGCTCCGTTATTAAGAGTTGTGTCCGTTTTGCTCTCGCAGCAATGCTAGTTTCCAATACTTCCGCCGTAAGCTCATTCACATTCACGTGACTGGATGACGTTGATGCATCTGGTCAATAACAAACTGTTTGATTCTCTGATCTGCTGTTGGTGGATCACTAAATGTCCTCCAAGATGACTTATACATAGACAAATAAGTTGAATAATGCTTGAGGCTTAGAGGAACCCATTACTCACTTTTGAGAAGAAAAAAGTGAAAAGAATCTCCGGATGTGGTCAGTCTGATCCAGTAACACTACTGTCTCTGACCAGGACAGAAGTCTAAACATGTGGCGATTAAGCGGAACTTGCTTTTTTACACTTTTGTCTCATTATAACAATCTTCAAAGCCATAGAGACACATATTAAACTTTATATATTCGACTTGAATTGAATTGAAAAATGGCTTCACAGGCCACTGATGATGAGTGAAAGTGTGTATCGCTCAGAATCTCCATAATATGTAAGTGAGTAAACGTCATTGCTGCCTGTGTGTAAACTTTCAAGCACAACTGTATCCACCAAATAAAGGGCAAAAACACTTTGAACAGAACTGAACCTGGAGGCCGTTTCCGGGGCGACCGCATCCTCTCCATCTCTGTCGGTTCAGGAGCACTGAAGTAAAAAAGCACTTGTGTGTGATGTCTGGTCGCCCTGGGAGACTAATGGAGCGGGCGAGATGCTGGTCCATTATACTGGGACCAAAAGAGGCACTCCAGACCCTGCACCCACACTACAAAGCCCCTTCAGATGTGAGGGAGGGGGGTGAGGTGAGAGGGGAGGGGGGAGGTCCAGAGGTGGAAACATGGCCATGTCCCCACATCATATGGAGGAATATTGTCTTCCACTATTCTCTGCTCATAATATCATACAGACAGAGGTCAATTCTTTACATTTCGTAGTAGATTGAGATTGTGAAATTAAAAGTTGCACACACACTCTCTGGTCTCTCCTTCTCACTCTCTGGTCTCTCCCTCTCACTCTTTGGTCTCTCCTTCTCACTCTCTGGTCTCTCCTTCTCACTCTCTGGTCTCTCACTCTCTGGTCTCTCCCTCTCACTCTCTGGTCTCTCCCTCTCACTCTCTGGTCTCTCCCTCTCACTCTCTGGTCCTCTCACTCTCACTCTCTGGTCTCTCCTTCTCACTCTCTGGTCTCTCCTTCTCACTCTCTGGTCTCTCCTTCTCACTCTCTGGTCTCTCCTTCTCACTCTCTGGTCTCTCCTTCTCACTCTCTGGTCTCTCCTTCTCACTCTCTGGTCTCTCCTTCTCACTCTCTGGTCTCTCCTTCTCACTCTCTGGTCTCTCCTTCTCACTCTCTGGTCTCTCCTTCTCACTCTCTGGTCTCTCCTTCTCACTCTCTGGTCTCTCCTTCTCACTCTCTGGTCTCTCCTTCTCACTCTCTGGTCTCTCCTTCTCACTCTCTGGTCTCTCCTTCTCACTCTCTGGTCTCTCCTTCTCACTCTCTGGTCTCTCCTTCTCACTCTCTGGTCTCTCCTTCTCACTCCCTGGTCTTTTTCTGATCTCTTTGGTCTTGTGAAAAAGAAAGATGTTTTACAGTAGCATAAAGGCAGTGTGACACTTTCTGTTGGGACAAAGAAAATAGCACCCCTGCTTTAATGAACAACTGCAGGAGCACCTGGGGGAAAAGCACTCACATGTCCTCCACGGTGATGTCCTTGAGGATCTGGCAGTAGTCCACGTTCCAAACAGCCTGGTCATCCCACACTTTGGAAGCCAGCAGAATGGCTCCCAGAATGATCCTCTTCCAGTTAGACGGACAGATGTCCAGCTCAGCATAGGTCAGCAGCCGCTCTAGATACACCTGCAAGAGACCAGAGAGAGATGAGACCAGAGACGAGACCAGGGAGAGACCAGAGAGAGAAGAGGGAGAGACCAGAGAGAGACAAGAGAGAGGGACCAGAGAGTGGTGGTAAACTACAACTGTAGGCACAGCTGCCCTGGGGTACACTGACAGAAGCGAGGCAACCAGTATGTGCCACCACCCCTCCCACCACCACCACCACCAACTATTCACACACACACAGACTCATTCTAATGTGGTGAAGTGTCCAAAGGACACAATCACAGTTTGGCACCCCGCTGAGGTCTCCCATCACAGTACTAACCAGACCCTTTCCTGCTTAGCTTCAGAGGTCTGACAGGATCTGGCTCACGCCTCCAGGTGGCACCACTTACTATTAGATATAGTATAAATTATATGAAACCATTCAAAATAAAATAGTTTAGATTAAACAAACACATAAAGAGTGAGATAAAAAGATAATATCTTTTGACTTAAACATCAACAAATTTGTCTTTTTATGTTTTTTCCCCTTAATTCTGATCCCTGGGCTTCAGCCCCTACTCTGGATAAGGAGACAATGGATTCAAAGAGTTCATTCTTCTGGGACTCTGAGGAGCACACGGACTGGACTCCTGCTGGTACCCAGAGTCAGGACTAAACATGAGGAGGCAGTGTTTCAGATTTATGCAGCTAAAATCTGGAACAGTCTTCCTGAAAACTGTTACTTACAATGTTCAAATTCAGGCTAGAAACAGTTCTGTTTAGCTGCAACAAGTGAAGGGTTGTATCTCCACTTCTTTTAATGTGTGTGATAATGCATGATGTTAATGAACTGTACTATACAATTACACTGTCCTGACTGTAGGAACATCACAGGCATTAATATTAAATATTGTATTGCATTTACACTTCAGGGCAATTAATGCTTTCAACATTTATCAGAAATATGTATTATCTGATAGGAGAAGAGGAAAATCTAAACCATTATCCATCATGTGGCTCTGGAGATCAACGAATCCACAGAGACATACTGCCCCCTGCTGGTGAATCACAGAGACACACTGCCTCCTCACACAGAGAGCTGCATGGGATGGAACTTCCTGAGAGGAGTTTGCATGCTGTGGACAGAGGGTCCTGGTCCTGAGAGGACAATGGTGAACAGACAGCACTGACCAGAGTCACAATGGCACATTCTGCAGTGAGCTGCGCCGCGCTGAACAAGGTCCTGACAAAACGATAGATCACTTTGTGTTCCGGGTCCAAGCGGCAGTACTCGTCTGGCACCGGCTCCCTCTGCAACACAACACAGAGACACACAAACACACTGGTGACTTTACAGCCTCCAACACTTCATAGAGTCCCAGACAGGTCTCAAAAGGGAAGAAAATAACCCCTTTTTGCTTGTTACATTGTCTTTCTAGGTGACAATTAAAGCTGGAGTACTTAACTTTTAAACCATTAAAATATCATTCTTACATTTATTATGTCAAATCAGCTAGTTCTCAAATGTGTGAGTATAAGGCCTCTGTCACATCATTACATCAGATTATTCAGACACAAAGAGATCAGAGAGAGAGCGAGACCAGAGAGAAAGACTAGAAAGAGATCAGAGATACCAGAGAGAGACCAGCGTGAGAGAGACCAGAGAGAGACCAGAGTGAGACGACAGAGACCAGAAAGAAAGACTGGAGACAGAAATCAGTGAGACAAAGTAAAAGAGTAAAAGACCAGAGAGAGACCAGAGAAAGACAGTGGTAGTCCTCTGATCTGATCGCCACAGTGCACACGAGACTTCAAAGATAAGAGTCATGGGATACTATGTATATGTTGTATATGGCGTTAGAGTACACTGTACCTGGAGCTTTGACATAAACTAAATCTCAAATTTCTCAAAGCTGTTTATTTTATTTTATTTCCTTTATTTATTGAGTTGGAACCATGGGGATTTATCAACATTGATGCCTTAAGCATAAGTGTAAATGTGCCGGACTGCTAAATTACAGTCGTAGTCCCAAAAGTTCTAAAATCATATGCTCTCGATACAAAAGCTGCTGTGAATCTGTTGTACATTTAGTAGAACAGTGTGAAGCTCACGCACCGATAATGGATGCAGCTTCTCGTCAAAGATATCCATGGACCGATCAGAGTCCCTGAAAGATCAACAGATTTACCTTTGCATCAAAACAACACAAAACCCTGAAGCAGCACAGAGGCTTACCTGTTTTTGATGTGGTAGTAAATGGCTAATGTAACACTGGAAGAGAAAAAACAGGTCATTCATTTCAATGGGAAATGACATCCGAGTGAGTCTGATGGCAGCAGCGTTGGTGATGACAAACATGTGACAGGAAGAAAAAGACTTATTACTACTGCTAGCGCTACTGTTACTGCTACCGCTATTGCTACTGCTATTGCTACTGCTGCTGCTGCTACAATCAATAACTGAGGAGTTTACTCAATGTTAGTCAAAAGAAGCCAGAGTGAGTTGGACCAAAACGTTGTCCATGAGCACTTCTCTATAGGCGTTCATCGAGCTAGCAGGTTAGCAGTGTCGTCTGTAAAGAGTATGCAATGCCTGCGCTCACCACTTGATGGTGCTCTTGAGGTTGGGCTGGCTGACTGTGCTGTCATCGATGAAGATGGTGGAGCAAGAGCTGTACTTCTTTGACAAAGGTCCTGGAGAAACCTGCAAACACAGAATATGGTCACAATATCCGGGCTAAAGCTGAGGTACCTGACTGCCAACATCTGGACTAAAGCTGAGGTACCTGACTTCTAATATCTGGACTAAAGCTGAGGTATGTAGTAAGTAGTAGTAGTAGTAAGTAATCTTTATTTATATACCGCCTTTTTCACTGCACATAGGAGTCTCAAAGCGGTTTACAATTGTGATTTTTGGGATTGGGGGTGCCAGTACAGAAGGCACATGCCAGATCTATTGTACATATTTTTAGTGGTAGGGGAAACCGGAGCACCCGGAGGAAACCTACTTCTAACATCAATCTGGTTTAAAGCTGAGGTACCTGACTCCCAACATCTGCACTAAAGCTGAGGTACCTGACTGCCAACATCTGGACTAAAGCTGAGGTACCCGACTTCTAACATCAATCTGGTTTAAAGCTGAGGTACCTGACTTCTAACATCAATCTGGTTTAAAGCTGAGGTACCTGACTTCTAACATCAATCTGGTTTAAAGCTGAGGTACCTGACTTCTTACATCTGGACTAAAGCTGAGGTATCTGACTTCCAACATCTGGACTAAAGCTGAGGTACCTGACTTCCAGTGTTGTGCGTGAACGAGTTCAAAAGAACGCGTTCATCGAACACGCTCATTTTTTTGTGAACGTTGAACTGAACGCAACACATAAAAAAAAAAAAAACTTGAACGTGAATTAGTTCATTTTATGTGTCATGAACGGCAGACATCACTATGAACGTTGGAATCTGTTTTCTCGTTTGAAACGCAGAGAGAAAGTTCCTCCCTCCTGTATTCTCACACTTTTTCCGCAGAAATCTAAAAATTCCTACGGTTTCCACCGTCTGTGAACGCACCCCGACTCTGTGTTGTGGTGCGGCGCTGTGAGCTGGTGCTTTTCACATGTGCCCGAGTCGTGATGAAAACACAGGGTGAGTTAGCGACAAAGTTTACACCGTTTACATTTGACATAAAGTATAGACACACGCACTGCAGCGCATTACTGTCTGTAGTTTATGAGCAGAGATGGGACAACTCTGTTTGGCTCCCATTGAAAACCATGTAAATCTAGTCTGTTTTGTAGTCAAAAGGCTCTCCTCTTGTGGTTCTACAGGAGATTATATATATATATATATTAGCTCGTAGTGTGAAAAAAATATTTATTTAAGTATCTCACGAAAAAAGTAAAATGAACTGAACTTTGAACTAGTTCAGAAAAGCTGTGAACTGGCACAACACTGCTGACTTCCAACATCTGGACTACAGCTGAGGTACCTGACTTCCAACATCTGGACTAAAGCTGAGGTACCTGACTTCCAACATCTGGACTAAAGCTGAGGTACCTGACTTCTAACATCTGGACTAAAGCTGAGGTACCTGACTTCTAACATCTGGACTAAAGCTGAGGTACCTGACTTCTAACATCTGGACTAAAGCTGAGGTATCTGACTTCTAACATCTGGACTAAAGCTGAGGTATCTGACTTCTAACATCCGGGCTAAAGCTGAGGTATCTGACTTCTAACATCTACACTAAAGCCGAGGTACCTGACTTCCAACATCTGGACTAAAGCTGAGGTACCTGACATCACTTTCCCACTCTCCAAAACCTCTACTTTCCACAGCTGTAGATAAGCTTTCTCAGACAGTGTGAGAAGAGAGGACCATACTCAGTTCTCATCCCAAAGAGTCAAAAAGAAGACAGTATGTTGTTCCTTTACAAGACTCTTGGACAAACAATAAGGTACTCTGGCTCCAAATACTTTGCTGTATCTTGATATATACAATACATATCTCAATGTTTTTACAGATATAATTAATTTTATATTAAATAACCAAAAATAATCTAACATTCCGAAGACTTTATTGATCCTCAAAGAGTCAGATCAAGTAGGAACACACCTTTTTTAATTACCGGTAAACACATAATAATTGCACTGTAAAATAAATATTTACAGACACAGACTTACATGACTGATGTGGTTTATGTGGTTGCTTTTCCTTCTGTCTCGGACTGAAACAAACACAGACTTAGTATTATTTACTACAGAATTTTCAGGACTATAAACCGCACCGGATTACCACCTGCACATTGTCTCCCACATTGAAATATTGAGAAATTTAGCTCAAAACTTTCATCATGTCTTATTATTACTGTGAGTAATAAGAGTAAGAAGTGTTACTGGCTGTTCTTAATCTTTCAGTGAAGCAGAAAGGTAAGGAGCAACATCTACTGCTCTCCAAAAAAACATTTACTATGAGATATTCACAAAGATATTATCGGTGAGGACTTTTTAATTCTGCTGATCTATTGTTACTTGTCATAAAAAGCCGCACCTTACTATAAACCGCAGCCTTCAAAATTCAGGAAAATGGCTTATAGCCCGAAAAATACGGTACTTTACTGCTAAAGTACCGTATCAGATGCTAATGTGTGTGTATGTGTGTGCGTCTATGTGAGTGTGTGTGCCTGTATCTTTTTGCGTGTGTGTCCGTTTGCGTGTGGGTGTGTGTATGTGCGCGTCTGTGGGTGTCTGTGTCCATTTGCGCGCGTGTTCTCTGTATGTCTGTGTGTCTGTTTGCATGTTTGTGTGTGTGTGTATGTGTGTGCCTGTGTCTGTTTGCGTGTATGTGTGTGCCTGTGTGTCTGTGTGCGTCTCACAGTCTGTCTGGGACTTGCAGAGAAATATGGTGCTGGCCCGAGCGTGGTCAGAAGGGTTCGATTCCAACGCCAACTCTGGAGAAAGGAACAAGAGAAACAGGACTGAGCCAGGACCGGACCAGGACCAGACCAGGACAGGACCAGGACTGAATCAGGAGTGGACCAAGAATGGACTAGGACTGGACCAGGACCAGGACTGAACCAGGACCAGGACTGAACCAGGACCAGGACTGAACCAGGCATCATGAGTTGTTTGGTTTAACCCCTTGAGGCAGAAGAAGTCATGAGCTGCAGTCACGCTTCAGACACTTTTAAGAACACAAATCTGTTGAAATAATTCAGAGTTAGATGTTTGGAGACAGAGAATCTCAGAGTTTGTTAGATAATGTTTGGAGACAGAGGTTCTTAGAGCTAGTTAGATATTGTTTGAACAGAGCAGAGCTGTCACAGATGCAGCTTTAGGAAAAGGATTAGTTTCAGTGAAGACAACAGCTGCAGCTTATGACCTCATCGTCTGTGCTACGTTAAAACCTTTCCCGCTTGTGCTACACTAATACATGTCCCCGTTTGTGCTACACTAATACATGCCCCTGTTATTCCTAGGGTAAAATAGTAAGTAAGTAAGTTAGTAAGTTTTTTATTTATATACCGCCTTTTCACTGCAGATCTGAGTCTCAAAGCGGTTTACAATTGTTAATTTTGGGCATTTGTCTCTCACTCCACACAGAGATGGGAGCGGGGCCAGTACAGGAGGCACATGCCAGAACTATTGGACATATTTTTAGTGGTAGGGGAAACCAGAGTACCCGGAGGAAACCTACGCAGACACGGGGAGAACATGCAAACTCCACTCAGAAAGGCATGTCCCGCTTGTGCTACACTCATAAATGTCCCTCTGAAAGCCACTGCTTTCCCTGTTTCTGATGTCTGCCTCTATAATCTATCACATCACGCATCAGCTCATGGACTATGTCGCCAGTGTTTTACTAACCAAAGTTTTTGGACCAGTGGAAACGGTTGAAACCAAATTAGAAAGACAAGTTTGATGAGACTTGTCTGTTAGTCTGTGATCTGTGAGAAAACACAGATGTAGAACAGCCAGGGGGCCGACACACCTCCCTGTGTAGCATCCTCTACATCAGATACACACTAGATGCTAGGGCTGCATGATTTTGGAGTGTTTAGTATTGCGATAACAATATAGCAATATTTTTGTCTTTCACCAAAAATTGCAACCTGCATTGAAACGCAACAAACAACAAAAACTAAGCACAACATTTCATGACATTCAAATGCATATATTTATATACTTTGTTTGTTGTATTTGTTAAATGTTGATGTGTCTGTCTGTTTTGTTGTCTTTAATCATCGCGCATATTTTCAACATGGATATATTCAAGCAGGTAGTAAAGTGTTCTAACTGTCAGAGTGCTGCTGAAAGCCATGGTTACCAAGGGACTTCCCCAAATACTGGTTTGTTGTGGGTAGGGTAGAGTAAAGTAGAGCAGGATAAAGTAGGGTAGAGTAGAGTAGGATCGAGTGGTGTCGTATAGAGTGGAGTAGAGCAGAGTAGAGTAGAGTAGAGCAGAGTAGGATAGAGTGGAGTAGAATAGAGTAGAGTAGGATAGAGTGGAGTAGAGCAGAGTAGAGTAGGATAGAGTGGAGTAGAATAGAGTAGGATAGAGTGGAGTAGAGCAGAGTAGAGTAGGATAGAGTGGAGTAGAATAGAGTAGGATAGAGTGGAGTAGAATAGAGTAGGATAGAGTGGAGTAGAGTAGAGTAGGATAGAGTGGAGTAGAATAGAGTAGGATAGAGTGGAGTAGAATAGAGTAGGATAGAGTGGAGTAGAATAGAGTAGGATAGAGTGGAGTAGAGTAGAGTAGGATAGAGTGGAGTAGAGTAGAGTAGGATAGAGTGGAGTAGAATAGAGTAGGATAGAGTGGAGTAGAGTAGAGTAGGATAGAGTGGAGTAGAATAGAGTAGGATAGAGTGGAGTAGAGTAGAGTAGGATAGAGTGGAGTAGAATAGAGTAGGATAGAGTGGAGTAGAGCAGAGTAGAGTAGGATAGAGTGGAGTAGAATAGAGTAGGATAGAGTGGAGTAGAATAGAGTAGGATAGAGTGGAGTAGAATAGAGTAGGATAGAGTGGAGTAGAATAGAGTAGGATAGAGTGGAGTAGAATAGATTAGGATAGAGTGGAGTAGAATAGAGTAGGATAGAGTGGAGTAGAGTAGAGTAGGATAGAGTGGAGTAGAGTAGAGTAGGATAGAGTGGAGTAGAGTAGAGTAGGATAGAGTGGAGTAGAATAGAGTAGGATAGAGTGGAGTAGAGCAGAGTAGAGTAGGATAGAGTGGAGTAGAATAGAGTAGGATAGAGTGGAGTAGAATAGAGTAGGATAGAGTGTCCAAAATTAACAATTGTAAACCGCTTTGAGACTCAGATCTGCAGTGAAAAGGCGGTATATAAATAAAGATTACTTACTTACTTATAAATAAAGATTTACACGTTTTCTTTTAACTTAATCTGATGTTATATTGATTATCTGGCATCAAAAACTTCTAAAACCGGTTTCATTATTGCTCTTCAAAGGCAGATTCCTGCTTTTTAGTTTTGCATTTCACACAAGAAACATATGAATGAGTTGAACATTATAGTAATGTTTATGTATATAGCACTTTTCACAGAATCAATCCAACACTTTAAATTTTTTCAAGTGAATGTACTACTTTGGTCCTGGTTACAGTTTCTACAACTCTTGCCCCGGTCTCGCCCTGGTTCTGATCTCTCGGTCCAGATCAACTTTACCTGATGCTCAGTGAACTTCCAGTTAGTTATTCTCAAAATATAAAATTGAGATTTCTGCACTTTGCACCAATTAGAACGAAATCATATATGTTTGACTCAAAGTAACGTCATTGAACTTTAGGGATGATTACTAAACCACAGAAAACAGCTCTCTGTCACCAGGTTAAATACAGTTATCTTTGTATATGCACATCTAAAAGTACAGTGTAGCTCCATACGTACCATCGGGGACCTCTCTGTCGCTGATGTGCTGCAGATACGGCCCGGTGTTGTCGTCGCTGACGTCGGTACTGGTGTGAGTTTCCTCCAGGCGCTCCGGGGCGGGTCTGGACGGTAGTTTGGGGCTGGATTCGGGGGAAACGCAGCATGATAGCGTGTTCCCCATGTCCACACGGCACTAGCGGGGAGAGTCCAGAGAGAGCAGAGAGATCACCTCCTGGAAGATCCACACATTAGCACAAGGCAGATCCACGACAGCCGCATTCCAGGTCACCACGGTCGGCCTCAGCGCCACAGAAGCATGGCGGATCTCACGTCTACTCTCCAACAATAAGAAGTTGTTTTGTTGCTACAGTACAGACACTTCATTCATTCCTTCCACACGGCGGACCTATGCTAGGCGGCTAAAGCGCTAGCATTCACAATAAACATCCGAAATACACGGTCTGTCAACACAAGTCAGCGGCCTGGTTCAGTTGTGCAGTAGTATAAAAAGCTCGACGCGTTGAAACGTTGAAATATGACGGTTTTGTTGCTAAAAAACACAACATTCCTCATAGTATCCACACAGCAGCTGTCTCTCTCGGAGGCGGATCAGACATGGAGCCGTGAGCGCAGATTTAGGGATCGTTGTTTCGGGGAAAAAATGCGATAAAACACGATCAAATAAAAGCCGAGGGGTGATGTAGACACCAGCGTGAGTTTGTGTGATAGATCTGCGGCTGTAAACGCGGTCTGTAGCGGGGCTTCAGGGTGAGAGTCTGTCACCGCCCAGCGCCGCTTGCCTGATCCGGGTCAGAGCCTACTGCGCATGCGTGAGCCGGGCTGGATTTGGGAGTAGAGCTATGTGCGCATGCGTGGATATCCTACACACCCGGAATGTTCAGTCAGTGTTTATTTAAAGTAGCAATATGTAAGATTTTCATGTCAAATATTCATTAAATGGCCCTAATATGTCAAAAGGTGTTAATAAACAATCCTCTTTTCGAGTACTTCTTTAACGAATAGCAGTAGTTCAGCCGAGATATTCGACTTTCAAAATTTGTTTTACAGCCCCTAAATCTTGTTTTCATTTCGATGTCCCGCCCTCCACTGTTTTACCAATCAGAAAGTCCGTGATCCGGGTTGCCAGAACTCACCATGCCAAGCTAATCTCACTGTTAAAGTAACTTGTGACCGCGGAACTAAAAATGTTGCGTTATGATTCTCAAATTATTAACAACAAAACAAGGATTTATTTTGGTAAAAGGTATTGGTTGTAGATCTGTTGTTGAAAAAACTCTTGTCTATTCAGATATTATGGAACCAGTTTTGTTCAAAAAGTGGAGAAGGCGGTTCCTAAAATTTGGGGAAAATCCTCCTGTATGCCTAAGCATGAGTCAATTATATCTAAAGTGATGACATCTCTGTTCTTATGCACTTTGGCACCAATCATAAAAAGCCCCGTCTCTTTTTACTCAATCTGAAGGGACTCGAAAAAGATCCATGGCTTTCCTTTGCCCTTTGTCCACCACCACGATGTCAGGTTGGTGCCATCACTATTTGCTCTATCTGTGTCTGGACGTCCCACAGGGTCTTATCATTCTCCACCACCTTCGGGGGAATTTCCCATTGTGACCTTGGGGTTTCCAGCCCATACTCTGCACAGATGTTCCTGTACACTATACCAACCAGGCCGTCCCAGAATCCGGCACCCTGCAGTTATGTATTGGATCATCTCAGGTGCCTCTCTACACAAATGACATATTGGGTCTTTCCTGGTGTGGTATATCTGTACCCTGGGTCTCCTCTGGTGTGGTATATCTGCCCTTGGGTCTTGTCTGTCGTCACAGGACACAGAGGAGAGAGGAGGCCCCAGACCCCCACCACCACAGCAGACCATCGCTCCCAGTGCAGAGGGCTCCTCCAGAGGAAACACTGGAGATAGTAAAACAATACAATAAAAAGTAAAACATTAACATGTGAGACCAAAAGGAAAAAGGCATGTGAGACAGGCCTCCTCAATGACAATGTTTAAAACCAGGTTAAAGACAGGTCTGTTTAGCTGTGCATACAACTGAGGGATTTTATATTTTTATTTTTATTTTTAATGTTTTGTGATTATTTATGATTTTAATGCTTTCTTGTTTTGTTCAGTACTTTGAATTACCTTGTGTATGAATTGTGCTATATAAATAAACTTGCCTTGCCTTGCCTATACATTTCATAAAAAGGCAATGATAAATGTTGCATTCTAATCAAAAGCGAATCTAAAAAAGTGTGTCTTGAGCCTGCATTTAAAAATATGCCAGCCCTTCCTAGCCGTTGGCAGGACTTGTTGAGATCAGCCACTTCTGTTATGCTCCGGTGGTACATGCCGTGTAGGGGTTCGTTCTCCCAGGGCTCTCCTCCAGCACCTCCTCATCTCGCCACTGAGACATTCACTGAGTACGTCATCCGTTTGGGCCTTCTCCATGATGTAGTTATGGAGTTTGGATGTTTTGTCCTGGACAGTGGCTCTTACACTCACCAGTCCAAGGCCTCCTACTTTATGGCTTTTGAGTCTCAGGCTGCTGGATTTGGGATGGAAGGAGAGGAGCTTTTGAGTTTTAACACCTGTGGTCTGAATCTCTTCCTTTGGCCCCTGATTATTCCTGCAGGGTCTAATCCCTGGCATGGCGTAGCTGTTAATTTCTTGAGCCTTGTTCTTCCTGTTGAGTCGGCTTCTTGGGACTTGCCTTGTCTCTGGAGGTATTTGGCAGTTGCCACTTCCTCGTTGCCTGTTCGAGGTTACCATTTGCCTGTTGTATACCACAGGTGAAAACTACATACCATGTATACTTGGTGTGACGGCGAACATGTTAGCAGCGCTTGTTTACAGTTGGAGGCATTTGTTCACAAGCACTGTGTCCCCCATTGTAAGTCCTGGTTTAATTCCAATTTAGTCCTGAGTTAGCTCCTGTTATTACTGTTTTCGAGTGTCCTCAGTCTTCTTGCTCTGCCTGGCTTGTGCCCGTGACCACTTTGCGGCTCTCTGACTGGTTGCCGTACATGCTTCCAGAGGAAAACGTTTTTGCCGCACGCATGGACTCGCCGTACCCACCACCTCTGCTGTGTTGCACATGCATTTCCTTGCACAAACCTGCATCACCATTGACACAGCATTGAAACACGACGTAACACACGGTCCGGCCTGAACGCCCTGTTGTTGATGATAATTTTGTATATATGTATATGCAGCATGCATAACAAGACACCAGTGAAGCATTTGCATCATATTTTATTACAGGACATACAGTAAGTCTTTATAAAAGTGGAGTAAACAGTGACAGTACAGAATCCATTAATCGTTTCAACACAACACAACGAGGCAGACCTGGAAATCTGCTGGTCTTTACACTGAAACAGGTCTTTACACTGAAACAGGTCTTTACAAAGATCTGTAGAAAGGTCTCAGCAAGACAACGTTTATGACGATGGTAATCCCATCATCATGAACCCATTTGTCATGGGCTAAAGTCAGGAACCCCATCTTTAATAACTGCATTTGTTTGAATCATAGACTGCAAATAGTAGTCACGCCTATCTTCGTTGTTGAAACTTAATAAACCACCACTTTTGCCTTCTGTGGGCTTTTTCAAAAAAACGCATTTACGCATGCATTAACCGGCACCAGCCCCATTCATTTAACGAGTGCATTCAAAAGTCCACTACGGCTAAACTAGACTGGTCAAAAAAAAAAAAACTCCCCTCAGCATTGACACACATCTGGGCCAAGCCGACTATTGGACCATTCTGTGAAGCCGTTAGAAGGCGGCGTATAAAAGCACACCCCTCACCGGCCCGGGGTGAGATTGCAAGCATGTCAGCGCACGTGCTCATGAACCGGGACCTGCCCCCACTGGTTTGAAACAAGAATCTCTTAGAAAGTCTGTTCTCACACATAGCTGCCATTGTGTTGTTCAGGAGGTTATATATATATATATAGACTATATAAAGACTATACACAGTTATTTACAAGTACTTCATAAAAGAACACATGCAGTACAAAGTTTCGTACCTATATACAAATATGACATGTTTCAGAGGATGTCCCTGTGTGTCATCAGTCCCAGGGTTAGCCAGACCACTGTTAGCATAACTCTAAGCAATGATACATGGTGACGTCCAATCACATGCAGCTGTCAGACTGACAAACAAACACAGCTGTCAGACTGACCAACGAACACAGCAGCCAGACTGATTAATTAACAAATCACTGTCTCTGAAGGTGAGACCTGTGGCTTGTTTCCTCTCAGTCTGATTAGAAGAATCCCGGGCGGAATTTTGTTTAAGCTTTAAACAAAAACGACGCCATGAACTTATATTATTATCATTATTACTATATAATTATTCTATGATTTGAACATATAGAAGATAGAGTTCTGTCTCTACATAAGAAAGTAAGTAATGTGTATTTATATAGCGCATTTTACAGACCTATGTCACCCAAAACGCTTCACAATTGTTCAGAGTTCAGATACTTTTCCATTTTCTCCACACACGGTGATGACGGAAGCGAGTTGTTGAACACACTGGCGCATCAAAGCCTCCAACCAAACACCATCCATTCACTCACTATTCATACCTACTGTGCATGTTTTTAGTGGCCTGGAGGAAACCTACGCAGACTCAAGGAGAACATACAAACTCCACTCAGAGAGGCCCTGTTCCGACCGGGATTCGAACCCAGGACCACAAACAAAACATCATAACATCAAAGTAATAACCCCTCATTATACATCAGGGATTTGAAGTGCCCTGAATCAAAGTGCTCTGACTGAAAGTGCTGCGTCCTGCAGTTTAGAACAGGAGGGACGTGCAGACCAGGCTCCTATCAGGGTTTGGAGGAGGCTTCCAGAAACTAATTTATTACTGCTTTTTCACTCACTACCACTGTTTAAGAAGTCAGAAAGACAGAGAGAACAAACACACAGGAACAGGTTTCTCACTTTGATTCCCTGTAAACTGTGCCAGTTTCTACTGATTTTCTAATCTGCTGTCAGCAAATCGACCTTTCTGTGACACTCTTTGAGATGACAGCTGCTGTGATTGAGCCATAAGTAACAGACCTCTATCTGAGCGATCCACCTCACCAACATTTCTGCTTTCAAACAAACATAAAACAAATCTGCTGAGAGCCGCCATCTTGGATTGAAATGTCTGGATGTCGCAGCATCTTTTACTTATTTATTTATATCCACAAGGCATTATAATTGGCAATTGAAAAGATAATGCAGTTTATTGCTTTGTCGTTTTATAATGTGTAGAGAATTGAAACATGTTAGAAGCCTGTAGCTCCCTGGGCTGCCACCAAAGGGAGACAGTACCAGCTACAGACACCATGTGGTTGTAAAGAGCTCTTTTCCCTTGACAAACTGAAGAACAGAAAACTGCTTTGAGTGTGATGTCATAGTGCTATGACATCGTACTATTACAGGACTGAGAGAGGAGCTTTAAGACAGAAGGGGGCGGAACTTCTGGCTTGTGCCAGAAGTTCCTGATGTTAGTGAGGACCACCACCTGCAGGAGGATCAGTGAGGACCACCACCTGCAGGAGGATCAGTGAGGACCACTACCTGTCGGAGGATCAGTGAGTACGACCACCTGCCAGAGGATCAGTGAGTACCACCACCTGCAGGAGGATCAGTGAAGACCACCACCTGCAGGAGGATCAGTGAAGACCACCACCTGCAGGAGGATCAGTGAGGACCACCACCTGCAGGAGGATCAGTGAGGACCACCACCTGCAGGAGGATCAGTGAGGACCACCACCTGCAGGAGGATCAGTGAGGACCACCTCCTGCCGGAGGATCAGTGAGGACCTGATTGTGCTCTTTGTCCTTGTGGAACATTATAATGTAGTGATAAAGAAGCTGAACTACAGTCAGTGGTCCTCTTTCCAGCCTCCTGCTGAGACAGCAGCCGTGACATGTGTGATGCTGCTGTGAGAGGTCCTTCGGACTTGTGGCAGTACAGGTCCTTCAGAGCCTCACTCAGACTTGTGGCAGTAGGTCCTTCAGAGCCTCACTCAGACTTGTGGCAGTAGGTCCTTCAGAGCCTCACTCAGACTTGTGGCAGTACAGGTCCTTCAGAGCCTTGAGTTCCTCGATAAGAGTTTTGTTTTGGTTTTCTAGCACAGCCACACGGTTCTCCAGACACTTCACATACTCCTTCTTCTTCTTGCGGCACTCGCGAGCCGCTTCTCTGTGGGAAAAATAAACAATAATGCATACATTATTTTTCATCGGGGATCATGGGGACGATAATCTCTGTCATTGTGAATCTGAACCCTGAGGACCCTCTGAACCCTGAGGACCTTCTGAACCCTGAGGACCCTCTGAGCCCTGAGGACCTTCTAAACCCTGAGGACCCTCTGAACCCTGAGGACCTTCTGAACCCTGAGGACCCTCTGAACCCTAATGACCTTCTGAACCCTGATGACCCTCTGAACCCTAATGACCTTCTGAACCCTGAGGACCTTCTGAACCCTGAGGACCCTCTGAACCCTGTGGACCTTCTGAACCCTGTGGACCTTCTCTGCAGCTCTTTCTCTTCAAATCTCTGCTCAAAACTCACCAGTTCAGAACTGTCTCCACTAAAATGTTTTTTTATAGCTTTTTATTTGTGCTTTGAGTGTCCACAAAAGTACAATGCATTATATTATTATTATTGTTGGTATTATTTGTATTTATTTTGTTATTATTATTTTACTTTTGAATGTTGTGGAGTGGGTGAGATGTGAGTTGGTGAGGAGTGGGTAAGGAGGGAGGGGTGGGTGAGGAGCGGGTGAGAGGCGGGTGAGGTGTGATGTGAGCTGGGTGAGGTGTGGGTGAGGCGGGTGAGGAATGGGTCACCTGTTCTTCATGAGTCGCACCTCCCTCTTGCGGGTCACCTCCTCAGTTCCCGTGGGGAGAGCAGGAGACATGACGACACTGGGAGCAATGGAGCTGGAGGCTCTGATCTGATAAGCCTCTCCTGCAACACAACAGCTTTACACACTATACACACACACACACACATACTGTATATACATTATACACATACACCAGGACGTCTCCTGCAACACAACAGCATTACATACTATACACACACACACACACACACACACATATAAGAGTCCACTCTCTCACCTGGTCACTGACCTTGCACCACCACTAGGAATGTCACAATTACCGGTGAAGCAGTAAACCCCGGTAAAAAATCTGACTATAACGTTAACCGTCTCGGTGGATTACCGAGCCACAGAATACGGCAAACGTGAGTCTGCTGAAGTTTCTGCGCCGGAGCACTTTCATGCTGGAGTCATGACCAAAGGAGGAGACAGCAGCCCTTAGGACATTTACCAGCCTGAGTTTGGGCATATTTTGGACTTTTAAAGTGGACATATCGTTTTCAAATAATTGATTTTTACATCTAAATCATTAATTTGTGGCCTATATAAAGCGTAACTGCAATGCCTGGGTCTGAGTCTCATTATTTGTAGCTCCACGGGCCTTTCTTCTACACCTGTTCTGAGGTGCGTCTGAGAGCAACCTGTTTTGGTGCTGTCTCTTTAAATGCAAATGAGGCGCTTTTGACCACGCCCCCATCCAGGTGACACAGGCACTACAAAACTGTTGAAAAAACTGTTACAAAACTGTTACAAAACTCCTAGTTTATACAGTATGTGGAAGCAAATACTGTAGAGGATCAGGATATGTGCAGTTTCACAATAAAATAACAACTTTATAGCCAAAGCTAGGTAAGATAGCGTTAACGTTTTAGCTTAAAAAGATGAAGAGGCGGGGGCTTCGGGTTGAGCAGGAATGCAACGATTTGTCTGATTATCTGTCTGTCAATAATGTTAACGCAGCCGCAGCCTAGCTGCATCTAGCTGCAGAAAGCTGCCTATTAGCAGCTAATACGCTAAGCTAAATAGGTAAAAAGTAACAGTCTGAGACGGTGAAATGAAGAGAGGGCATTATTGAGCGCTAGTTAAAGGCACAACAATATCATGCACTTTGTTTTAACCGTTTTAGTGACATTCACTATGTGTATTATAATTAAGTGGATGTTATAAACCAAATATTACTACCCAACATTTGTTCACTTTTTTAAAAACTATTTCAGTTTGTGTCTATCAATGCTTTCTGGACATATTCACTGAATTAAAAAAAAAAAAAAATACTACAATAATACCAAAAATGTTGATAATTTTGGTTACAATAACTGTGAGGGTAAATTTTCATAACGTGACACCCCTACCAACCACCACCTGGTCGCTGACCTCCACCTGGTCACTGACCTTGCACTACCACCTGGTTGCTGGGCACCAGGATCTGCTGTCCGTCGCTGGTGTGTGCGTACTGCAGGATGGTGGCAGCAGACTGAGACGTCAGAGGCTGCAGACTCTGGACTCCATCAGAACCACTGCTGCTGGTCAGGATGGCCCCGCCCCCCGTGATGGCAACTGAGGAGAGAGACATTATATATATTATATATAAACAACTAACTGTTGTGACTGTATTTCAGATCTTCATCTGTTCTTCGAGAAGAGCGTCTCTGTCCTCTGGTGCCCTGTGCAGATGGAACATTCTGCTGAGTAAAAGAAGAAGAGAATTGTCGTGTAGAAGACGACGAAAAAGAGGATCTATGCGTGGAAGAAGAGGATCTATGCACTGTAAAAATTGTTGGTTTAATCAGAAATAAAAAATCATCACAAGCGGTTCCATTGACCTTTTTGTGTACTGTCAATGTTTATTAAGTAATAAAACATGTAAACTTAAATTTGACAGAATGCAAAACTTACTTTGAAGTGATTTATTTATCTAAAATGTTTGTATCCATTCAAAGTAAAACTTTACTTAGAGGTAAAAAAAAGTGTTCATTCAAAGCAAAACCTAAGCAGACACAAAGGGAAAATATGTAAACTCCACTCAGAGAGGCACTTTTCTGACTAGGATACGAACCCAGGACCTTCCATGATGAAAAGAGCAAATGTGCTAACCACTCAACCAGTGCTTAATTTGCAGTAAGCACAGGTAGTTTAAATAGGTCTACTTGGGCCTGTCCATTACGGTTGGTCAAAAATAAATATTCATATGAAAAATTAAATGATTACTTTTGGCATAATTAATTTATTGAAATTGTTAAAACGTATTTTGCATTAGGCCAAGAACTTCTCCACCGACTCTGCAAGACACTGAACCCCACTTTGCCCGAAGCCCCCGCTGAAAGACGAAGGCTGCATCGTCACAGACAGAGCAGCTGTCCTCCTGTGGAGGATCAGTGAGGGGCTGGTGCTCTGTGACACAGAAGTGGATTAAGGGGATGGATGGATGTTTAAATTTTTCTCTGCAATGCATTCTGGGTAGCGTCACTGTTTTGCCCAATACATTTTGTTTTGTTTTCACTTAAAGTCAGTGTTGTATAGGGTGTGTGAGATTTCATAACACTTTTAAGCAACTTTTGTTAAAGTTAAACTCATCATTCTATCAATGTGCAGAAGCCTGTACTTTTCCACTTCATGTTTTGTCTATCTGAAGGCCAAGCTACATGGCACCGTGGAAGCTGCTGATTGGAGGTCTCCATGCCTCCGCTCTGTATAATACACTTGCATTCTGTGTGTGTTTTGTTCGTGCTGTCTCTACCATCGACAATAAAACATGTCTTCTGTCTGAATTAAAGACGCGATCCCAGACATGTCATCTTCTTCAGGTGCAATAATCATGTTATACAGTACTTATTTGGCAACCAAAAATACAAAATAGTGAAAAATTAATTATATGGTAATTACAGTACATAAAATATTTGACATCAAAGTGTGGTCTACTGCACGTCTTACGGCGTGTTTCTGTTTAGCTTAAAGGCGCTATACCCGTTTCTGCAATGTTTGAATGTTTAGCACCGCCCCCCAGCTCGCTCACAGGCTTCTCATTTCACCTGAGCTCTCATAACACGGAGCCACCTAGTTTTATTTGCGATCTGATACGTATTCTAACATTAGCATTAGCGTAACTTGTAAGCTGTGCAACAATCACTGATGAAATGGCACTAAAGCAATGCACTGCTAACACAATATATAAGTAAAAGAATACGTTTCGCGTCCGGATGTATTAATTTAAACATTAGAATATATTCTAATATTTAATTATAATTTATTATACAGCTCCTCACAGCAGTAGAACACTCCATTGACTTGAATGCAAATCTTCCGATCATTTTTTCTTGATAACAGAACTCTCAAACCAATAATGACCGCAGCCCCAATGCAATCTGTTTGTAATTCAGGTGTGTAAAATACTGCCATTACTTTGCAAGAACAACAAGCTATCAGCGCCTGTCACTACATCGTGCAGTTTTTCTGCACACTTGTCTGTGTAGAGAAGCTAGCGGAGCTAGCCACGCTCAATAAACAAATACATATCAATCAATCAACACAATTAAACGTCAATCGGACAATACAGTATACATATACATCCTTAACACACATGCACGGACGATTTCAGAATTTGCTGTCAACGTTTTCATGACAAAAATACTGTTTTAAAGTGACAAAAAGCGATCGCGAAAAACCCGGAAGTTACCATGAAACAGCTAGCTAGCTTAGCTGTTACCTGCCTAGCACGTCCCGGTGAAACCTTTGGGAGCTAACTATTTTATTTGCAGTCATTAAATACATTTCTAATTATAAGGGTTGTCTAATATTTGTTCAAATATGTATATATTTTTTATTTTAGAATTATATTCGAATTTTAAAGTCGAAGCCCTGGTGTTAAGCAGCGCTGTAGAGGCTAGAGGACGCAGGATGGTCGCTTCTTGTTCTGTGAGCGGAGGAGAACGAGCGGCCCGCTCAGACTCTACTCAGCACTTTTCACTGCCTGAATTTCATACACAGTGGAATCAATGACCTCAAGTTTTCAATTAAATTATGTATTATGATACAACTTGTATGTAGTAAAAAGCATTTTTATGAACTACTTAGAAAAAAAATCGGGTATAGCTTCTTTAAGTCAAGTCAATTCTTCAATTATATCACACAGTCGGCAATACCGCAACTTCTGAATTTCACTTTAACTACTCATTATTTTGCCCTATATCTATCTATCTATTTATATTGATATTGAATCATTTAGCTACGAAATCAAAGTAGCTACTTATTTTGTGTGTTCCCGGTGTCTCTTGCTGCTGTCCTGTCTGTGCTAACAGGAACAGTAGACAAATGTTCAACTCAATTCAATTTATTTGTGTCTCAACACAACTGCAGTCGTGTGGAAGGACTTTACAGATTTGGTGATTCAGCAACAACAGATCAGAGAATCAAACATTTCCAACACAGTAAATGCAACAATCACCACACAGATGGCTGACTTACTTCTCTTACTTCTACTTTAGCCTTAGTATGAACTTTGGCCACAGCAAACGTTCAAATTCATATAATAGTTTTATTGCAGATCTACAAGATTCATAAAACCTTACTTAGGAAGAACACTTGACACCAATTGCCTTTTGTTGCAACTTTGGATTACTGTGTTTGTCCCTCTACACAATATAAGACTAGTATTATATAAGACTAGTTCTAAATAAAACTCATACGTTATTTGAATAGAGACGATTTAAAAACCCTGGGTCCGCTCTCCTTTCTGTAGATATGACCCATGTCAATATGTTTTAGGCCAGACTTCAGATCTTTCCCCGAACATAAACCGGTAACAGAGCCGTAAGAATATCCCCAGGGGATTTGGAAATATCTTCTTCACAAACAGTCTGTGGTTTTGGCCTCGAGGAGAAATCGAGCTCCTGTGACTGAGGATTCATGTGTGATTTAAAGCCAGTTTCAACAGACTCTGGTGTTGCTCCTAAACTGGTCTGACCACTTTAGCGTCCTTCAGCATGTGCCCCGCTGAGAAGCCTTAGCACCTTAGACGTCGGAACCAGGGGTGTCCCACATGAGTGCCTCAGAAAATAATCTTTTTTTTTTTTTCAATTTTATCTCCATGTGTGTCATCTTTCTTGCATTTAGATGTATCCTGTTTATGTAATGGCTGCATACAACTCAGTGTGACGTAGGTTACAACGCAAAACAGCCACCACCATGTTTGACAGTGGAGATGGTGTGTTCAGGGTGATGAGCTGTGTTGCTTTTACGCCAAATATATCGTTTTGCATTGTGGCCAAAAAGTTCGATTTTGGTTTCATCTGACCAGAGCACCTTCTTCCACATGTTTGGTGTGTCTCCCAGGTGGCTTGTGGCAAACTTTAAACGAGACTTTTTATTGATTTCTTTGAGAAATGGCTTTCTTCTTGCCACTCTTCCATAAAGGCCAGATTTGTGCAGTGCACGACTGATTGTTGTCCTATGGACAGACTCTCCCACCTCAGCTGTAGTTATCTGCAGTTCATCCAGAGTGATCATGGGCCTCTTGGCTGCATCTCTGATCAGTCTTCTCCTTGTTTGAGATGAAAGTTTGGAGAGACGGCCGGGTCTTGGTAGATTTGCAATGGTCTGATACTCCTTCCATTTCAATATAATTGCTTGCACAGTGCTCCTTGAGATGTTTAAAGCTTGGGAAATCTTTTTGTATCCAAATCCGGCTTTAAACTTCTCCACAACAGTATCTCGGACCTGCCTGGTGTGTTCCTTTGTCTTCATGGTTCTCTCTGCGCTTTAAACAGAACCCTGAGACTATCAAAGAGCAGGTGCATTTATACGGAGACTTGATTACACACAGGTGCATTCTATTTATCATCATCAGTCATTTAGGACAACATTGGATCATTCAAAGATCCTCACTGAACTTCTGAAGTGAGTTTGCTGCACTGAAAGTAAAGGGGCCGAATAATATTGCACGCCCCAATTTTCAGTTTTTTATTTGTTAAAAAAGTTTAGATTATCCAATAAATTTCGTTCCACTTCACGATTGTGTCCCACTTGTTGTTGATTCATGACAAAATTTTATATCTTTATGTTTGAAGCCTGAAATGTGGCGAAATGTTGAAAGGTTCAAGGGGGCCGAATACTTTCGCAAGGTATGTATATCGCACTGTATATATATATATATATATATATATATATATATATATATATATGTATAAAATGTTTCGCGGGCATTGTTGTTTTGATATGTTCAGGCGTATTAGCTATTGTTCATCCCAATACGAGATCAACAAAGACAGTTATGGCTCAGAAAGAGGTGGAGAAGCTTATAAAGCTTTGGCCCTGTCCATATCTGTCACGCCATCAGAGCGCTCTTTCTCAGCCTTGCGCAGATTGAAGCCCTGGCTACGCAATACAATGAAGCAGGAGAGACTGACGCATTTACCCATTATGAATGCGCATAATTGACAAACGTAATTGTTATTTGGAGCCGTGTGTGCGTCTGATAGATACAGCAAAATTGTGTTTTTTATTTTAAATAAATAATTTCCAATTTCATAAGTGCCTAATTTGATTTAGAATTTGACCTATAAATGTAGATGAGGCTGGAGTGCTATCCAAGTCAATGTGCCATCTTGAAATACATTGGTTGATAAGGGACAAAAAGGAGAATGACCTTTTCGTTTCAAAGGTGCTGCTAATATTGTTGTTTACACCGTGCGCTGACAAGTTTGAAGAAGGGATCATGGACGACCACAGTTATGTAAATGATGGTCTAATGCTCCGAGCATTAGACCATCTACTATGTCCACAAGTTTCAACTAAACTTATTCAGGGGACAGGCATCAAATATGTGAAACACACCAAATTCCCGGAAAACAATTGCCAGAATACTGTCTATCAACAGCAGGATATTGAATGATCTGTTTTCTTACGGTGATGATGCAAATGCGGCGCCGTGGTGAAAGTTAATAAGCGGGTGCTTATTAGTTCAGAACGCGGACTGTCAGCGCTACTGTGGCAAGTGACCAAGACGTACGGAGAGATCCGGTCATTAATCAAACTAACTCCTTGGCGGCCCGGTTCGAATGACAGGGAGTTTTTGACCACTGTCAAAGACGACAAAATTGTCTTTCGAAGGCTTCCGTAGTGCTGCTGGAAGAAAGTAAACTGCAATATATGGACCCAACTCTAGATGGTAGTAAAAACTACACAGTGTACCTTTAAACATACACAGGCTCAAACTGCAGCGGCACAGAGAGCAGAGGAGAACCAATGCTTCTTATGCACAGACCAGGAGAACCAGAGCTGTAGAGATCAGAGAAAGAGACCAGAGGGAGAGAGAGGCCAGAGTGAGACCAGAGAGACCACAGCGATAGGGTGGGACCTGAAGACAACAGATGCAAGAAGCACAGAAAAGCAATAGTGACAGACGTCAAAAACCCAGAGCTCGTCAGGGATCTGCAGTTTGTCCGTCCACGGGAGTGGGACGGCAGTAGGCTGTTGACACAGGACTGAGGCTGGAAATCCAGAACTGAGGCTGAAGATCCAGAACTGAGGCTGTAGATCCAGGACTGTGGCTGAAGATCCAGAACTGAGGCTGAAAAGCCAGGACTGAGGCTGTAGATGCAGGACTGAGGCTGTAGATGCAGGACTGAGGCTGTAGATCCAGGGCTGAGGCTGTAGATCCAGGGCTGAGGCTGTAGATGCAGGACTGAGGCTGTAGATCCAGGACTGAGGCTGTAGATCCAGGGCTGAGGCTGTAGATGCAGGACTGAGGCTGTAGATCCAGGACTGAGGCTGTAGATGCTGGACTGAGGCTGTAGATCCAGGACTGAGGCTGTAGATCCAGGACTGAGGTTGTATGTGACTTTGTGCAGTATTTAGTCACATTCATCTCTCTGTAGAGTTTGCAGTCAGCAAGTGACTCTGAAGCCTCCTGGCAGGTGTTGGCAGTCCGAGAGTGACTTAGAGGCCTTCTGGCAGGTGCTTGCAGTCTGTGAGGGATTGTGTGGCCTTCTGTCAGGTGTTTGCAGTCGTCAAGTGACTGGGAGGCCATCTGGAAGATGTTTGCAGTGTAAACTGTGTGGTCAAGATGCTTCACTAGCTGCCCTTCTAGCACCTTCTCAAAGACCTTGCAGAAGACTGAAAGGATAATAACGCAATAATTTGACACTCAAAGCTTGTCTCCTGACTTAAATATTGGCTTGATGTCATAGGAAAAGTATTTTACAGCTTGATTCACAGCTTTTGTTAGTGCTGGAGTTAGAGTCTGTTTGTGTTTATTTAAAAGAGATGATTCAAGCCCATTCCTTTGCTTTACAATTTTTCATATTCGATTTATTTTTATTTTGGAGATTTTACCTTCAGTCTGTAACCTATTGCCATCTTCAAGATTTTTGGTTTCTTTCAGGAAAGGTTTCTGCCAGCTCTGTCACAAAATCCAAGAAATAATAATTTTATGTTTAGCTAGGGTAGAGCTCTCTTTTTGGATGATTCCATTGATTTTGAGTTGCAGGTGCTCTGGAGTTGTTTTTCTCTGCTCAATAATTTATTATTGAGCATAATTTATTTACGCACCTTTGGGCAGGTGTTTGGAGTCTGCGGGTATGCTGGTGTACGTACTATACTGTCCGGAGCTGGTCTGGTAGATGGGCGTGGGCACCGTCACCGTGGCGATGGTGGCGGTGTGGGCAGGAGCATCGTCCTCAGACTTCTCCTCTTCGATCCGAGGAACAGCAGGAGAGTCTGAAGACAGGTCGTTCAGGATCTTCCTATGGACAACACAGAGTTAGTCTGAGTAAAGACCAGAGACAGCTTTAGCATTCAGCTTTAGTTGGAATAAGATAGATAGATAGATACTTTATTGATCCCTGTAGAAGAAATTCAGGTGTAGCAGCAAAAATAAAAAAGAAAATGTATCAGTAAAAAGCTAACAATAGTATTAATCAGCAACAGCCCTTCAGGTCACAGGAGCAGAGATGGAGTCGCCTCTGGGTGGAGCAGGACAAGTCACAGCAGCAGAGATGGAGTCGCCTCTGGGTGGAGCAGGAAAGGTCACAAAGTGGAGCAGCCGCTTGGTTCGTACCATTTTCTCTGCTCTAGTCCAAACTAAAATGCTAAATGATTCATTAGCATTATTCAAAAAGTCAGCCTTACTCCAGTGGATTTTCACCTGATCCACTTGGTTCGGACCATGAATCCTCTCCGCTCTGGTCTGGACCAGTGTAAAACCATGGACACTGTACTGCAGCAACATCTCAGTAAAGACTAAGAAAGTTGGACCAGGGACAGCTTAAAGTTCAGCTTATGAGACCAGACAAAAACAAGCTATATCGCTATAAAGGCTTCTTCAGCTTTAACATCTTCTGGGAACAAAAAAATAAATAAAAATATATTCTTGATGTAAAAAACTGTAGGGGTTTACAGTGAGGCAACTACACACTATACGCCTAGTATGTGACATCACCATGACAGCACCAAAGAAGCTGTTTTGAATCATAGACTGTAAATATTAACGGACGTACTCAAGAAATGGGTAAAAACACATTTGCGCATGGATTAGCCGGCACTGCCCCATTCATTTAACGAGTGCACAAGTCCACAGAGGCTAAACTAGACTGGTCCAAAAAATAAAAAACTCCCCTCAGCATTGACACACATCTGAAATATAGCATTGAGTCAGGAGCCGACTTTTGGATCATCCTGTAAAGCCCTTTTCGAGAGGAAAGAAGACGCCATACAAAAGCATTGGATAATTCTGTTTCTGGGAACACTCCTAAACTCTAGGAGTGGGGTTGCAAGAATGTCAGCGCACGTGCTCATGGACCTTTTTGAGCCGGGACCCACCTCCACTGATTTGAATATAAGCTCGAGCGGATTTCCTTATATGGGCATTTCTTCTGACGATGGTTGCTAAGGAATTCCCCTGTGAATAAAGGCCCCTGATTGGTCATTACTTACATGGTCATCTGATGTTACAAAGACAACATCACAATATAAACAGCAGGATCACAGAGAAACCACAGATATAAGCCCAAAATGGTGAGTGTGATACAAACAGTTACTGAGCTAAAGGAGTTTACTTTTACATGGAGGTCAATAGGAGCCAGAGAGAGGAGCCAACCTTCACCATGAGCACTTCCCTATTGGGCTTCATAGAGCTAGTGGGTTAGCATTGAACTAGCAGGTTAGCATTGTCCATCTGTATACATATACAGTATACATGACACACAGGTCTTCAGACTGTCCTGTTCTTAGAGCTCAGTGGGTGCAGTTCAGTGGGTGCAGTACCGGTGCTGACCTGTAGGATGGCCGTCTGGACAGGATCTCTCTGCGCTTCTGGGAGTCGGTCACATTGTCCACAGACTCCTGCGAGTCTTCACTCTCAGCAATCGTGGAGATCTGAACACACATATTTGTTATGTGTAAGCTAGCTGTGTTTATGCTAACTATGTGTATGCTAGTGCCACCTACACCTGTCACTATTACAGATATTTATTACAATTAAAACAAGTTCAGGTAGATCCATTATTCTTATAATGTTCAACATCAAAGTAGGAAATGATGAGTTTCCATCATAATTTCAGTGGTTTGTTTTAATGCTGCTTCAGTGTCTCACTCGGCCTAACCTTTACTCTAAGTATTGCAATGTTTAGTTCAATCATTCTCTGTTTCACTTTAGTGTTTTAAGTGAGTTTCTTCTGGTTGTTATCATCTGAAGTTTATATTAAGTCTGTAAGTCAGAGGACTCAAAAACACTGAAAACTAAAGAGAAACAGGAAACGGGTCAGAAACAAATCTGGTCCTCTGCACAGATCTTGTGTGTGTGTACAGTCTGTAGTTGTCGGTACTGGATGACAGTGGGCAGAGCCTGTGTATGTGTGTGTTACCTGTACAGTCTGCAGTTGTGACGACTGGATGACAGTGGGCGGAGCCTGGATGACTCCATGAACCTGAACTGTCTGTCCATTGGGAAGCTGCACCAGAGTCACAGTGGGGCCTGCAGCCGAGACCTGAGGAACATAGAGTATCATAGAGTCATAGAGACACACAGAGACACAGTGTATAGTGTGTGTATGTATACTGTGCGTGTATTACCTGGGCCAGAGTGGCAAGTTGTGCTGCAGTGATCGGTTGTGCTCCCTGGCTCGCAGTGTCATTCTGCTGAACCTCCGCCTCCATCTTAACAGAGAGCTGAGAATCACAAGTTGTTTGTATAGCACAGTTCATACACAAGAGAACTCAAAGCTCTTAACCAAAAACGAGATAAGCCATTAAAGCTATAATCACAGTACATACAAAGCGTACCTGTGCTCCTCAGAGTCCCAGGAGGAGGCCAGTCCTGCGCCCCTCAGAGTCCCAGCAGGAGGCCAGTCCCTGTGCTCCTCAGAGTCCAAGCAGGAGGCCAGTGCCTGTAAGTTAGGATTAGGCTGAACTCTTTCATACTGCATGTTGTGCCCTGATTTTACTAATTTTCTTACTTTTTCCTCTGGTGAAATGATTAAACAGTATGGTTATGGTAAAGCAAAGAAGAAATGTGCATTATTATGCATAACGCATTAGCCCCTATCATACCCTACTCTACTCAGCTCTACCCTTCTCTGTAACATGTTACTCCGTTACGCAGAACTGGGGACGCACTGAAACACATTACTGACACACTTCACACCATTTCTCCTTCTGCGGGTGGAGGACGCTGGTCTCGCGGGTGCGCGCTCCTGTGGCGCGGTGTGATTGGCTTTGCACTTTTCTCCCTCTGCTTTTCAAAACTGATGGCAGTAGCGAACGCACGCGGTCTGACACACACTTTACTACACGCACACACTTTAAACACGCACATTAAACACACACACTTTTTACATGCACACTTCTACACGCACACACACTGTATACACGCACATTAAACACACAAACTTTTTACATGTACACTTCTACACACACACACACACAACATGCACATTAAACACACACACTTTTTACATGCACACTTCTACAAACAAACACACAAACACACACTGTATACACGCACATTAAACACACACTTTTTACATGCACACTTCTACAAACACACACTGTATACACGCACATTAAACACACAAACTTTTTACATGTACACTTCTACACACACACACACAACATGCACATTAAACACACACACTTTTTACATGCACACTTCTACAAACAAACACACAAACACACACTGTATACACGCACATTAAACACACACTTTTTACATGCACACTTCTACAAACACGCACATTAAACACACACACCTCCGAGGACTTTGGGAGAGCAGCTTTACGCAGAACATGCCATCATTGTGCATCATTAGTTTTTATTACGCATGATAAAAATCATGTTCATATGCATTGTTTGGACATTGACTTTATTGGCGTGTGTTGAAGTGCTTGTGAAATCAATACACTTAATAATAATCATAAAAAAAATAGGGAATTGCTTGAATAGTGATAAATGCTGACAACCAACGGATTTCCACACCTTGTCAACGCCAGTTTGTAAATCTAATACAGTAAACACATTCTGAAGGATAGCGCTATAGCTGCATTTAAGTTTTATTTAAATCTTTAATACTCTAATTCTGAACCCTAAAATCATCTCAGCGGGCTCCCCTCCTGGTATTTCTCTCCAAAGGCGCCATGATTTCTTTGTTCGGGACCGAACCGCAGCGACTTGAGCTGGATCCTCAGGCTGGGAATGGTGCATGGTGAGCCGGGTGTGAGTCTGGCGCATGCCGCTTACCCTCTCGCACTCCCGCCTCGGTCGTTCCAAGCTCTCCCGAGCCTTTACTTTTATTCAGGCCGACACGTAAGAGCCCGCGTCAGGGTACAACCTCTACTGCGTCACGGCCTGGGTACGACAAGTGCGGAGCCAGGCGGATAAAGCCGAGTGTTGACGGAAAAAGCCGAAGAGAGGAACGAGGCGGAAAGAGCCGAGTACTGAGCACAGTGTTGACAGGAGTCAGACTGGGAGCCGCCTCCGTCTTGGATCTACAGCTTCAGTCCTGGATCTATTCTACTCTATTGTATTGTATTCTATTCTATTCTGTCTGTCTGTGGGAGCGGATCCCTCAAGGTCAGGGTCAGGGGTCAAGGTTTGGGAACAGATGAAGCCATTGAAAACAACACAAACACATGCTTTTTCATTAGTTTTATTCCAAAATATGTAGAAATTTCATTTTTGAAGTGAATCTGATGCAGACAATTTGTATCAGTCCCGGACTGGTCCTGGTCAGTCCTCATTGAAAGGGTAGAGTGGATGTCCAGCATCACGGGGAACACGCTTCCCCTCCACCTGCAAACACAACACAGAGATAAAGAGACAGAGTCACAGACACAGAGTCACAGACATGAATACAAATATTTAATCATGTATATCTTGGATAGGTCTGATTCTGTCTGTATTTTATTATTATAGTATATGATAATTGTAGTTATCTTGTGGACTCAAAGGTATGGAAGACTATTGGCACCTTAATTCAATCGTCTATTCATTTGTCAAATGGCTATGCATTATGTTATTTTAGTATTTATTTTGTATTTGTATTTGTCAAAGTGTAATGTTATATCCAATTTTTACATTTAATGTTCTATTCCAAAAGTTCTAATGGCAATTTAATATGTAAAATGTCAATGAAATGTCTTTACATATTGCAAATTACAAGATTTTGAAATGAATAGCATATTGCCATGGTAATTTGGCCTCTTTATTCATTGTTCTATTCATTCTTAACATGGCATTTAGTTTAGAGTTGTATTTGGCAAAATTGCATGTTATATCCTATTTTGACTTGTATTCCACATTTGAGTATGTTAAGTTTCATTTAATGTGTTATGAAACAGCACCTCCCTCTGGATTGCATTGCATATTGCATTGCCACATGGTTTGAGTGCAACTTAATTCAATATGCAGTTCTTGACCCCTGGCAAGGCGGGCCCTGGTCCGCTCTCGCCAATCAGAGACGAGTCTCTGTTAAAAAGGGGCTGCTCTTGGTTGGTCGCCAGTCACAGTTAATGTGAAGCCGATTCAGACAGTGACATGGCATATCTTCTAACTACAGTGGGCACACTTGGATCTTCAGACGCACTCAGAGTCAGCACCGTGCGGAGAAAAACACAAGGTGTGAACTGTTATGCTAAGGTGGCCCTCAGTTGTAGCCATAGTGTACACTTTATGGTTTTAGTGCGATTTATTCCTAATTGCCTATATGCTCATTCCTCGCTTAAAATAGCAGAGTTACTGCCCTTCAACTTGTTAGCAACAGTTCACAACTTGTGTTTTTCTCCGCACGGTGCTGACTCGGAGTGCGTCTGAAGATCCAAGTGTGCCCACTGTAGTTAGAAGATATGCCATGTCACTGTCTGAATCGGCTTCACATTAACTCACTGACTGCCAGGCATTTTCAGATTTGAGAAGTGCGTTCTGCCAACAATTTCAGGTGATTTGACCAAACTTTGAAGTGCCACAGAATATTCATTTTTTAGACTATGTAAACACCAAGGGCACCAGATTAAAGATTAACAGTTTGTTTCTACCTCTTACCGTTCTTGCGTTATTCGCCATAGAACAAAGCATACTTTCACCCATAACACCTGGTCTGAGCAAGAAAACAGAGAAAAGGAGCTGTATGTAAACAGGAACATATCAAGCAGAAAAGAGACTTTTAGATGCATTTTTGCTGCTTTAGTGACAACTCAAAACATCTTCACACTTGTTCCATTACAAAAATTATAAAAACATGACTCTGAAATAATACTTTTGATGGCAAATTTCTGGCAATTTATTCACAGATAGAAAATTTAACTTTCTTCTATACCATCAACCAAAACGTCAAACAACAACAACACAAAGATCAATAAAACTATAAATGTATAAAATAGAATGAAGCGTGTGAATTTGAGTGTGTGTGTGTGTGTGTGTGTGAATGTCAGTGTGCGAGTGAGTGTCTGTGTGAGTGAGTGAGTGCGTGTGTGTCTGTGTGAGTGAGTGTCTGTGTGTGTGAATGTCAGTGTGCGAGTGAGTGTCTGTGTGTGTGAGTGAGTGAGTGCGTGTGAGTGTTCGTGAGTGTGTGTATGAGTGAGTTTATCCGCTTTTTCAGTCCTCCCAGTAGTTCAGCTTTGAGTTGTAGAGGTTGAAACACTGTGTGCAACGGAACACGACACGATGTGACATTTGTAGTTCTCCCTCCGTGAAGAAGAGCTCCAGAAAGTCTGGATCAGATGAATCCAGCTCCAGAAAGTCAGCTGGATCAGATGAATCCAGCTTCGCAGCCTCTGTCCGCAGTCTCTGAGGTCCAGGAGCTCCTGTGAAGGGCAACTGACTCGGCTCCCACTGATCCTCCTGTCAGCCATCTTCCCCAGAGCTTCTGGGTGACGAACGTGCTGGAAATATGATACACACAATAACTATATTATACAGTGAATTTGTTACAATAAATCAATACATAAAATAAAATGAAGGCCTTCCTCCCACATTATCGACTGACTACTTTTGGACCAAACACAGTATACTATATTATTATTATATTATATTGCCATGGGATGTACAAGAATAGAAATAGTAGTCCTTTTACCTTTTTTGTGCACAGCAACTGCCTCTTGATGCACCACCTGTAAATAATATAAATTTGTAAATCACTATACCAGGAGAATATATACAATATTATGTACAATGGTATGAGGAGGAATCATCTTTACCTCCATGCCCTGTCAACCCCAATGGGGGAGGGCTCTTTTATCAGAATCTGTGAATGGAGAACACATTTCATTTAGTCAGAGCTATGACACTACAACAAGATGTTCAAGTATGAAATAACTAAACATAAAAATAATAAATACAACAATGATAAAACGCATAACTGGCATTTACTAAAGAAACAGTAGGATTTGAGCGCTGTGTTACTTTGCAGATCAGAGCAAGTTTCCGCGCCTTTCCCTCCTCTCAAGTTAGCATATTCTAGGCAATTTAGCAAGTTCTTACCTTCGACTCTTTGTGGAGCTTCTGGAGAGGATGCTCTGCTGGATTGAGACTGCAACCACTCATCCGATAAATCATGATCAGGTTCTCTGAACGAATCCGAGGCATCAGTAACAACAGCAGCTGATACGCTGCGAGAGGCGGAAGGTGTGTCCCTGCTCCGGGCTCTTGCTCCGCGCAAATGTGGCTGCAGAGACGGACCTCCACCGGGGTCTCCACTCTCTCCCCTCTCGACCTCACTCACTCATCCGCGAGTCAATCTCTGAAGCAGTGTACACTGCTTATAACTATTCTTTTTCGCCATCACTCTTGCTATACTATCGCTAAACTAGATCGCTGATCTGTCTCAATGCTACGCTATCATCGCTCGCTCTGCTACAGCAGCACGCTCTCCAAACACTCCCACACTCCTCCTCCTTCTCTCTACTGACTTATGACCTCTCCTGTGTTGCAATACTGCATCCTACTGGTGTTGATTTATCATTACAGGTACATTTGCACTATATATCAGTATTGTGGGTCATTCACAAGGTGCGCGAGACATTACTGTAGCCTCCCGTGTAATAACATGAAAAAGTCGTCTAACTCGTCATGGGCAGTGAGTGTTACTATACAATAGAACGACTTTTGTCGTCATGGGCAGTGAATGAGTTAACTGTGACTGGTGACCGACCAAGAGCAGCCCGTTTTTAACAGAGACTCGTCTCTGATTGGCCGAGAGCGGACCAGGGCCCGCCTTCCCAGGAATCAAGAACTGCATAGCATATACATAGTTCCCACATGATGTCACTACATACGGGGATTTGCCGACCCGGCGCCATTTGTGTTGGCATGCTGTGGGCAAAACAATAGAAAAAGAAGCTGAAACGTGTTAATGTCGTGATAAAGTTGAAAATGGTCATCTCCTGCTGGGTCAATGGATGTTCAAATCGTGCCGGAGGTTCCGTTAAACTTGGATTTTACAGTATACCCATCATTAGACTTCATGAATGTGAGAAGACTAAGCTTTTGTCAGAACAACCACGGAGGTTATGGCTTGCGAAGATAAACAGGCAAGAAACTCCCTCAAAACACGCAAGAATATGCTCGGAGCACTTTGTGTCAGGTGCGTATCGTATCTTATAATGTGTTGACAGACGTAATTTACTCAGTACTAACTTGTGTATGCTGATATCTGGTAACTTGAGAGTTTCATTATTTAGATTACTTTATTATGAGGAGGATCGGTGTCGCGTCCGAGGCTCTCGAGGGCAACGTAAATGTATTAAATAGATAATAATAGTTCTATGGTGGGCTAAAACAATGTTCACAAACAGCATTGCTTCTGTAAAAAGATCTGTGTCATAAAATAAACTGCTCTTTACGCCTGGAAAAATCAGTTGCCCACCATTCACCAAAACATACGGTCAAAAACGCGGAAATAAACAATAACAGCAATCCAGAGTGTCCGTGTGGCATTGCATTAATTAAATGAATTGTTAATATAATTAAAATAATTAAATGGAGCTCCAACTGGTATTAAATCTAAAGTTTTTGAGAAATGTTTGCATTGCTTGTTAATTTTTGCTGCATAATTTGATCAAATATGTAAAACATGTCCGTAGCACGTTAAACTGTGGTGCCATTGTATTAATATACAATTATTTGCTCAAAAGTTGCCCTTTTTTTCCAATTTGCGTTTGAATATCTACATTTATTCTCATTCTTCTGTTTAATGGAATGCACAAACACAGCAGCGTGCCATCAAAGATGGCGTCTCCGAGGAGGTCATGTGACATTCATTGGTCTGTGGGAACTATGTATTGAATTAAGTTGCACTCAAACCATGTGGCAATGCAATATGCAATGCAATCCAGAGGGAGGTGCTGTTTCACAACACATTAAATGAAACTTAAAGAGCGACTAAACACCTGTGCCCAGCCTTACTCCGCCCACATGAAGATTTGAAAATTTTCTCTAAAAAGGGCGCTGCATGGAGGACTAAAGGGGCGTTCACACCGGACTTAACTTCGGCGTCAAAAGCGTCAGGTTTCCATTGAAAGTGAATGGTGAAGCGCGTCAGGTGAAGCCGAGAGCCCCGGCGTCACTTGACGCGCGTCAAAAGCTTCAAGAGTCGCGCGTACTACGCGCTCACTTGAAGCTTTTGACGCGCGAAACGCTCGCGTATCACAACAATCCCTTTGACGCCGAAGCTGAGCAAAGCTGAGCTTTTGAAGCTTTGACGCGGGCTTCAACCAATCAGGAGACGAGGAGCAGCAGCAGCAGAGGGTCTGTCTCTGTCATGAAGAGAAGTCATGTATCTGCTGCTGCTGTTTTATTGTCATTATTGTTATTAGTAATATTATTTGTATGAGTAGTAACGTTCTGAGTAACAAAATCATTGTACACATGCTGTGTAGTAAACGTAGTTTATTTAAAATAAGAACAGGCTGACGATGAGTCTGGCTCAGAGCAAGGCAGCTCCGGGCGGGCGAGAGCCGGGGAGAGGCAGGGAGAGGCGAGCGAGAACCGAGGAGAGGCGAGCGAGAGCCGGGGAGAGGTGAGCGAGAGCCGGGGAGAGGCAGGGAGAGGCGAGAGCCGGGGTTTGAGAACTCAGACTGGGCAAGTGACATGCGGAAGTACCGCTGAAAGCGAAACTCCTCCGTACGCAGCTCCTGGAGTAAATGACGGAACTCTGCAAACACTGCAGCCTCTCAAGTCTGTGGTGAACCCAGAACATGTTTTGTTGAAGCCCTACAACAACGTTATTTTGCTTTATATAACAAATAAAGGCTCGCTGCTCATTGAAAAATCCACCGCTGTCCTGACTACAGACAACAGAGAAGCTCCTCCTACCGGCGTCAGGCGCGTCACTCGCGTCAAAAGCTTCAAGCACCAAAAGGACAAAACTATCCCGGCGTCAGTTGAAGCGCGTCAAAAGCTTTTTGAAGCTTTTGGTCTGAACGCGCCTTAAGGGACAAGAAGGGGGGCTTAGAGTTGGGCGTGGTCTGGGCTGTGATTGACAGCTCACTTGTCACACAAAAAAAACCAGACAGTTGTCATTGCTGCTTAAAGCAATAGTTTACAGACCAGAAAGTCTCATTCCACCTTTGTTTACACACTCAGATAATTGTAAAGCTACACACCTGAACCTAATCACACTCAATAATCTCAGAATGACTCATGTAATTTAATTTTAATCCACTAGATGGCGCCAGAATACTCCAAACTGCAGCTGGGGCGTGTGTGAGAGTTGAATGGGTTTATATCACTGGCTCTGACAGACTGACGTCACACAAAACAACTGATGTCATAGAGAACTTCAGAGTCAATAGAGAGGCCAGGACCAAATTCAAATGTAGTACCAGCAGAAAGGTTGAGAGGGCGCCACACAGAGGTTTTTGGCTCAAAAGTGATATTTTATCTAATTTGAACTAAAATGTCAAAAAAATGACCAGGATATGTAGACAGCACTACAATAAACATACTTATGCAGTTTATGAGTTAAAAAAAGTTGATTTGGTGTTTAGTCGCTCTTTAACCTACTCAAATGTGGAATACAAGTCAAAATAGGATATAACATGCAATTTTGCCAAATACAACTCTAAACTAAATGCCATGTTAAGAATGAATAGAACAATGAATAAAGAGGCCAAAATTCCATGTCAATATGCTATTCATTTCAAAATCTTGTAATTTGCAATATGTAAAGACATTTCATTGACATTTTACATATTAAATTGCCATTAGAACTTTTGGAATAGAACATTAAATGTCAAAATTGGATATAACATTACACTTTGACAAATACTAAAATAACATAATGCATAGCCATTTGACAAATGAATAGACCAGTGTCTCCCAAAGTGGGGTCCGCGGCCCCCTGGTGGGGGTACTGCAGGGGGGGCCGCGGGAGGTCATAAAAAAAAGAAAAATAATATAATTATTTAATGTTAAATTTATAATGTTTTGTTTGTAATATTAAAATATTTGTGTTCATCATTTGACTTGAATAATCCACTGTAATCATTTTTGTATTACAATGTTTGTAGCAGAGGCTATTTCCCCAAAATAAAATAACCAGAAGAGCCTATTCTTAATGTTGTCTTCTTGGTTATTATTTTGGGGGGCCACGCAGACCCGTCAGATTTTTAAGGGGGCCTCGGTGTTACTGAGTTTGGGAATGGCTGGAATAGACAATTGAATTAAGGTGCCAATAGTCTTCCACACAAAGACACACACTGACCTCAGACACACACACACACACACACACAGAGACCACTGACCTCCACCATTGGGACGATGTAGCGCCACCCTCTGTTCAGGGCAGTGATTTGTGCCATCTCCTCCGGCTGCAGGCAGAAGTCAAACACCTGCACACAACGGTACACAAAGATACACATAGCTGGTGAACAAAGGTACACAACAGTACACTACACTAAACCAGCCGGTCCACTTCCTGCTAAAGGAGTAGCAGTAGTTGCAGTAGCAGTAGCAGTAGCAGTAGCAGCAGCAGCAGAAGTAGCTTTACCTGGATGTTTTCTTGGATTCGAGACTCCGTGACGCTCTTCGGGATTGCAACCACACCCCTCTGCGTTTGCCAACTTCAACACAAATGGAAGTAAATCATGAAGTTCAACGACAAAAGTAATGTGATTACAATTTATATTGGACTGAGGCAGTAGATCCAGGACTGAGGCTGTAGACTGTAGATCAGGGGTCTCCAACCAGTAGCTCACCACCCCCTTCCAGGTAGCTGATATTTCAGTTTGTATAATGTATTCTCATTATTTATTATTGTAAATGCATTAACTTTGTGCACTTTTACACCAATATTTACATTTTTTCCCAGGGTTTGCTTAAAGGAGTATCTCTCTACCTTTATCGTCCCAGGAAAGTAGCTCTCTGGGTGAAAAAGGTTGGAGATACCTGCTGTAGATCCAGGACTGAGGCTGTGGATCCAGGACTGAGGCTGTGGATCCAGGACTGAGACTGTGGATCCAGGACTGAGACTGTGGATCCAGGACTGAGACTGTAGATCCAGGACTGAGACTGTAGATCCAGGACTGAGACTGTAGATCCAGGACTGAGGCTGTCGATCCAGGACTGAGGCTGTCGATCCAGGACTGAGGCTGTCGATCCAGGACTGAGGCTGACGATCCAGGACTGATGCTGTAGATCCAGGACTGAGGCTGCAGATCCAGGACTGAGGTTGTAGACCTAGAACTGAGTGTGTTCTACAAATGTATTTGTCCTGGTCGGCTGTAATGACTATTGCTGCTTTGATGAAGCATCAGGGAAACCAGCTGAGCAGAAAGGACCATGTGAGCTGAAGGAATCACAGATTCAGAAGGTGGGAAAACCCAGGAACCCTGTATACAAGTGCTGCTGACGTGTTCACCGATAACCCTAACCTTAACCCAGTCAGAGGCCCTGAGGGGAGAGCAATGGCAGTGCGCTTATTAATGATATTAGAATATAAAGAACTCAAACATAAATCACACTTAAAACAGTGTAGAGTAAATGACAGGCTAACCCTAACCCTAATGTGAGCTTGTCTCTCACCGCAGCAGGACCTGAGCAGGGGACTTGTTGTACTTGAGGCTCAGGTCCCTGATGCTGGGCTCCTGCAGCAGGACCGGTTCATCAGGAGCTTTCCAGGCTCTGTCTGCGGAGCCTAGAGGGCTGTATGCCGTCATCACCAGGCCTCGCTGCACACACTGAGACAGAAGGTGGTCCTGGGACAGGTACGGGTGGGCCTCCACCTACACACACACACAAATACATGTGAACACGCACCTATTTTCAGGGCACTGAAGGTCAAATTTACAACAAACTGCAGATGCCAAAGTCCATCCATCCATTTTCTACCCTTTAATCCATTTCTGGGTCAGGGGGGTGGCAATCAGAGATGCCACCCAAATCTCATAGCACCAGCCCCTCACTGATCCTCTGCAGGTGGTGAGTCCACAAGAGCTGAGATCTTCCAGCGGGGGCTTTGGGCAAAGTGGGGTTAAGTGTCTTGCCCAAGGACACAACAACAGCAGTCATCAGTGGGAGTAGGTGGAGAAGGTGTAGAGGTGGGAATTGAACCCACGACCTTCTGGCCTTAAGGCCAATGCTCTGCCAACTGAGCTACTGTCGCCCCGCAGATGCCAAAGTGCAACACAATAAATATGAGCTTCATTTTCAATATATCATCGGTGTGCATTACATTGACATATATTTAGTTTACCTGAAACTAATGACAGCAGGACGTGGGGTGTCACATCCTGCTGTCATTAGTTTACCTGGACAGCGTCCTGGCACCTGACTGTGACTGGTACCTGACTGTGACCTGGTACCTGACTGTGACCTGGTACCTGACTGTGACCTGGTACCTGACTGTGACCTGGTACCCGACTGTGACCTGGTACCCGACTGTGACCTGGTACCCGACTGTGACCTGGTACCTGACATCTAAAGTACAGAGGACTAGACCATTGCCATGGCGCAGATGTGACCTGGTACCTGCAGCACAGAGGGCTGGACCGTTGCCATGGCGCAGATGTCGGAGATCTGGTGTGAGTTGAAGTTGGAGAGGCCGATGTCCCTCACGAGGCCTTTGTGCACCAGGCTCTCCATCGCTGCCCAGGTCTCCCTGTAGTGTGTGTCATCGTAGAGCAGTGCGCCGTCCTCCGACCGCGGAAACGTCACATCTCCTCGCCTTAAAATACACATTCATTTCCATTGGAAATGTGCACAGTATAATATTTATCAACACAATAATTTAACAAGAATATTCACAGGGCTCTTTCTTAAAGCTGCATAACCTCACTTTATTTTTGTATTCATTACGAAAATTCAATCCATATCCATGCAATCCTCCTTTTGAAGAAAAAGTAGCGCTGGTGTGTGCTAGCGTGTCATTATATTTTAGATCGAGTTTTTGTGCAAGAAGAAAGAGAATTTGTTTCAGGCCCAGATTGTGACCAATCACAGCGGACCACTGGCCCCCACTTTCTTGAGAAAAGCTAAAAAGTCTCTCGTTAGCACAGGCCAGTGCTCACATTCGAAGCAATGTTTTGGTTTGTTCTATCAGATTTGGTCACAACATTTTACTTTTGTGCACAAATAACATGCATTATCAATGCAAGCTTTAATTCAGTGATTTTTGGGTGCGCTTCAGGATAAGACCTGGGAGGACATGGGTGAGAGACAGGGAAGACGAGCGCAAAAAGCTAGGGATGGTGGCTGAGTGGATAGCACTCTCGCTTCACAGCAAGAAGGTCCTGGGTTCAAATCCCGGTCGGAACAGGGCCTTTCTGAGTGGAGTTTGCATGTTCTCCCCATGTCTGCGTAGGTTTCCTCCGGGTACTCCAGTTTCCCCTACCACTAAAAAAATGTACAATAAGTCTAGCATGCGCCTCCTGTACTGGTGACCCTGCTCCCATCTTTGTGTGGAGTGAGAGAACAAATGCCCAAAAATAACAATTGTAAACCGCTTTGAGACTGTGGTCTGTAAAGGCGGTATATAAATCAAGATTACTTACTTACTTGATCGCCCGTTTATGGTTCTCTCTCCACGCGTCTATGGTCCGAGCTCGGTATTTGAACAAAACTCTCTGGTCTTATTTGATGGATCTCCAAATCCTCTTACAGTGCCTTGCGAAAGTCTTCGGCCCCCTTGAACCTTTCAACATTTCGCCACATTTCAGGCTTCAAACATAAAGATATAAAATTGTAATTTTTTGTCATGAATCAATGACAAGTGGGACACAATCGTGAAGTGGAACAAAATTTATTGGATAATTTAAACTTTTTTAACAAATAAAAAACTGAAAAGTGGGGAGTGCAATATTATTCGGCCCCTTTACTTTCAGTGCAGCAAACTCACTCCAGAAGTTCAGTGAGGATCTTTGAATGATCCAATGTTGTCCTAAATGACTGATGATGATAAATAGAATGCACCTGTGTGTAATCAAGTCTCTGTGTAAATGCACCTGCTCTTTGATAGTCTCAGGGTTCTGTTTAAAGCGCAGAGAGAACCATGAAGACAAAGGGACACACCAGGCAGGTCCGAGATACTGTTGTGGAGAAGTTTAAAGCCGGATTTGGATACAAAAAGATTTCCCAAGCTTTAAACATCTCAGGAGCACTGTGCAAGCAATTATATTGAAATGGAAGGAGTATCAGACCACTGCAAATCTACCAAGACCCGGCCGTCCCTCCAAACTTTCATCTCAAACAAGGAGAAGACTGATCAGAGATGCAGCCAAGAGGCCCATGATCACTCTGGATGAACTGCAGATAACTACAGCTGAGGTGGGAGAGTCTGTCCATAGGACAACAATCAGTCGTGCACTGCACAAATCTGGCCTTTATGGAAGAGTGGCAAGAAGAAAGCCATTTCTCAAAGATATCCGTAAAAAGTCTTGTTTAAAGTTTGCCACAAGCCACCTGGGAGACACACCAAACATGTGGAAGAAGGTGCTCTGGTCAGATTAAACCAAAATCGAATTTTTTGGCCACAATGCAAAACGATATGTTTGGCATAAAAGCAACACAGCTCATCACCCTGAACACACCATCCCCACTGTCAAACATGGTGGTGGCAGCATCATGCCTTGGGCCTGCTTTTCTTCAGCAGGGACAGGGAAGATGTCTAAAATTGATGGGAAGATGGATGGAGCCAAATACAGGACCATTCTGGAAGAAAACCTGTTGGAGTCTGCAAAAGACCTGAGACTGGGACGGAGATTTATCTTCCAACAGGACAATGATCCAAAACATAAAGCCAAATCTACAATGGAATGGTTCACAAATAGACGTATCCAGGTGTTAGAATGGCCAAGTCAAAGTCCAGACCTGAATCCAATCGAGAATCTGTGGAAAGAGCTGAAGACTGCTGTTCACAAACGCTCTCCATCCAACCTCATTGAGCTCGAGCTATTTTGTAAGGAAGAATGGGCAAGAATTCCAGTCTCTCGATGTGCAAAACTGATAGCGACATACCCCAAGCGACTTGCAGCTGTAATTGCAGCAAAAGGTGGCGCTACAAAGTATTAGCTCAAGGGGGCCCAAATAATATTGCACGCCCCACTTTTCAGTTTTTATTTGTTAAAAAAGTTTAAATTATCCAATACATTTTGTTCCACTTCACGATTGTGTCCCACTTGTTGTTGATTCTTGACAAAACATTTAATTTTTATATCTTTATGTTTGAAGCCTGAAATGTGGCGAAATGTTGAAAGGTTCAAGGGGGCCAAATACTTTCGCAAGGCACTGTATATACCATTAAAATACATTTTTACATAATCTTGTAACATCTTTGTGTCTCACTTTCTCCCACTGGGTTTTTGGAGTTGTTTTTCTGAAGGCCATCTGTTTTCTGTGTGTGAGGGGGGCTTTTCTCTGTGTCTGTGTGTGTCTGTGTCTGTGAATGTGTATGTGTGTGTACCTTCCTGTGAGGCTTTCTTGAAGCTAAAGGCATGGAGCCAGTGAATAGTCCCACCTGAAAGCATAGGGCCAGTGGATCAGGTACAGGTCCAGATAGTCCAGACCCAGGTTCCCCAGACTCTGCTGGAGAGCAGGTTCCACGTCTTCAGGGTGGTGCTTAGTGTTCCACAGTTTGGATGTGATGAAAAGGTCTTCTCTTCTCAGCGTCTGAAACCACAGAGCACTAAGACACAGAGACAGAGAAACAGAAACAGAGACAAGAAGCACTAAGACACAGAGAGACAGAGACAAAAAACCCTAAGACATGACACACCTTGTTGGGCCCCAGCTCCTCCCGCAGAGCAGCTCCGATCTCCTCCTCATTGCCGTAGATCGAGGCGCAGTCGATGTGACGATATCCAGCCTTCAGTGCCCACTGCACAGCCTGCTTGACCTGAGGAGGGGTCAGAGGTCACAGCCTGCTTGACCTGAGGAAGGGTCAGAGGTCACAGCCTGCCTGACCTGAGGAGGGGTCACAGGTCACAGCCTGCTTGACCTGAGGAGGGGTCACAAGTCACAGCCTGCTTGACCTGAGGAGGGGTCAGAGGTCACAGCCTGCCTGACCTGAGGAAGGGTCACAGGTCACAGCCTGCCTGACCTGAGGGGTCACAGGTCACAGCCTGCTTGACCTGAGGAAGGGTCAGAGGTCACAGCCTGCCTGACCTGAGGAGGGGTCAGAGGTCACAGCCTGTCTGACCTGAGGAGGGGTCACAGGTCACTGCCTGACCGGAAGGGTCAGAGGTCACAGCCTGCCTGATAATGTAGATGAATTAAACTCAAGAGACAGATTAAGATTATTTCAACAGATCTCTTGTGTGACCACACCTGCAGGTGAAAGCCAGATTCTGTCAGACCTCTGAAGATAAGCAAGGCAGGGCCTGATTAATATTGTGATGGGAGACCTCTGGGAACACCAGGTGCCACAGTGGGGCGGCTACGTCTGTTAAGTGCCAAACTGCAGTTGTGTCCTTAGGCAAGACACTTCAACCAAATGAGTCTGGTGTGAGTGAATGGTTGGTGGTGGTGGGAGGGGCCGACGGCATAGACTGGTTGATTATTATTGTTATTATTAACTTTATTAACCTGTCCAGGCTGGCTCTTCCATGTGCCCAGTCCAATGAGGGGCATCTTCTTTCCCGTCCTCAGAACTGCGAAGCCACTCATATCTCTGCACGCGCACACACACACACACACACACACACACACACACACACAGACACACACACGTTACTCATGTTACATTTGCAGTGATTGTAAGAGCAAACAGAGAAGTATGATAGTGTGGTAAGACCAGGCTTAAACTTGAAAATGAAAATGAATGAAAATAAATAGAAACAACAAAAACAGTGCTCTGCATCAACTGCAGCCAAAGTACAACTGATCAACAGCATTTTATAGATTCACAAAGATCCAGAGAGGTCTGTGTCATAACCATAGACTGTAAATATTAACAGGAGCTTTGTATTTATTATTGAAGGGAACTAGCAAACATTAACGTCCAGAGCAGGTGTAACCAGTGTTGGGTAGAAAACTTTGAAAATGTATTCTGTTCCAGAATAGTGAATGCATGACCTAAAATGTATATTGTATAGTATTAAATTACTTTGGAAAAGGTATTACCTGTATTCCAAATACTTAGCACACTTTTATTTATACTTTGAATTATTATTATAATTATTATTTGTATTACTTATATATATTGTAAATGAATGTTTATCAACACATGTTTAATTAAATAAAACATGTTTTTGTTGTTTATTTTTGTGAGACAAGTCAAAGTGCTTCAACAGCTGCCATTTCAAAACCAGAAGAAAAATAATCTTCACTATAAAAACACCTAAACCTAAAACGTAAATGTGAAAAAGTGTGTATTCCGTGATTTTCAGAAGTTACATCTATTCTAAATACAAGACTTTAAAGAGCGACTAAACACCTGTGCCCAGCCTTACTCCGCCCACATGAACATTTGAAAAGTTTCTTTTAAAAGGGCGTTGCCTGGAGGACCAAGGGACAATAAGAGGGGCTTAGATTTGGGCGTGGTCTGGGCTGTGATTGACAGCTCACTTGTCTTACTAAAAAAAACAGACAGTTGTCATTGCTGCTTAAAGCAATAGTTTACAGATCAGAAAGTCTCATTCCACCCTTGTTTACACACTAAGATAATTGTAAAGCTACACACCTGAACCTAATCACACTCAATAATCTCAGAATGACTCATGTAATTTAATTTTAATCCACTAGATGGCGCCAGAATACTCCAAACTGCAGCTGGGGCGTGTGTGAGAGTTGGATGGGTTCACATCACTGGCTCTGACAGACTGACGTCACACAAAACAACTGATGTCATAGAGAACTTCAGAGTCAATGGAGAGGCCAGAACCAAATTCAAATGTAGTACCACCAAAAAGGTTGAGAGGGCGCCACACAGACGTTTTTTGGCTCAAAAGTGATATTTTATCTAATTTGAACTAAAATGTCAAAAAAATGACCAGGATATGTAGACAGCACTACAATAAACATATTTATGCAGTTTATGAGTTGAAAAAAGTTGATTTGGTGTTTAGTCGCTCTTTAAAGTTGTAACTGTAATAGATTAGTTACTCAGAAATAGTATTCTGAATATGTAATAACGGTGTATTACTGTTACTCCCCAACACGAAGCTGAAGGCTTATTTTGTATTTATTTTGCAGACGCTTTTGCAGTTTAAACTTGTAATATTGTGACTTTGGGATGGGAGTAGACCGTCGTGAGACAGGTTAGTTTTACCTTCTGATGATGTGTTGTTGCAATAGTACTCTACTGTGCTCTGACTACATTTGTCAACCACGTTTAGAATGTGGACAAACCGTGCCATGGCTGAGTGGATAGCACCCTCGCTTCTCAGCAAGAAGGTCTTGGGTTCGAATCCCAGTCAGAACAGGGCCTTTCCGAGTGGAGTTTGCATGTTCTACCCATGTCTGCGTAGATATATTCTGGGTGCTCCGGTATCCCCTACCACTAAAAGTATGTACAATAGGTCTGGCATACGCCTCCTGTAGGCGACTTCGCTCCAATCTCTGTGTGGAGTGACAGACAAATGCCCACTTCAATTGAAAAGCACTTTGTGACTCTTGTTTGTGAAAGGCGCCTTATAAACAAAGATTACTTACTTAATAGAAAACTTCAGTTTCCTTAAACAGCTTCTGAATTGACCTGAAGCCTAACTGTATTCTATGACAGTTGCGTTCAGTCGAAGATGGCGGCCCTGCAGCTTGGTTACGGGGCATTTGTTGCAATGGGACGTTCTATTGAGTTTTGCCTCTTGGTTACTATTGACCCTGTGCATGTGACGTCCTGGCCACGCCCACTCTCCATGACAGACAGCAGAAGTTTAACTGTGAGCCTTTGGAAACTCATGAATAACAGCCAAAACTGTGATATTTTGCAGTGCGGTTGGTTGTACTAACAGGCAAGGACATAAGCCAAATGTGTCTTTTTATCTGATACCTCCTGGTCATGAAGACAGAAGACGACGATGGCCAGCGGCAATCAACCAAAAGGACTGGGAGCCGTCCAAGCACTCCCGAATATGCAGTGAACACTTTTTACAAGATAAATCAATCACAATTTTGTATTCATTTTCTTTCCATGAATTTATTTGGAGGACAATGACACAACGAACGCTTGAAGTCAAACGTATGCTCTTACTAGTGTCCTGTTTGTGCGCTGCAAGATTGAAATTTCCTTACTGTGGCACAAATAAAGGATCTCGTAACTTAAACGTCAGTTGCCTTTTTCACCATTTTCCTCTCAGTCAATATGTATCATGTTTGGCTGTAGACAGAAAAGTGGGCTATTGCTAATGCGCTAATGCTACCAGCAAAATTTACATTTAAATCTGCTCCAGTGTAAGGGGATGAATTGTTAACGACATGATGATAAAGATCATGAGGGGTGAGTTCGGGCAAAATTAGACATTTCATTTAATCAATAAAATTGACAGTGGGGAGAAGGTACGGGTCAATCAGTGGGGGCGGGTCCCAGCTTAAAAGTGGCCAAAATGACGTGCGCTGACATGCTGCAATACCACCCCGGGTCGATGGGGGTGGACCCAGAAGAAGAATTAGCCAATGCTAACATATAGCATTGGCAGACCTCTCAAAAACGTCTTTACAGGATGGACCAAAAGTTGGCTCTTGGCCCAAAGCTCCGTTCCACATGTGTGTCAATGCTGAGGGGGGTGGAATTTTTTTGGGCCACTCTAGTTTACTTGCTGTGAATTTTTGAAGTCTCTCGTTCAAATTAATGGAGCTGCGTCGGCTGACGCATGCGCAGATGCGTTTTTTCACAATTTTTGTGTGGGCGGGACCACTCGCGGCCATTTTGGATTGCTCCAGTAGAGCAAATTTCTTGGCCCATTAGTTAGAACGGCAGAGATAGGCGTGACTCTGTCCGTTAATATATACAGTCTATGGGGTCAACATCCAGTTCGGCGATACTTAAAATAGTACTAGAATTTAATATGCTGCTATCCAGAATATATAACTACAATATGCGGAGATGACGTAGGAGAATGACCTCTCACAGCAGCAGCAGCAGTCTGGGCTGAATCTGTAGGAGGTTTCACTGTCATCTGAACAAGGTATAAACATATTTTCATCCGTTTTGTACATAATAGTGTGCAACTCTTTTAACCTTTTAGCCTTATTTGTGAGATTCAAGCTAATTAGTGTTGGGCAAGTTAGCATGTTTTATGATATCAAGTGGAGTTAGCTAACAAGGCTAATATTCGTTTTTACATTATGCCAGTCTCACTTTATTTACCACAATGTACATTGTAATATCCATAAATGCTAACACCTATTAACGGTTTAATTAGCATTTTTATCAATGATTGCACCACATGTAGTCTATGTTTTCAACTTCTGCAGCTTTTTGTTCATAAAAGTAAAATATGTATTTAATTCAAGTTATTTTGATTAGCATTTATTGATATTACAATATACATTGTGGTAAATAAATCTAAGGCAACCAAAGTGAGACTGGCATAATGTAAAAACGAATATCAGCCTTGTAGAGTAGAGTTAGCTAACTTGCCCAACACTAGTTTGCTTGAATCTCACAAATAAGGCTAAAAGGTTAAAAGAGTTGCACACTATTTTGTACAAAACGGATGAAAATATGTTTATACCTTGTTCAGATGACAGTGAAACCTCCTACAGATTCAGCCCAGACTGCTGCTGCTGCGAGATACCCTTCTCCTACGTCATCGCTGCCATTTTGGCTCACTCTAGCGTTTGTAAAAAGGTCCGACTTCAAAGCAGTTTTTTTTAACATAATTCATCTGAACATATCAAAATGAACACCCGAAATATTATAAACACATATTGTAGTTATATATTCTGGATAGCAGCATATTAAATTCTAGTACTTTAACTTCTCCAAATACTGCTCTTTATGAGCCCTGACAACATGTCCTACTTCCACCGATAACGTTATTAAACATGTGCTTGAAGCTGCCACATCTTGATTTAGGAGAGGAGTCTCAGTTTTTAAGAGTTGTAGTCCATTTTGCGCTTACCGCAATGCTAACTTCCACCACTTCTGCCGTGAGCTCATGCACAATCACGTGACTGGATGACGTTGATGCATCTGGTCAATAATCTTTGGTTCTCCTGCTGACTCCTGCGTCAGTTCTACTGCTGACTTCTGCTGACTACTGCACCCCTCTGTATTTATAAGAATAGCTAGGAAGATACATAAGCCAATCTTCCCAGTAGCTGTGTCCCACACATGACTCCATATAATGGCCGCAGAGACTGATAGTTTCCAATGGACTGATGGTTTAGCTCAGTCCTTCTCTCCCAGAGTCTTGGGGCTCTTTTGTCTTTCTGACCAGTGTCTCCTGGTTCTGTTAGTTTAGTTGGACTGCTGTGTCTAAGTTTGCAGTAGGGCCTCTCTTTCCTTTTCAGAACGGTGCTCTGTCAGATGTTTTAATCCTCTCTGGTGTCCCCTTTATCCCTGAATTCTTACCTCTCTGGTGTCTGCTTTTTCCCTAAACTCTTACCTCTCTGGTGTCTGCTTTTTCCCTAAACTCTTACCTCTCTGGTGTCTGCTTTTTCCCTAAACTCTTACCTCTCTGGTGTCTGCTTTTTCCCTAAACTCTTACCTCTCTGGTGTCTGCTTTTTCCCTAAACTCTTACCTCTCTGGTGTCTCCTTTGCCTTCATGATGTTGTTTACTGCCCACACTCTGGGGCCTCACATAACAGCTTTATACTGAGAGTAGATTACACACAGGCCTGTTTCATCATTAGAACATTCAGCAGTCATTATGACTGTTTTAAAGCTGTATGACTACTTGTGCATGCAATACTTTACACTTCTCTATTTCTCAGAATCGTGTATCATTTTACTTCACAGTCTGTTAGTTCTGTTTGAGGTGTCAGGAAAGAATCAGTGTTTTCACTCATCTCGTTCCCGGAGCCTTCATACTCACCCAGTAGGTTCGGGGTCGGGTCGGTGTCCGGGATCCAGCTGCGGACTGAGAAATGATCCGAGAAGGATCCGGAGACTTTTACCGATCACGGATTCTACAGATGCAGGATTCTCTTCCTCCGCTGGTCAGGTGACAGCAGCTGCATCCGAAACCTCATTCAAATCCTCCAACAGATCCTTCCTCTCTGTCCTGTTCACTTAATCTAAGACAAGTTCACTCTATTCTCGTTCACGTCATATGGAAACACGTTTAGCCTTAAGTAGCGTCGGAAAGGTCCCATATGTTTCCACAGCAGTCAGAAAAAGCGCAGTAAGGAAATATGTCGTATGAGAAATCAGATGTAGATAACGGCAGAGGAAGCGCTGCAGTTTGCCGCTCTACTTTCAAAATAAAAGACAAAATAATATCTACGAAAATAATGTTAAACTGTCTCATCCATCATCAAGAATTAATATTAGGTGATAGTCCTAAATATCAATCTTTATACATAGAGCACTTTTCCTACACAGGATAACACAAAACAGTCCACATCATACAAAGCACAAATAATCACATCATTTATTAAAAACACAATTAAAATCACACAGGTAATAAAAATGTTTTAAGATAACACAAGGGAATAAAATAATGCATTGAAAAGAGATACAGGCCTTCAATTACGAGATACAAGAATTTATTTGCCATTTGCAGTAAAAACATATTGGAAAAACTGTGCAAGACTACCCCAGTGTGCACCTGACAGAGAGGACGGCACACACAGAGCTCTTGCCATGCCACCATCTTTACGGTGCCATGCGATAAACAGCAGAGGGCAGTAACATACATTTTACACGGACAGTTTGGATAGACACGGTATGTCTTGAACAAGACATGTCCCGTCCCTGTGCTCCTCAGAGTTCGAGTTGGTTCATATGGGACTAACATGTCACTAATGTACTTTGGTGCGAGGTCATGGAGAGACTTGTAACAAGCGAGGGTTAGGGTTAGGAAGGGGCTGATTTAAAGTCTATTCTCTGAGCCACAGGAAGCCAGTGCAGAGACCTGAGGACTGGACTAATGTGGTTGTACTTCCTGATTCTGGTCAGGACACGAGCTGCAGTGAAATATAACTGCGTCATCTGTCTCTTTGTAAATTATATATAAAAAAAAAAGTCTGAACACAGCTGTACAAGCGTAACGCTCAGCCCCTCGGAGCGCGCACTACAAAATACATCGAGGTAACTGTGACGCTTTATACCCGCTGTGATTGACCTAACGCTAACCAAAGAAAAACAATCACTCATTAATCTACTGTGCGTAACGTGTACTCCATTTACTCAGTATTTACTCAGTATTTACTCAGTCCAAAACAAGCAATAATCATAAACAATATATCAGACTTAGTCCTCCCCGCGCCCACCGTATGTCCCACTGTCAAACCTGGTGAGTACGTGGCTCCGGTGATAGTGTTAACCTGGCAAGAGCCAGATTGATGATTGTGTAGAACTCTAATGCGTTCTCCACAATATCAATCTGGGACTTCTGCAGGAGAATCCTTTCGGGGAAAGGAGGGATAAGCAGCAGAATACTTCAAGCTGATTGGGCGAAGTGACGCTGTGTGCCCGCCTACCAAGATTTGCCTTAAACCAATCCCGGTAACATTATGTAGTCATCGGCGTGCACAAAGCGCCTCTCGCTGTTCATCTTTCAAAAAATAAATTGGAGATTCTGCTAAAACTGACTTGATAGCCTCAGCTACGCGTCTGTCCTCCTGGCTGGCCATGTTTGTTTTGCTTCGGCCCGGCACTTCTTGCTTTCGTAAAACCCGGATATCCCGCCCTAAACCCCCAGACTGGCGCGTGATTGGCTTGAACACCTAGATGTTCTACTCGAAAAAGGTTGGCGGGAGCGGGGCAAGATGTATTCTCGAGTGTTTGTGAACTCACAAATACCGCGAGAATTCAGCTTGCAGGCAAGATTAAGTCAGTGTAGTCCAAAAGGCAAATCCAGGAGTTGACAAAACGATCCAAACAGAACGGGAAAGTAATCCAAACATTCAGAGTGTGGGCAGAGCGTAGTGGGTGAGTGCGCTCTCCAGCGTATAAAGTTTATAAACCAAAACGCGCAAAGGCCGTGCGTGAGCGGCAAACGGGCTCTCCTGCCGGGTCCGTCCCGAAGGTCTGCACAGTCCGCTACAATAATCCCCTCACAGATCTCCGACTCAAGTCTCTTGTGGTCTCCTCGAGCCGTGTCCAAAACCAAAAGCTTCCCAGTCTCTCTCCCTTGCGCACCTGATGGCAGGTCTCTGATGAGCGCTCCCCTGCAGGGACACGCCCCCCCAGTTCATTCACAAAAACAGAACTGTCACACTCGGCCCAAAACATAAACAAATACACATAAACACACATTAACACATTTTAAACATTTGTGGCTATGCTACACAAGAATGTGCCCAACTCCTGTGAGCTCCGCGACGTAGTGGGTGACGCATTAAATGCGCGACACAACAAATCGAGTAAACAAATTTCATTATCGATTTGTTGTTGCAGCCCTACATGTGTGCATTTCTTTATTTGTGGCCATTTCTTGTTTGTTGTACAGCACTTCTGCCTGTTTATGAAATGTGCTATATAAATAAAGTGGATTGGATTGCTGTCTGACATAAAACATTTGTTTCAATCAGACAGTTGTATATGTGGCAAGTGGAGGCAGCTACGTGCTCCTAAAAATACAATAAAATAAAACAAAGAAAAACCAGCAACGCCAGAGTGCCCAAAATAAAATAAAAAGTGCTTTAAGGAGCACAGGTTCACAAAATCATAAGAGAGGCATAGGCAGACGTTAGTATACTTTGATTTATTACGTTAAGATGAATTGATCCGTTTTATTCGTTCAATATGTTGTTACATTTCATAATTATAGTCACGAGCGCACATCCTCTGTTCACGAAGCACAGGTGAACACAAAGAAGCACGGGAATAGAGCGGCGGGAGAAACAGCGGTGGGCCGCAATGTGGCCAGTCCCCAGCCAACGAATTAAAGTAGAGTTAATAGTTACTACAGAGCACAACACGATGCTGCTTTCAGCCACTTTCAGATAACACCTACTTTAGAGCGAATGCTGAGAGCGCACCCTTGACGAGTGACTGTCTGACCCAAACCCACAGCCGGCTACGACACGCTCGGACCTGTTATAGAAATATATACCCCATGAAGGAGAAAACTCAAAGGTCCTTTGTCTGATCAAAAGCGTAAGTTTATTGTTAACGCACAGTGCGGAGAGTCAGCATATGCACACAAAGGCAGCATGCTCAGCTCTGGGGGCCAGAGCCCCCAGCTTCCTGTATACAAAACACACACCAAAGATAGTCACGCCCACAACGGAGCGGAGGGGGCCACCGGTGAGGAGGCGCACAGGAAGCGCCGGCGCCATCCCCTGTGGTGGCAGTGGCATGGGGTGTGAACAGACAGACAATGGTGGAAATGCAGGTCATACAGATGCAAGACGGAAAGACACAAGGGTGTGACAGACAGCAGGGACCTTCACAAAGCTCAGCATGGCGTCAGAAGGTCGTCTGCATTGATAAAAGGCCTTTGACGTCCGTGTATTTGCTGCGGCTGGTTTTATGTAATTACTCCAAAAACTGTCACCACACTCCCCTCTTTTGATAATTCAAAACCATTTTTGCATTAATCAGTTAAATACCAGAGGCATCGTAATCACACCACCTTCAAGCTTGAAACACTTAAATTATTGCTGTCCAAAGTGGACAAGAAAAGACACATGCTTGTCAATAAAAGAAAGAGCACATTATAATAACACAATGGATCCGGACAGCGATAAGAGAAGGCAATATTAACATAATAAACACGGTCAGCACGGAAAGTAGTGTCAGTGTGGCCAGCATAACAGTCCAAGGGCCCATGCCGGTCTACGTTCGGTAGTCTTTTCCGCGGGAATACTCACGAGCAGTGCCGTCTCGCAGTCAGTGGCACCGCTCCCTATGAGCGTGTGTGGAGCGTTAGTGGTCATGGCGATGTTTGGTCTTGGAGCGGCAAGACTCTATTTGCGTTGAAGCCTTGGCCTCAGCACTCGGTTGGGCAGAGTGCTCGGGGTTTGGGGTGTGGCGACCATGGCTTGAGCACGCTCCAGATCGGCCAGGCCCAAAGCTCGTTTGATGGGAGACCTCATGACAGCACGCTTCACCATGTGCCTCATCAGGAACTGTAGAGCAGCCCTCATCTCCACCTCCTCCGGACACACGGGAGACGAGACACCAGGGGGCACTCCAGCAGAGCTCCAATCTGCATTATGGCCAGAGGGAGCAGGCTCTGGAGAAATCTTTGGAATGAGCAGCAGCTCTGCATACTTGCTGCAGCTGAGCAGAGCGCTCAGGGCCTTCATGGCTCCCAGGCCTTGGGGTCCGGGGGCTGGGGAGTTGGGCAAAGGGGGGTCGCCTCGGGAACGCTGGGAATCTCTGGGTGTTGTTGTTGGCCTGCTTCACCGGTGGTGGTCGCACGCCGGCAGACCTACTCAGCGTAGGGAGCCGCGGATGGGCCTGGTCCGTCCGCGCCCTCGGTGTCCTTGTCTATGGCCCTCAGTGGCAGCACCGCACGACAGTGGTTGGCGTGGATCCAAGTTGTCCTCTCCGCGACCTTAACGGCAGTGTCCGTCACCAGGAGGGCGAGGAATGGACCGAGCCAGCGCTTGGACCGCCAATGTTGTCGTCTCGTTTCCTTCACCAGGACTCAGTCGCCTGGCTTGATCCTGTGCAGAGCCGCCTGCGCAGCCTGTGGCAGGGCGCTCCTGACCTGGGCAGAAATAGAGGACAAAAGTGCATTAATTACCTTACAATAGGACAGCATGTCGTCATCACACAAAGAGGTGCTTGGCAGATCTCTGTTCGGGGGTCCCGCGCCCAACGTGGGGCTAGCGGCAGAGCTTTGAGTGCCATTCTCTCGCTCGCACGTGCCTCCGGACCAGGGGGCGTAACTGCAGTGTTTACGTATATCAATGCCCAGAAATTCACCCACTTCCTCAATGACTTTTGCTACAAAGTGACTCACCACCGCGTTGCTCGTGGCGTGTATGCCTGCAAATACTTCAGTCCATTTGGACCAGAGATCCGCCAGACCCAGACA